TTATCAGAGCCATTCATTTGTATAGCCCTAAACTGCAGGTATTGGCGAGTCTTTTATCGCCCCTCAACTGTATGGAGCTATGTCATAGTGCGACTAGTTAGAACAAGGAATGGAATCACGTTGATGCCCCTCTTTCCTTTTATTGACACTATTTAGAGAGATATTTTGTATTTTTGTTGTTGGAAATATAGTCTAGTTGAGGGATTTATCAAGTCTAATCATATCTTCAAGTGCACATGTGCAGTAGGCTAGGGAGTTCGAGATGTCAAAATAAAGTCTTGGCGCATGACTATACTCGAAACAGGTGCCTGATCTGTATAATACATTCTGACTTCGAGCCTGAAGATCAAACTTGTTATTATGTGTCATAGATTGGTTACAATACAGTTCACATTCCAATGAGGGATTTTGCAGCATAGTTGACTCTGTATACAGGCTCAAATGTGCAGATCAGGGACTCGGCCATGGTCTTTGAAACAGACTGAACAAATAGAGAGAAACCAATTACGTGAATATCAGTTGGAAGTGCGAGTTTCTAGTCAGCGCGGTTAGTCACTGGGGTTCTGGGCCAATGAGCGGAAAGCGATAAGAAATGGGCCGGGGTGACGATCTATGGCTTTTGACATTGCTTTTTCTTTTGTGTTTTGGCCTTTGATACATGCATGTACTTGCACTTGGAGCTGGAACTGGAATTGACCTGAACAGGCCTGAACTGAACTGAAACTGAAACTATGGAGTACACTTACTTGTTATACTTAGACACAGCCCCCGGACTTGACCGGTGACTAAGCCCGAATTCGGATGTCTCATCTATTAATACACTCAGACCCTCTCTGAATTTTCTCGCTAATAGTTCGGAGCTATATCCCACGAAAACGAAAACCTGGAGAAGAGCTTAGACAGGGCTGAAGATCGGAACATCAGCCACTCACTGCGATTCCTGAAAATCCCGACCTTCTACGGAGAAAATACGGGGGAGAGATCTTGTCGCCACTCTCCATCTGGAGAATCCCTGTCACCTAAAAATCTATATCAAAATTGAATTCGTGGCCCTTACCTAACGCACCCAAAACCTAGACGCGTGACTCTTACAATACATAATCAAAACTCAACAGATGAATAACATAATCTCCAAGAGCCGAGCAGTCGAATCATTTCCTTATCCATGGCCGACACCGGGGCAGTGCCAGCGGGTATGATTGGTGAATCACCGGGGTTTCGAGAACGTTTTGCCACGGATTTCCCCACCGGAGCGATTATGAGTGATCGATCCCAGTCGCGGCGTGGCTGGGTTCTCCATTCACAATGGGGTTTGCGGAGCGCTGTATTACATCTGTATACATGTACTCTGTACCGGCCAGGCATCGCGGTACCTGTCTATCCTATCTCTACCCATGTACGCATGTATACTTTGATCTATAGTCCTGCAGGAACAGAGACTATAATCAGCTAACGCATATGTACTAACTGGCCGGTCGGGTTCTAGACATGTCGATAACAAATTGCGCCATTGTCATTTGGCCATAGCTCCGGCGCGGAGTACTTAGCCGTGCACCCACTACACCGAGTTTTAATGGGTTCGCGACGCGCGCGTGATTAAATATAAAATTTTATCAAATCAAATAATTCACAAGTTATCTATTGATATTACATGTAGATAAAACGCGTAAGATTTGATATTGCTTTTGGGGACTATACTACTTGCATACACTAGACTGCAGCTGATATCTGTTGATGGCCCCTTGGCGGCACTGTAAGTGGCATTGCCGACGTGCCGCCGGTTCCCAATGTCGGATCTTTCTACGGTGTATAGTCCGGCGGCACTGGTAATTTTATCTTTTATATCTATATCAGGGAGCTGAACCCTGATAAGACGTACTGTATGGTCGGGGAGAAGGCCGGATAAGCCAGATGCGGGTAGGTCTCTCTGTATTAGCTCTACACTATACTATAGAGTCCTGTGATCACAGTTGATTTCGTTATCGGTCCAACGGGAGTGAAGGGATTGATCATACTATTGGGGGCGATTACAAGGCCTGACTGCTGATTGGACTTGGGGTTATCATGGACACTGGTCAGGGCATGGTCAAGCGCGTGGTTCGTATTTGATACCCTTTTGCGGAGATAAAAGTCTGGAGAAGTACATCACTTCACATGTCTACACGTATAGACGAGACCCTTTCAAATTTGGATAAATCAAAAAAGGGATTAACGTAGATCAGTCGGCAGAGACCGGGCATTCCAAGTATGAGAGCCTGGATGATGCGACGATGATGACTCGGAAGCGAGTGGCGTTGAATATGAGCAGGCGTCTCCCTCGGCTGTTTCGATTAACAAAAAATGACTCCAAAAGTGTCTATGCAAAAAAGGGACAGAAGGGCTAAAAATGCTATAAAAAAGATGAGCTATTTACGTCCCTACAGCGAGAGATTAAAATAGCGTGAGGCCTTTTCCCACCGGTTTCGGGAATGATACGGCTGTGTATGAGGTACTTTGCACTTCGTACCGGGAGGGGCATACAGTACCAATACCACACTAGTCCACTTTTGGAGTGGCTGATCCGCGCCTTCCTCATTTTCCCATTTTTCCACTAAATTTAAATCGGTATTTCCCTCTCTCTTAAAACCTCCATCTCTCCCCTCCTTCGATTTTCTCCATCCACTTTCTATTGCTTCGTTTCTTCTGTTTCTTCCTTCGGGAATCCTTTGAAAAAACACAAAAATCCATTTCTGCTCGCTTGAGCTAAAAATTGTTTTTATCACACACACATACCCATATTCACTATGGTACGTGACTCTGCTCCTCTATGACTCAGAATCTGAATTGACCATTTCCCAGGCTGCTGAATCTTCAACTGTCGTCTCCAACACGGAGAATGTGCGTTTGATTCTTGATTGATTGGATTTCCGCAATGGCCTTAGAGCCAGCGAGGAAAGACATATAACTGACTTGACATGGGGATGAATAGCTCATGAAGTACATGAACCTTGACCAGCGTGGTCGTGTTCAGGCTGAATACGTTTGGATTGACTCGTGCGGTGGCACTCGCTCCAAGACAAAGGTATGACTCAACTTATGCTCCCCCACTGTTATCGTGTGCCCCTCGTCTTATCGAGGGGATTCACACATCACGTGAGATCTCACTAACCACTGCTGCAGACTCTGTCCAAGCCCGTGACGAGTGTTGACGAGCTCCCCGAGTGGAACTTCGACGGTTCCTCCACCGCCCAGGCCCCCGGTGACAACTCCGATGTCTACCTCCGCCCCGTCGCTTTCTACCCCGACCCCTTCCGCCAGGGTGACAACATCCTTGTCCTCTGTGAGACCTGGGATTCCGATGGAAGCCCCAACAAGTACAACTACCGTCATGACGCCAGCCGTCTGATGGAGACCAACGCCCACGAGGGCTTCTGGTTCGGTCTGGAGCAGGAGTACACCCTCCTCGGTACCGATGGGTGGCCTTACGGCTGGCCCCGTGGCGGTTTCCCCGGTGCCCAGGGCCCATACTACTGTGGTGTCGGTACCGGCAAGGTCTACTGCCGTGACATTGTCGAGGCTCACTACCGCGCTTGCTTGTACGCTGGCATCAACATCTCCGGTATCAACGCCGAGGTCATGCCCTCCCAGTGGGAGTACCAGGTCGGCCCCTGCGCCGGCATTGAGAGTAAGTGCAATTGCAGATTTGAAGATATTGACGCAAACTAACTGAGATCAGTGGGTGACCACCTCTGGATGTCCCGTTTCCTCCTCCACCGTGTTGCCGAAGAGTTCGGTGTCCGCATTTCCTTCGAGCCCAAGCCCATCAAGGGTGAGTGGAACGGTGCCGGTCTCCACACCAACGTGTCCACCAACGGTACCCGTGCCGATGGTGGTATGAAGGTCATCGAGGCCGCTATGAAGAAGCTTGAGGCCCGTCACGTTGAGCACATCGCCGTCTACGGTGAGGGCAACGAGGAGCGTCTCACCGGTCGCCACGAGACCGGTAGCATCGATAAGTTCTCTTACGGTGTTGCCGACCGTGGTGGCTCCATCCGTATTCCCCGCCAGTGCGCCAAGGATGGCAAGGGTTACTTCGAGGACCGTCGCCCCGCCTCCAACGCTGATCCTTACCAGATCACCGGTATCATCGTCGAGACTCTGTGTGGTGGCCTCTAGATGGATACGAATCATTTGGTCTTAGCGCTCCGATACCCTTCGGCGTCAACCTGGGAGTCGGACCAGAGCCTGACTCTGTGACGTGAGGGAGCTTCCCATAGATGTTCCGTGTTTCTCTCTCTTCCTCTTGTGTGCCTATCCTTTCCCGGTATGAGTGCCTCTTGCGTTCTCTGCCACTCCCTCGTTGCACTAGCCGCCCTCACTTTTTTTTGTTTCTCTCTTGACTACCCGTTGGGTAATGTGACACGTACAATAGCATAGAATATTTATGGATGGGAAAATCAGACCATCGTTTATCGAGAGATATCATTTTGATATCGTTCCTCTGGAGAATCGACAACTAATTCCAAGACAAAAGTGTGCACTGATCTCCAGAGTAATTCCCCAATGCTGCATTGTAGTCTCGCCGGATCTAGATCTGGCCATTTGATAGATCTGATAGATCTTGAACCTAATCTTGTCCGACATGAAGTGTCCAATGATGGCAAAGCATGCACCTTACACTGTCTATCAACTCTTAACAAGATTCTTCTAGAAACATCGCAATTCAAACTCCGACCACACCAATATCAACTCTTGTTATACTACAGTCTAGATGTTAATTATCGCGCATAGTAAAGTGTAGCCTCAGTTTTATCTCTAGCAGATGGATATTATAAGACTGTATTCCGCAGGAGACAGACGAACAGAGCTAACATGAGAGCTTGACTTGACATTGACAAGAGCTTAAATTAACATCACTTATGGGCAGCTACTCCCTTCATAGCAGGTGGGCCCATCTCATGTTAAATGCATGCATCTATCTATCACTCTATAAAACCAACATCATTAATCCTACCAACCCCCTACTCAGAACCGCCGGTCCTCAACCCAAACCTCTTAAACCTCTTCCCCAACCCCTGCAACCCCCTCTGCCTAACTTCCCTCCTCCCAGCCCCATCAACAACCTCAGCATTCTCTTTATACCGCCCATCAACAAACCTCAACAAAACCTCCATAAGCACCGCAGAAAGAATACTCCCAATCAAAATCCCAACCATAACAAGATTACTCTTGCGATACTTCTGCCGGCCTGGCGCCTCATAATCACTCTTCCACCCAGAATAAAGCGCATACGTAGTCAGGATGGATCCCAGATTACCCAATCCAGATACAACAGCCGACGCAGCCGCAACGCCCACCTCGCCGTGCCGTGGTTGGAAGATTTCTGTCGTCCAGGTCATTGTTATTGGCACTGTGGGGCCTAGCCCGAAGCCGACGATTAGGAGGCCTCCGTAGCGTGGCCACGGGTTTGCGTCACTCCCTGCGTAGCTCGTTAGGAGGAGGCCGAGAATTTGAAGGAGGACTGGGAGGGAGAAGAAGATTGCTCGGTGTCGGTGGAAGCGGTCTGAGAGGGGTGTGACGAGGAGGATGGCGATTAGGTCCATCTATAGAGGTGTTAGCAGTGTTCGTAACAACAAGATGTAAGATGTGAGAAGAGGTGAAATGGGGATGGAACATACAATCCAAATAGGTGCCGTCAAAAGACTCAACTCAACCCCACTCAATGTCGGATTAATAGCCTGAATAATCAAATTCGCATAAAGTTGCACCCCAATGCCTACACCCACAACCCCGAAATACATAACAAGCAACGGCCACAACCTCCAATCAGCAAAGACCCTACCAAGATCCCTCAAGGTCCAAGCGGGCGAATGATAAACGCGCTTCATATCATGATAATGAACTCGCGCATCACGCCCACTAAGCGCAGGCGGACTGCGCGGGATCCAGCGCAAGACGCCGGGTCGCGGGGGTAGGGTTTCGCCTGGTGGGGTTGGCCGGTCTGGGAGCCACCAGAGGAGGGCGAAGCCTAGGGCTACGGTTATCACGCCGTAGACTAGGAACATCCATTGGAAGCCGACGAGGCCGTGCATGCCGTCCATCTTTTGGAAGCCGGCGGACACGAGGCCGACGACGGCTGCGGAAACTTGGGAGGCTGTGAAGTATTGGCCTATTCTTTTGCCGATTCGACTGGGCGGGTAGAACAGGGTTAGGTAGTAGGTCATTCCGGGCCACATTCCTGCTGTTACTATTCCCAGGAGGAGACGGAGGAGGCTGTTTATATTTGTTAGGATGGGAGTTGGATATGTAAAGGGTGGGTAGGTGGGTGGGTGAATAGACGTACTAGAAGCTCCAGGCAGCTTTCATGGCTGCTAGACAAGATCCAATTAGACCTACGCTGATGACGATCCGGCTCATCCAGACGTGTGGACTGAGTCGAGTCATTATCAGGTTTGAGGGGAGGTCGAAGATCACGTAACAGACGTAGAAGAGGGCTAGGCCGGTTGAGATTTGGTGGCGGGTTAGATGGAGGACGTCTGCTAGGTCGTGGCCAGCGTCTTGGTTCATGGTTTGTGCTAGGCCTACATTTGAGCGGATGGCTGAGCAGAGGAAGTAGAGGACCCAGAATGCGGAGATGATGCGCCGGTCCAGTTTTCTGTGTTGCATGTTAGTTTTGATATTGGGTTGTTGATCGGGGGTTTGTTGAATTCACCTGTAGATGCGTTCGATGTTGGTTACGCTTTGCTCGCCCGATTCAATGTCCTCCGGGGCGGTCTGGTCTTGGGATATCTCTGGTTGCTCGGAGACATCGTGAGATGCTGGTGGTTTGTCGCCTTGCGAGACGACGTGGTGGTCTTCACTCATTTTGGCGTTGTATTATTATCGTATAGTTTTTTCTTGAGTTCTGTTGGAAGATTCACGCCAGTGCACTGGCTAGAGGCAGTGTCAATCAATTGACATCAATTGACATCAATCGACCAGTATATAGATACCGAGAGTGAATAATTCGCCTGCAGATTCTGAGTCAGTAGAATTCATTTCCCTACATCTTTCCCTCGGAAGCTAAACCGTGCAAGGCTTTACCGAGGTCATAGATCCCGTAGTCGCACGAAGGGAAAAAAGACGTGAAAACCTACCTCCAATCTAGATTTCTCTAGACCTTAACCCCTGTATAACTTCTGACAGAATAAATGAAGCGGAGAAAGACTCGCCCGTTTGCGGATCTGATAAAGCCGAGAGGGGAGTCTTGGCGGAGAAAAAAACACAGACCTCCGATCGGCACTTCAAGTAGCCGACTCAGTTCTATAACCAACCTGCAGGTTTTATAGAAATCGCGTGACTCACAATCCTGAACATCCGAGAGAAAAGAAACGGATGTTGAGCCGTTGAGGGTCCGGAAAATCCTGCCGTTCCCAACGCAGAGGTTCACCGAGGATAACCTTATTCTCTCCGTTTTATCCACTTTTTTTCAGCTTTGTCTCTACTTTTCAGTTCTAGACTAACTTAACTGTATATCTTCTATGTTCGGCTTTTACTCGGAGTTCGTTGCCCCTTGCAGAGATCTTCGCTGTCAGAATGTAACACACGCGGCATTTGTGTGGACTACAGTGCGGCAGCAATGTTCCATAGACATAGCATTGGCAGAGTATACACCGATGTCTTGTTTTGTATGCCAAGTTGTTTAGCTTCTTCAGGGATGTCATTTCGATTGCTCGATCGCCGATTTCGGTGATATCACGTGCCTGCATATCAAACCAACCAAGTAAAACTGGCAACAATCATATCGACGTAGTTTGTCAAAGTGACAGCCCGGTGTAGGAACAAGTAATTGGCGACTCGTAATTGAATTTTCAACCGCTTGGGCCTCAACAGTATGTCTGACTCATAGAACCTCCTCTCTCCGTCTCTTTTTCTTTTCCTCTCTCCTAGGTCCTTTTCGCTTCATAGAACCCAATACACTCCTTTCATGAAGCTTTTCTCCACCTTGTTTTCTCTCGTGTTAAAAAGATAGTAACTATTAGAGCCTGTTAAAACCCTCAAACAACTTTTGTATTCGGCGGGAGTCCCTCAGCCTGGTCATCTCTCTGTATTCGCCAGTCAGCACATTAAACGTTTCCAATATTGGTAGCAATAAAGCCCTTGCCAGTGCTGTCCAAAGTCCCTTTGCAAGTGCAATTTCGTGGTCACAGCAGGCCAGCTTTTCAGGTCCAAATTCGGTGAATGTCGTTGCCACATCAAAGTCAACCCAGACCAGCCTATCGGGATTCCACGAACAAGTGCATGTTCCTAGATTAGGTATCTCGATGAAGGACGCCCGCCATATGTATCTCCTTCAAGCCCTCAATTGCCTAGGGATAGAGCCCATCGGAGTAGTCCACGCAGTGCAATTTCTCTGCACCTGGAAGATATTCGAGCAATATTGTGCTTGGTTGGAACTTGTCTTGGGCGAAATCTTGGAAAGCAGGATAGTACGAGCCGAATCTGCTCGATCTATGTAGTCGTAGGATTTTGGTACGAAGCTGCTCCCACAGGCACCAGAAGCGAGAAGCTTCTCGTATGTATTGAATTCACAGCGAAATCGGTTCAGATCACGGCCTTTCTCGGTATATCCTAGGTCGTTCCCGCGCGGAGAGAGCTTGTTTCCTCAAATCCAAGAATGATTTTCTGTCTTTTTCCTCGGGCCCGTCGGAACTGGAGGGTCTGGACGGTTTCTCCTTGATTATCTGTAGTGGTTTTCCACGTCGCAGAGTCTTCCTTCCCAGTTATGGATCGGTGTGTGTAGACGCATTCAGATTCTCACTGATAAGTTGAGGCAGTCGGTTTTCAGGATCCCTCCTTTTCTGATGGAGAGGTTGAACTTCACTGGTTATGAACCTCACTTCCCCGTACTGGCAGGTGATTTGGTTCTGAACCAGTGTGGCATACTCAGTTTGTTTCTGAAAGAGGTATTGATACTCTTGCAGATGCGAGGGGGATCCCACGCGATCCCCGTCCACGCCTTTTGGTTGCATGCCGCGATTTCATCAATGAAGCGAAACATAGCGCCATCCATCCTTTCGAGGATGTGTATTCTCTCGGCTTGGGGATGCGGCCTCATTTGTCGGTCAGTAAAGAATGGCACCTTGTATCTGTCATCCCTGATTTTCTACCGATGTGCGAAAGTTCACATCAGCCATCACTCCTGCCAAGCAAAGTGACAATAAGAGCGAGGCCAATCAACTCTGACCAGAAGCTCAAAGCAACGCTAAAGCTGCCTCAGACCTCAGATGGAGGTGAAGCAGGATAATTGAGCGGCCGGATACATCGGGAAGGACACCGACATCAGGAATCTACCCAGGCAATGCGGGCCCTTTGCGGGAATAATGATCATTGGTGAAGGCTGAAGCATAGGTAGAGGAGAGAGCGGATGTCAAACTTGTTTAGCCATCCTACATGTCTATTATGGCGGTGAGGGAAGCCGGCAAACAACTGCGCCTTGTCCGGAGCCGCTGCCGCTGGTCACGGGGGCATCGAGCCCTAAGCCAAGTACCGCCCTGCTCCCAATATCCTACATTAGCTCGATTCACACCAATTAAGAAAGCATATCCACTAGTAACTAGCCTAAATAGACCCTAGCTTCCCAGGAATTCCGTATCCGTAGTCGCGGATACCCCAAAAAAGCGGCTCGAGTCCACGCCAAGATCTACAACCTCGTATTGCCAGCAAGTGCGGACCGCCACACAAAATCTCCTCCCAAAAGACCCCTAAAAGATACCCCGAATACGAAGAGCACGGGTGATTTCTCGCATTGATATTTCGATATGAGATTGAGCCGCAGGGCACGGGAGGGGCGGCGGGCATATAAAGCCATCCCCACCCTCGATCAGACCGCAAGCAGAAAACAAAGCTGGGGTCAATACAGAGAGGCTTGGCAATCAGTACACAACCCAAGACGAGACCGCACCTCGAATCCAAGATGAAGAGCCTCACTCTACCCACCCTGCTCCTGCTCTCCAGCAAATTGACCACAGCAGCCGACCTCCAAGATGAGCCTCAACTCTTCTCAAATGTCTCTGTCCTCCACCTGGCTTCCGAAAGAATCCTCTCAACTCGAGACCTAGGATTCGGGTCTGACTTCAATATCCTCAACAACCGCGCTTACGAATGCCGCGCCGGCTACAGCGAATGCCCTAACGACACATTACACTGCTGCAAAACTGGAAAATCTTGCTGCAGCGGCACCAACTACTGCGCTGATCCAGGCGAAACCTGTTGCTCAGACTACGGGACCTGTCCTAGCGGATGGAAATGTTGCAGTGGGACTGGCTGCGCGCCGACAGACGGAGAATGTTGTACCGGGGGCTATTATTGTCGGGCTGGGAAGCAATGTCGGATATGGAACGGTAATCATGTTTGTTGTCCCTCTACTGGTTGTGTTGGTGAGTTTGATACTGGCAATGATGTGGGCACTGTTGGGGGCTCTAAGGCTACGGAGACGGAGACAGAGACGGCGACTGTCACGAGTGCTTATACCACCGCTGCGCCTACGGTTACGTATCTTGATTGGAATTATTATTATACGACCGTTTACTGGTATGTTTGGTTGGGGAGTTGGGCATGGTTGGGGAGCGGTTTTCTGACTTTTTTATAGGACGTATTGGTTCTATTTCTGGACTTCTATCCCGCCTTATACTGTCCAGACGGTTACTTCGACTTACACGACTACTCGCACTATCTGGTCGGTGCTTGAGACAAATAGTGCCGAGGCCTCTGCCTCACTGTCGTCTAAGTCTGCAAGATATACGTTCTCTGTACCGTATTCGGCCACTTCTTTGAAGAGTTCGTTGGAGCCTGTCACTCTGTCAACGGCTGATGCTACCCCGAGTGCCACGTCCATTAATTCAGGTGGCAATAGTGGTAGTGGATCTGGTACATCTGTGTTCGGTGGTTCTGCGGTGAGTGTGAGTGTTAGTGCCACTGGAGTCATGGCTGCTGTCCTGGCTGCTGCTATTGGCGGGTTGGCGTTTGGACTGTGAATTACTTCGAGGGGAATGAGTGTGTCAATGGCCGATGAGGGCAGACGGGGTTTTTGTTATGATACCTTTGATCTATGAGTTTCCTATCTTTGAAATGAATACTAACAGTTGTAATTGTCCCACGTATTGTCCCAAGTGTCTGTATATGCCCCAAGAGTAATCTAGGTGACGGTAAAACTGCCGCCTCGGGAAGTGCTCGGCTCCCGGAGCACAGGGTGAGTTAGTCACCCCGCCGCCCTAAGCAGCTCACGGAGCGACACTAAGCAGCCCACTGAGCAACCTGATCGCTTACCCCAGTACTCAGACTGATCGGCCCTCAACTTACATCATCGTTCTTTTAAAAGCTCCGACGATATCCGCACTGCTGCCTACTCCTAGGAGCGATAACTAGGAAACGGCGTATTCTCCCGTTTCTACAGTAACTTTCACTCTGTAAACTTCCAGTTAGTCGGCTCAACAGGGTCTTTCAACTTATATAAGAGATTGACCATCTCATCATCTTTACAATTCACCATCCACTCTTCCCTTCAACATGCAGGCTCCGTCCCCGTCCATTTGAAGTAAAGTAAAGCTAATGCGACCTGTTACGGACTCTTAGACGCCCACAACCTCTGATATAAGGCAATCGCGTTGTTCTCCGTCACTTTCACCCAAACTAGGTTCACATTCAGCCACGGCATATGCAGGGCTTGTCATCCATCCTGTCAATTTGTCGTACGGCGCTCGTCCGTGGCATCCTCCACATTCTGATCCCCCCCTTTACTTCCATGCGTACAGACGCGGCTAGTGGCTTCCTCGCTGAGCTTATGACGTACGTCGATTACGTTCTCTCGGGCAAAAAAATCAAGTCTGACCTAGTATCTTTAGGGACGAGAAGTATGAGCGCAAAGTGAGGCATTCAAACGACCCCGTCATGGTGACCTTGCTCTCCTCATGGGACAATAATTGCAAGATTATCAAGTCGAAGATCGAGGAGCTAAGCAGAAACTTCGTGACCATCAAGTTTTACCAAGTAGATGTCACAAAGCACGCCATGCTTCGCAGTGTCTTCCTTGACAAGGAACTGCCTACTATCGTCTCCATACATAACGGTGAGGATTTCTTAACCCTAAACGAAGCCCCATCCTTTCAGGGTATTCGGGAAGGCCTAGAAGCGCTCCAGACTGCATTGAACGAAATTCGCGTGGGATGACAAGGGACAAGCATTAAATTCTAGTTTCGATTCGGCCTGCCGTTTCTATTATTGTTTGTTGTGACGCAGTAAGAGAGTTCAGTGTGCATGGCGGAAGAGTCAGCGTAAGTTGATTCAGGATGGTAAATTAACTTCACATCCTGTTTATGTGCGTACTGGGTGTTGTGAGCCTGGGCTAGAAATATGTAGTAAACCTCTTCATTGTTTGAAAATATTGTAGTAATGTTCATTCGCAGCACGACTATTGCAAGGCCGTTTAGTGAAATTACCACTTTGGTCGTATCGAGAACGATGTCAAGAGCGTGCAGTTGACGGAGGCACCAAATCCGGGGTATGACATGCAGCTAATTCAAGAAAAATACTCCAGCCACTCTGGAAAACTCATCAGTCCTGGACATCTCATGTAACCATCGACAAGCCTTCCTGATATGGCGCACTGTTTCCTCAAGTCTTATGGAGCCAAGTTCAACTTGACCAGCAAGGCTGACCATGAGGGTGGTGGAACATTGCATAATATAGTAGAGAATGGACCACTATGGGCAATACTCATATAGCCAGGGAACATCTGGTTCGTCGGGTAGAAGGTCGAGGACACTCCGTGCTACCTGAATGCATATAGCGGCCATGGTCTGGCAGTGGACGCTACAAGGGCCCTCCGTCGATACCCTAATCACGCGGCGCAAGCAAGGCTCTAGAATAATGAGCTTGATAGAGTAGAACCGAAATGCGAGGCTGGTGCGCTGACGAACAATTGGGCAATTGGGCGATGACTTGTCAAAATTGTAGTATGAAGGTAGTTGGGCGAACCAGCCATCGGCGAATGCGTTACTTCTGGTGATTGAAGTCTCTACCTCATCACATGAAAGCAACGCGGTGCTAGAAGAGTGGATTTTGTCCATGGCGGTTCTGCCAAGTGCAAGCCAAGCCTACACGGCACAAGAAGTATAGTGATGTGTTGGGCTCGATACTTTCCGGCGCAGAGGACCCGTCTGGTCTTTTTTCATCTCCGTCCCTCGTAACTATGTGAAGGGAACGTGTAAAACGTTGCTGATCTCCACTGTCTGTTTTGGCCGCAGGGGGAATGAAGAATGATACCAGAGCCTTCCTGATATCTTCGTTTGCAATAATTTGTGCAATACGGTCATCTAGAAAGTCTTCCACTTGATAAGGCACAGGAAGAGGCGTTGTACAGTATCTCAGGTCCATGTTGAGTGGTCGTCCAGTCATTAAGCATAGCTGAACGTCTAATGAGTATAACGCCCACCAAAGGGGATACCTTGTCTCCTTGGACATGCTAGAAATGGACTCATTTTCAGTACGAAGGTGTATCCCCATGGTCACTGCTGATCGCATTGTGATGCCACACATTCGCCAGGCCTGCTCACGGTGACATCAGTCCCTGGTCGTTTGGATGTCGTGGGTAAACGAACCTACCTATTGATGTGACCTAGCGAAAGGAGGTATAGCGATATAAGGGACTCGATCTGTACCTGTTGTAGACTCGGGTGGTCTAATACAGCAGAGTCCCTCGCGTAGAGCTCCCAGGCTCGTGGGAAGTAGGACATATCGACTTCAGATTCCTTTCTCACGAGAGAGCTGCGTCGTGAAGCGATAGCGAATATCAAATTCAACACTGCCATCCATCTCCTACCAGGTTGCGTGCCAGAATTCGCATAGAAACAGCGAAATTGTTCCAAAAAAATTTGTTTCCCAACAAAGGGAAACGAAGCGTGCACGTTTTGAAAATAGCTTCCCACAAGTTGAGTAGCAGCCTCTTTCGAGGGCCAGTCCGGACAGTCATTCAGGTCTGGAACAAGCATTTGCATGTTGTCGAGGAAGTAATTTGCAGACAAAGGTGGGAGATATCCTGACCGGCCCAAAGAATGTGCAATTTTGCTGTGCGTGTTTGGTTCCGTTTGTAGACTATTCAGCCATGCTATCTCTGATGGCCTACCCATCAATCCCGTCGCCCGAGTATCCCCATCCCCGTTGAGGTCCTCAGTGGTGTGATCGGTCGGTTGTACAGGGTTGTTTGTTGCTTGCTTGCCGTCTTTTACCGGGCTCGGCCTTGGAGTCATCGGAGACGTGACTGGAAGCTGAGTACCGCCAGATGCTCCGAAGGGAAAGGATCTATCCTGGTCTCCTACTCCACCAATAACCTTCTCAACCTTTATGGCCAATTAACGATCGAGACGAGGATGCAGATTACGTAGAAGGTCCTCGTACACCCGTATCCGAGACTGAAGATCGGCCGATTGCCTAGATAAAATGTCAGCAATTCATGCATCAAGCAATTCTAGAGGCCATGCCACTAAACTTGGCATCTCGCTCTCGCTTCCTATCTGTGTAGATGCACGTAATGTCGCTTTGACGGCACCTTTGATACGCGGGGCCATGGCCACTACATTTTGCCTTCTGTTCACGACAAGGGTCACATGCCCGGCTGACTCTCTTGTTCGAAGTCGGAATTTCGGGGCTTGACCCGCGCGGGATAGCCACTTTATCGTTCAGAGGGTGAAGAGCATGGCTTTCCATGACAGGCTGGCACGGGGCTCCAGATAACACGCTGGCCTCATTTGACCCGAGGAGGCGTGGACACCTGCCAAGCCATGGTTGTGCCTGGAAAGAGGCGAGTCATGGCCTGCCAGTCCCAACACAATAGCCTCGCGAATTTCCTCTTGGGAGCACAGAGTATATGCCAGGTTGTGCATGTTAGCTAGAGTGTCGGGATGCTCTGGCCCTAAAACTCGGCTATGGACCTCCATCACCTGCATTCCTAGCTCCTCTGCCTCCTTCCATCGTCCCTGATTCCGGTACGTGGATGCCAGGTTGGCCATACTGATTAAAGTATCAGGATGCTCTGGCCCGAGAACTCGACCGTGGACCTCCATTACCTGTACTCCCAGCTCCTCTGCCTCCTTCCATCAACCCTGGTTCCGGTATGTGGATGCCAGCCTGGCCATGCTGGTCAGAGTGAAGGCATCATCGTGACTTCTCTCTCTTCTTCGTAGTTTAGAATGTCTTCGAACAACACAGCTGCTTCGAGGTATCGCCCATCTGTGCGCAGACACCTCCCGTCATTCTGAACCGATCTTGTGTAACTCCCGCGTTCTCTCCGGGATATCAATTTCGTCAACCAATGAGAATACATGTGATAAATATCCCCTCCATAATGCTTGATTTTTATGATCATTGCCTGGAAAAACCCCTTTAAGGTGCTTGGCTGCTTTTCGGATTTACGGGCCGAACTGTCGTTCACTCCTCAGCCAGTTCTGAGTCGAGAGGTGCACTAAACAATGTAGACTGAGAGCATGGTCTGTCACTAGTTCACTCACGAAGGAAAAGGCCTTGAGTAGGCCGATTGCATCAATCTTCTTCTTTCTTGAGGGCGCCTCAGGAAGTAAAGATTGTGGACTGTCACGTGGGTTTATGCATGCCATAAACGACAGATAGTCAGCTGCTAGCGGATTCAATCGCTGAACTTGCTGGAACGAGATCAACCACGGTGTAGCAACTGGGTTCTGAATGTCTTGATACCGCCCGTCGTCTCCAAAATCTTCACTAAGTCAATGACGTCAGATCATCGCTATATCATCGACGGAGACTGTTCGAGATGACTTCCAGTCATTTTGTTCCTTGGAAGATCCAGCCCTATCACGATACAGCAACCATGACCTCGTTTGGTGTCAGAAATGCGACGATTGGCTGCAACACATGGGCAATCGCGGCCCATGTGGTGAGCTCGCAGGGACTCGGCCAACATGAGTGGCACGCAGAGGCCGTCCCCTGCAAATTAGGCTGGTAGCCTTCTCGTATTCCCCACTTAGAAGTCGGCTAGCGGCCGCAGCCAAGGTTGCTCCTGAGGCTTGAGCACTCAACTGTCAGCACACACAGCTCTCTCCCGCGCTGATACAAGCACGCATCAAAGTCGCAGGCTTGTCCTTACATTGACTTGACTATTATCCTTGGAAGTGGTGAGAGGCTTTTGTCTCGCGAAGGCTGAACCCCCGCAAGTAACTGGCTTCGGCAACTGCTGGCATTCGATGTCCAACTTCGAGATCCCAAGATGGGTCAGCACATGTTACAATTGGATGGATGCTTTAATTGCGCCGAACAAGTCATTGGTTATTGCCAGGTCTACTGCTGCAGGGGACTGCCAGCTTGCAGTGTTTGGCGAAGGGCATGCATTAGTAGCAGGCACAAGACTCGACCGTTTTCCAGCCCCGTTCAGCCGCAAGGGAAATAAGAAGAGCTGAAAGCCCAGAACCTTTTGACCATCACTGCTGCTGCTCGAAAACCAGGTTGTCGCCATGCCCGCCCACTCCGTTGGTCATACTGAATCCGACACTGTGTCTGTTCATCAACCCGACCATGTAAATGTCGACCCAAAAACACCCGCCCAGCAAACGTCCAGCGTCCCTACGGATGGGCGTGAAATCACACCGGCAAAATGGGGAATCGGGTGGCAGTGCCCCGCCATGATGGTTGGCCCTGTGATCTGCGGCGCCCTTTTGGCAGTCGGCCATCACCTGTACTATGACAGCCTCAACGACACGCGTGTCCACTCGATTAACCAGCAGACTTGGGCGATTCGAATTGGAACAGCCTTTGCATTTCTAATACGGTCCTTCCTGGTTGCTGCCGTTGGAGTCGCAGCGACGCAGGAGCTTTGGGCGACGCTGCGCAAGAAGAGTATCCGGCTCTATGGAATTGACAGCATGTTTGCGGTCATGGGCAGCCCGCTTGCGCTCCTCACGTGGGACGTCTGGGTTTACGCGAAGACACTGACTCTTCTCGCAATCCTCGCTTGGTTAGTATACAGGCCCTGCCGCGTTCTAAACCGTCTACTCACCACTGTCTAGGCTCATCCCCCTAACCGCCATCGTTACCCCGGCCACCCTCTCAGTCCGCCTCCTCACAACATTCAACACCACCCAACTCCATGTCCCGAATGTCGACTTTGGTAGCCAGTCCTTCTGGTACGACTGGGTAACCTTTGGTGGAGTGGGCTACATCTCGGGGCCATCTCCCGACATCAGCCGTCTCTTTGCAGCGACGACTTCGGCGATCAACATGCTCACCATCCCAGCACCTTTTCCCAACTCGTCCTACACCCTTGACTTCTGGGCTCCCTCTTACAAATGCCAAAGCCTCAGCGATGCCATCACGGAGATGCAGGGGATGACATTCACGCAGGAGTTCGGTGACAACTACACCTCGCTGCAAGCCCTGTGGGACGCGGAGATGGAGACCAACTCGACCGTTGCTCAGACGGAGCTGTACACGGGGGCGGTCCCGTATTTGCTCAACAACACCTTCTTCATCCGCACCTCGGGCGAGAACCCGCTCTCAGAAACCGGACCAGAGCTCGTCTGCCGCATGTACAACACCTCGTACATAATCAACCTCAACTTCACCGACGGCACAGAGTCTCTCACCCCGATCGCTGTCTCGCCACTCAACCCGGCAAACTGGACTTTCTCGGAAGGCCAACTTTCTTCTGTTCCCCCCCTCACTGGGATCAAACCGGAACCCGCTTACACCCCAAACAGCGGCTTCCACGTCACGCACCTTCTCTTCGGGGGCCTCCTCCAGCGCCGCGTGCGAGCTGGCGCCACGAGCAACCTGGTCCAGGAATCCGACTCCGATGGGTGGGGCGACAGCACGTCTATCACGCAATCGGGCCTCTTCTCCTGCCCGGAGATCTGGAATAGCACGATCTACGGAAGCCTATCACTAACCGGCAGCCCTACGCCCGCGCAGTGTCGCAAGGGGACGCTCGCGGCCGCGATCGAGGACCTCTCGCATAATTTTACGTATAGCCTCTTCAGCCTCAATGCCGCCAACACGAGCGTGCCGGTCTTTGCGTCCGAACCGCAGAACTTTTACACCTACAATTATCGGAACCTGGCTGCTGCCTATGCGGCTGCCGTGGGCGTCACTGTCGCGTGTGTCGCTGTTGGGTTCTCGGCGCTGGTGAAGAATGGTGTTCCGCAGAACTCGGCATTCTCGAGTATGTTGATGACGACGAGGAATCCCGAGCTGGATGCGTTGGCTGTAGGGAATTGCTTGAGGGGTGGTGATGTGTTGGGGAAGAATGTGGGAGGTGTGAGGTTGCGCTTTGGCGAGGTTGTTGCGCCGGAGGGGGATCGGGGTACGACTACCAGCAGTAATAGTAGGAGGCATGTGGCGTTTGGGACGGATGGGGCTGTTACGGCGATTGTCAAGGGGGAGAAGTACTATTAGTCGAGTCTTGAAAGCAGCGCTGATGAAACTATTTTGTACGTGTTCAAGATGCTGTCTGGGTAGTTTTGTAGAGTCAGGTCGTTCCTTCCTTCTAACCTCGGCTGAGCCGTAAGGAAAGCGCGACCCTGAGCCATGAGACGCACCTTCCTCTTACGAATTAGGAAAGAACGATGCAATTCGGTCGTTCCTTCCCCCGATACTTTAGTGGAACGGTGACGAAGGCGAGACCAGGACACGCTACCACCGGCACACACACAGGGTCGGCGCCCCAGCTGTGCCCTGTTCGCATAATCTGAAAGAACCTTCATAACACGTCAGCGTACTCGTGCCCTTCACCTCTTCTACAGGTATCTATATATTCGCGACGGTTGATGGTGCGAGTCCATGTCGCGTTTGCCATATGCCCGATCATGATCAACAAACCGAGCTGGGCTTGCCGACCCAATCAGATGCAAGGCTTCAAGCGAGTTCATCCGAGAAAGACCGTCTGGGATCCTCGTATCATGCACACGTTATGCTCATTTAAGACAAACGAGGCAAGATGATCGCACCGAATACTAGGCCAGCCCCAGCCTCATCTCTCCGCCCAGGATCCTCGTGATCACACGCATTGCGTCTGTTTGACCTCGACACCTTTGAACCGCCATGCCCCTTTATTACAGTGACATCCACGATGATCCCCGCCGTGGTCTCGGCTCCTCTACACAAGAGGCGGATGCGCCTCGGAACGAAGAGCTGCGCCGACTGTCGACGGTTGCAATTGACAAGGGGATATGGTCGGTCTTGGTCTCACTTTGTCTGTTTTTGTCGATCTTGTTGAATAATAGAAACTGGGTCGTTTAAACAGTACCATGCTATATATTATATCGGTATGAAATATGTATGATTCTAGGAATGACTATCTCTTTCTAAAGAGACCTCTGGTGTACAGTAGCAACTTCTGGTATTTTGCGGTACATCTGCAGCTCGAGTACCTCTCTATTCGCCTCAGAAACGACGATTGTTTCTTCTTTATATATGGGCATAGGAATGGGGTATAAAATAACAAATCATAACCGCAAAGGCCAACTATATCACCACAAGTGGTTAGCCATTTATCGTGGAGGATAGCAGTCCCAAACGCCGTCCTCAGGGCTGCGCGTATTAGCAGGATCGCAGGTTCCAGACCCACGAGACCAGCAACATGAAATGATGAATCACAAGACATGTCAAAAGAAAATGTATTCAAAAAATGTTGGAGAGCTCAGTTACTATCAGATGAGCTATTTTTCAGGTGCTCGAGATGAGTACCTTTTCCAGTCTCCAGATCAGCCCCAGCTGTGAGCTTGCTCTGTTGCTTATCGGAAACATAGCTGGCACGGCGAAGATGCTCCTCGGTGTCCTGGTAGTTGATAAGAAGCTCACCATTCTTTCCGTAGCGGTGGGGCTCGTTGCGCGCAACAGAGACGACATCGAAGATACTGGATGTCTTGTGGAAGATTGTGTCCATTTCTTCCAGAGATCGGTAGGCTGTCTCTGGGTAGAAGAAGTATACAACGGGGAAGATGAAGGCGTTGCTAATAATATTGGTTAGCTACGGAGACTGATCGTCTGTCGCATGAAAGACTTACATGGCTGCAAAAATGATGTAGGTCTTGTACTTGATCGAGTCGAATGCAACGGGTGTGATCATGACAACCAAGAAGTTGAAGATCCAGTTGCCCGAAGTTGCCAGGGCATTGGCAGGGGCACGGATACGCAGAGGAACCTGTAATTGTCAGAAAATATATCTCGATCACAAAAGGTAGAAGCCTTACAATCTCAGCAGGATATAGCCAAGTCATTCCCAACCAGCCGAAGGCGAAGAAAGTGTTAAAAACGAACAAGAACACTGCAGCCGCAATACCAGGCTTGCTATCGCCCTCAAAGCTGGTGGTAATGGCCAAAACGATCATTGAAATCGACATACCAGCGGCACCGATCAACATCAACGGTCGACGACCGACCTTCTCAATAATGAAAATGGGAATCAGAGATGCCAAGAAGTACTCGGTTCCGTTGCAGGCAGCCAGTATACGCGACGTCAAACCATCCATTCCAATGGATTCATAGATTGTAGCAGCGTAGTATGTGATCAAGTTGATACCAGAAATCTGCTGGAACATCTGGTTGACGTATGCCAGGACGACACGGTGCAGGTGGCGGTTTTCATCCATTGTGAGCAAATCGCGCATGCTAACGCCCGAGGCTTCTAGCACGGCATCCTTGATGGCGGCAAATTCTGAGAGCACGTAGGGGTCACTTTCTTCCTCATCAAGGATGACGGCGAGGACTTCCAAGGCTTCCTCTTCGCGGCCCTTGAGGATTAACCAACGGGGTGATTCGGGTAGAGGAAGCACGAAGAAAAGGATGATCAGCGCGAAGACATTTTGGAAGGCGATTGGGAAACGCCATGCAACTGAGCTGGGGTCGAGGAAGGAGAATCCAAGGTCGATCCAGTAACTGATTGTGATTCCACCGGCAATTAGAGCACCTTCTAGCATGACTAGCTGACCGCGGTGGTGGGACTTGGAGCATTCTGTTGAGTATTAGCCTTGCCTTCTGTTATATAGTCAATAGTTTGAATACTTACCAGATTGCCAGGTAGGAACAGTAGATGTGTTCATGCCATTGCCAATACCAGTTACGATACGACCAACGATGAGATGTGGTAGCGAGTAGGCACATGCTTGGAGGGTAGCACCAATGACCATAATGATGGAGCCGGTGAAAATAGTCTTGCGACGACCGAGGTAATTCCCGATCCAGATACAGAAGATCGCACCGAAGAAACAACCCAAATTGTATGAAGCAACGGCGATTCCTAAAAATTTAGTACATAATTGTAGATTTCTGGTGATAAGCCACGTACCCTGTGTAGTGGAGTTGCTACTCGTTGACGAACTGGATTTGGTAGTGTCGATTTCGGGAAAAGTTGTAATAAATGAGTTCAGGGTCAGTAGACCTCCCATGACACCCCTGTGAGAAGTGAGTAAATGGACAAGGAGGTTTATGCTATGAGTTTGTTATAACATACTGGTCATATCCGAAAAGCCTGTAGATTGGATTTAGTAAATATTGTATCTCACAGAGATGGGTTCAACATACAAGAAATCAAGACCAGCAATCACACTGATCATGATATTGAGATTTGTCCCTCGTAGTCCAAAGTATGGCTTCATGATGGCGGTCTTGGTATCGGTGAACCTTGTAGGATGGATGTATAGTTCAAGTCAAGATGTATATATAGTCCAATCTAGCACCAGTCCAGGTACAAGAGAGTCCGGGTATAGCAGAGCAAGACCGACGAGTGGCTTTCGTAGCTAAGAAAAGAAAGAAGACACACTCCAGCCTGGGAGATAACTCGAGTTTATGAATCCCAGAGCCAGCCTGGAGGGTCCACAGGCATGAGCAGGCTTTGGAACACAAATCGGAGTCCAGAGCGAGCCAGTTGCAAGGTCACATTTGCTCTATGTTGACCGGATCGGGAGAAAGAGGCACTGTACCCCTCATTGGGGCCGAGGCGAGAAGGGGCAAAGTATCAAATTGGCATCTCTACGGGTCCACCGAGTGAACAAATCGGCTTCAGTTGTGAAGATATTCGAGGCCGGTTCCCGTGTGGTATCGGTAAGGGGTGGTACAATGATACGGTATTAAGCCTAATGATTCAATCACTGCACATTCTAGCATGGAAACTGTTTCCGTCGAACATCAAGAAGTGTATGACGACTACGTGGTTCGCGTGGTACTGCCATGCGAGGAATTGGCCGAAATCTGGAGAACCCCAGGCCCCCCAGAGTCCCCATTTGTTTCTCCGAGGGTGGAACTACAGCCCCGTACATGCCCACAGTACTCACTAACCACCAAGGAGACAAGACAGTTAAGTCCCTGACGTATATGCACAACCTATAAATGATCCAATACTAAATTATATCTTGATTTTGCTTTGACTTTTGCCAAGCTCGACAGGGATAAATCTGACAAACCACAGCGTCGGCTTCTAGGAATGACGATTTCCCGCGGAGGAGCGGGCGTAAAGCCTTTTCCCGGGTTCCTGGCGCTATAACCCGCGTATGATCTCGGGATGAGGGGAATTCCGAAAACCTGCTTGCGTTGAGGGGGAACGCCGGACTATGTTGAACTGGGATAGGCCTCGCCGATTGCGAGTGGGCCGACGGCCTTCGATGACGTCATGTACTATGCACTATATTGCCGTATTAGCATAGAGCGACGGACTTTCAAAGCACTAAGATGTTCAAATCAGAATATATTCCAAGCTATTTTGATTTCGTCCTAAGCTAGAATTGCGGTTATATACCTCTGTAGTGAACAACGGGCAAGTCGTTACTTTTCATAGCTTGTTACTTTCACAGCTTGTTACTTTCACAGCTTGTTACTTTCACGGCTTGTTATTTTCACAGCCTGTTACTTTCGCAGTCTCTTTTCAAACATACTAGGTAGAGCCATATCTGGTTGTTCTGGCAGGGAAGGTTCAACTCGGCCTGTACCGAACGGACACCCCGGGCTCCCCGGTTTCTCACTCGGGATGCCCAATCCGGCAGTGCGGTTTTCAACTACGACTCTGTATTTTACGGAATGCTACCCATTTATGTACGAGCTATGCATTTTGCTGGGATATTTTCATTTTTGAACAGATGAAAAAAACGAGACTCTATTATTTAATGGAAACATGTTGGTCTGCAATATATGGAGTACACTACCGCGCGAATGCATACCCGATCGGGGTACTGGGATTTGTGGAGACAGTTTGGTTATGCTGTGGCCTGATCTATACTGAATTGTGTTTCTGCTACAAACTAATATATATTATATTAATCTCTGAGACTACGGTATCTTGATCTTCATAAAACATGTGACTTGACTGTGGTTGCACATATTTGACCGATTCACGGACAGCGGCCTATACTTATCATTGTCATTGCATTTCCTCTTCCCCTTTCCGAATTAATTCGACTCCATAACACATACTCTAGACCAATATATCCCCATAAATATCAAAGAATCATCAGACTACCTAGGTACATATACCCAGGTAGGCCGGATTCGGACAATACAGACATACCAGTAAAAACACGGTAAATACATCCTCAGGTACTACACTACTAAAATAATCCAACAAGCTCACAACCAAATAAACTATCAAGTCAGAACAGCCAATGAATACACCTGGATATATAAGGACATCTACTCCCAGGTCCCAGATAAGCTTGTGTTGCATCCTGAGGACTCTTCGAGCTTATTGCCCCGTCTGAAGCCCCCGGATCGGACAAAGACCCTTCGACGACACAGGTATCGTCTTCAACCTCGTAGTCCAGTTTGTAGAAGTAGTTGACCGTTTGTTTGGCCAAAACAAGCACTTCCTCGTGTAGCGTGACCGTACGGGTTTATGGCAGAGTGCCAGAAAATGTGTCAGAGGTTTTGTCATTTGCGCTCGAGATCAATTGCTTCCCAAGTGGCTCTCTCGATAGCTGCAGCATGAGACTGCGTCTGAGGGAGTTTTATCGAGAATATCCGTTTCTAGACGGGCCTTTTCCGTAGTCAGTTCATTTGATGGGCTGGGACTGCGGTCGTCATCTGTGACAAGGTCAAGGGAAGGTGATGAGAGTTGCGAGAGTCAGTGGAGTCTGAAGAGTCCGGGTTCTCATACGCATCAGTTGCATCTGATGGACTAGATGGGTCGGACACACCGGAGGGATCAGATGTAAAGAAGCTATTCACTACCCAAGAGTACCCTGTACACCGGCTCGGCTGAACCTTGTCGGAATGCCGAGACTAGAGGCCGAGTTTAGGGATGCCGAGTCGGGGGAGGAATGCCGAATATTATTTGGTCTCCAGGGGTAGACAAGAGTAGATGTGGTGCCGTCATCACTTATTTCTCCGATGTGCATGTAACAGCCTACTTCTCCACTATCTGGCAGACACTATGAACCGATCTACTGTCTACGATGGGAAACAATATGTTAGAAAATCGTTTGGTTGAATTTGACTTTCCACTGAAATAACAATGGAAATCACCAGAGACATTATCAAGATCAGCCCATTTCATGCGCGGCCACATCGTCAGTCCAGAGGCTTGTGAAGACCCATGTCAGCCCATAAGAGCATTAAGAGCCTGGGATCACTTCCTCTTTTCGAGTCCGTCAGTCATGCGTGCACAGCGATATCCCCCGATAAATGGCATTGGCACAAATTTCAAAAATTAGAAAAATCAAAGAGAAGCAACAATTAAAACGTAGAAGTTGATAATGAGCATGGCACCGTGTATGACAATCCACTTTTCACCATCTTGGATTACCGTGAGGCAGTCCGAAAAGGCCAACAACGGGAAGTCTCGCGTGGCGCGGAGGAAAAGGGACGAAGCTAAGAATATGTTGTGGTTGCTTTGATGACAGTCTCCAGGTCCCTGTTCTTGTTGAATTGTGTGGTTTTCTACCAGCCGTCATCCGCGGCCTGAGGAGGCTCGGCATTGTGGCCAGAGAAATCGGCGCTCTCGTCAGCAAAGCTGTCAGGAGGAGTGCCAGAGGGCGAGTGGTGAGCATAATCATCATCTCCAGAGTCCTTAGGTGGCTGAGTGCAGCGGCGGTTGGTGTGTCCCACTGAGGTATCATTAGCTGGATTCAATAATCATAATCACACGTATGATGACTGACTCTCTCCACAGTTGTTGCACTGAACCTTGGACCAGTCCTTAGGCTGATCACAGTCACGAGAGAAGTGGCCGACTAAAAATGGAGATGTCAGTTCTGTTAACATGATATCATGACCGGGAGGCTGGAGAGTTTCCAGCTAGGTCTAACTCACCCTGTTCACAGTTGCGGCAAGTGATAGTCGAAGGGTCGCGGGGCTCAGTACATTCACGCGCCATATGGTCCTCCGAACTGTATACAAGTTACAATCAACTTCTTCCTGATCTGTGACGAGCCGAATACTTACCCGCAGTTGCGACAGGTGCGAGAGCCTCCACCAGTAGGGCAGTCCTTTGCAAAGTGGCCAACTTGAGCAGCTCCGTTAGCGTCTCCAACAATATATCAAAAGCGGGTTCCCATACCTTCGTTGCACTTGCGGCATTCAACGGTTGCAGCAGATCGAGGCTCGGGGCAGTCAGCTGCCTGATGGTCTCCAGCACTTCAGCAAGTCAGCATTTCACTTTCAAGCTTTTCGGAAACAGAAGTGACATACCCGCAATTGCGACATCCATGCTTGTGCTTGCGCTTCTGAGGGCAATCACGGACACGATGTCCAACCTCCTCGCAGTTGTTGCACTTGATTTCAACACGTTCGGGGTTCTCATTGCGCTCCGCTTTGCAGTTTTTGGCAATGTGGCCCAATTCTAGAATGGACAGTTAGCAGATCTTCGACCGCTGAAGCAAGAGCCAGAACTTACCATCGCAGTTATTGCACTGTGGAATCTTGCGTTCGTAGGGCAATCCAGCGTTCCCAAGACGTTCGATGTTTTCTTCGGGGGTCTCAGGCCAGCGGTCACGAAGGCGACCACGCGAAGCCTTGGGGCTATAGTAAAAGCCCACCTGGAACTCACGGTCCAGAACACCCTGGAGGTCTATCAGGCTCATGACAACGTCGACTTCGGCTTGCTATAATTGAAAACATGTGTCATTGATAGTTGGGGCACATGAAGCAATTCACTTACCAAAGCAATGATGAAAATGTTGAAGCCATCCTCACGCATCTTGTTCTCAATATCGAGGAAAGTGGCATCGGGAACAGCCTTGGAATAAGCCTTAAGAGCCTGAAGTGGGATGAGCTAAAGTCAGTCAATGCAGAGTGTGGCCTCACTCACGTCGCGGAAGTCCTCAAGATCCTTCTCATCGCTAGCAGTCTTCATGCGAGCCCAGGCCTCCTCAGGAAGCAAGTCGGCCACGAGGTTCAAGTCAAACTTGCGGTTGGACTTGCAATCAATTGTCTTGTGACCTTCGAGGCAGCAATTCTTGCAAACATCGGGGGGACGATCTGGGCACTCAGCCGCAGGGTGGCCCTCCTCCTCGCAAATACGGCAAGTACCAGTGAAGACACGAGGGTTGGGGCAGTCGGCCTTGGAATGTCTGTGCAAATCAGCGTGATCAGCATACTGAAGATCAGAATACTCGAAAGCAACTCACCCTTCTTCGCCGCAGTTGAAGCAAGCTCCCATCGCCTTACGGGGCTCGGGGCACTCGGCCTTTCCATGGCTGAATTGTAACGATCGCCATGTTAGCAGTGAGACAAGGACATGGAAATTAACGACAACATACCCTTCTTCGCCGCAGTTGAAGCAAGCTCCCATGCCCTTGCGGGGCTCGGGGCAATCGGCCTTGTTGTGGCTAAAGGATAAGGGTCATAATGTTAGCACAATGAGATATGTACATGGAAGTCAACAACGACATACCCTTCCTGACCACAGTTGAAGCAGGCGCGGTTCTCGCCTTGGTTGCCATAATTGTTGAAATCACCACCGAAGTCGTTGCCCTGGCCGGAGTTGCGCTGATAGGTGCTGCAAGTAGAGATTTGCTCGTTAGATATCACAATGGAGTATCAAGACAGCAGACCAACTTACTTTGCACCTTTGGATCTCAGAGGGGTGCCGTCGTTGGGGCACTGGCGAGTCATATGGCCCGACTCACCACAGCTTGTCGGAGTGAGTGACTGATATCCCCAAAATTCTTCCGAAGAAAGGGAACTTACATGCCACAGGCAAAGGTATCATCGCCGGCTTCAGGCGGGCTGCCATCATTCCAACCAGACATGATGGATGGTTGCTATCTTCGAGTCAGTCAGGGTGTTGTGGTTGATCGGAGGGAGGGAGAGAAGAGTGCGAAGTGGCAGGCAGGGAAGAAAGAAAGAGAAGGGCAGAATGGTCATAACATGTCCATATATCACCGGGCTCACGGCAAGAGACGTGAGCAAGCGTTGAGTTCTGAATGGCACGTACCGAAGTTGATTCTGAAACGAAGATTGAAGGAACAGCTAAGAAAATAACCTGGGAGGGGAAGAGAGAAGGAAGAAGAGGGAAGTGGAAAGCAGAGGAGAAATAGAAATGGGAAGACGCAGGAGGCAGGAGGAAGGAGTTGTCAACCTGCCTGAACAGGCAACATCCGGGCAGCCTCACTTTCGAACACAACAACTCGTCGATTTGCGGGGCTTTCCTACTTGGACGTAGACAGCGGATATTCGATAGTCAGATCCTCCATATATTCCTGAAGTTCGGCTGTCCTTCACTTTCAAACACAAAAACTCGTCAAGTTGCTAGACTTTCCTAGTTGGATACCGGCAATAGCTGTTCGATAGTGAGATACTTCATATAACCTTATTCCTGAAGTTCATCTGTCCTTCGCCTGCTTTCGAATATAACAACTCGTCAATTTGCTAGACTACCTAGTTGATACCGAGACTGGCTGTTCGATAGTGAGTTCTATATATTCCTGAAGTTCATCAATCAATCAATCAATCAAATTTCGACTAACCTATTAGAGCTAACTAGTATCGTAATGGCTATGCAGGCACTTCTTTCAAATGAAGCGAGAACTCGTAATCCGTACCTGATCATGCTCTAATGCAAAAACCAAGGCTGATTCTCAAAGAGTGGAAGAGCCAGCCCCAATACACTAAGTCCAGATACTCAAAAAAACCCGTAAACCCTATAAAGCCCAGAGTACAAATGGATGCAAAGAATGCAAAAAATTCACCATCCACCACTTCGTGTCTCACTTCCTTACCTTCGTAACCCTCCTCGGTTCTCACTGCAGTGAAGTTCATCTGTCCGTCATTTTCGAACGCAATAACTCGCCGATTTGCTAGGCTTCTCTACTTGCATACCGACAGTAGCTGTTCGACGGTGAGATACTCCATACATTCCTAGAGCTCGGCTGTCCTTCACCTCTTTTTCAGGTGTACAGTTGATACCTAGTACTCACGAAACCACAGCCATCTTCTCTTTATTATACGTGCGCACTGCAAAATCGTCAAAGCGCGAGACTCTCAGATGTCTTGGGAATGAATTCATGCATTTCAAATGATAGCCAAGATACTCCACTATAGATACAGCACAAGAGTACATAAGAACCAAAGCAGGGATACTCAGTCCAGTCACCCTATCCGCATTACCGGAATAGCCTGCCCAGCAGGCCACCAGCGATGTTGTTGACGATACCACCACCCAGAGCCGAGTTGGCGTAGTTCGAGGCCTGACCAAACTTGTCACAGCGAGAGAAAGCCATGGTGTTGGTGATTGTCAGGATCAAGGCAATAACTAAACACGGTCAATATCCAGTGTTAATCCATTCGAATATAGTGGAACTCACCAATCAGACTCAGCCAGATCACGCTCACCAGTCTCACGATGGCGAGAATCGCAAGACCCACCCACAGAGCTGGTGTGACGTACAAGCTCAACCAGAAGAAACGCTTATCGGTGGCTGTGACGGTGCGGACATTGGGGTCGGAAGACTCAAAGACCCAGTGCGAGTCGCCGGATGTCGTGTCCACTTCGTTCCACCAGCGGAGACCGACCAGTCGGCGTCCAGCAATGTTCTTCAGGTAGTAGAAGTCCGCGGAGAGAAGGAGAAGCGTGAAGATGAAGACGAGGATACTATATGTCTGTTAGTCGGAGCTGAGGAACGGGTTGTCGGTTGCAGGGTCCTTACAAGTCATCGATGAAGAGGAGACCAAACAGGTACATCATTAGCGCGCCTGTTCTTTCTATTAGTCAAGTGTTTCTTGCAGCTCGAGGGGGAGCACAAACCGATCCGAATGCCCAAGAAGACAAGTAGCGTGATCGGGTGGGCACTGAGGCGCCAGTTCAATTCGCCTTGGGGGTTTCCTTGATCCATGTTGTACAAAGTGAAGACTCCAATGCGATTTGGATATCTGCGGCCACTACGCTTGCGCTGGCTTGATCCAGGTATGTTGTTGACTGACGATGATCCCTATGTGGACGAAACACGGGTTGGGGCGGTGTCAATGGGCAGAATAATTGGAGATGACGCTGCCCTGCACGTCCCGGTGGATTTGAGTCAATTGAGAGCTAATTTTAGTCTTGGCACATAAGACATGCTAGAGAAATTGCTTGGGTTATGGGTACCCATCCTAGAAGTAATTAAAATAATACTGCGTCTAGTTGCATATATCCAGAGTTCATATATATCGCGGCTTCTCACACCTATATTGATATCATCATTCAACGCAGCGAACAAGAGAAGCACATTAACGATTTGAATCAAGGATCAGAAGTGAGAAACATTCAAATGTGAGAAGAAAAAGTGAAAGAAATGCATATAGATCGGCGAAACCCAGCTCCGCGGCTCTACGGATAGCCGAGTCGGCTTCTTCACGGAGATAACCTCATAAATACTTCCACCCCCTCAACATTTCTCTAGACAGAGCATTCACGAGCCCATACTTGGATAATTTTTACCGGCATAATTCCCAAGCTATTCAATAATGGCAGCCCGCAACACTCTGCGCCGTTCCCTCCTCTACGGTAAGCTCCCAAGCTATCTCTTCCCCGCATTTCACCCGCAAGCTCCAAAAGAACAAAAGAAGGACTAACCGCTACGCCAGTCCCGGGATCCTCCCAGCGCTTCCTCGACAAGTCGCGCTCCCTCACAGCCGACTGCGTCGCCTATGACCTCGAAGACAGCGTAACTCCACACATGAAAGCAGAAGCCCGCTCACTAGTGCGGAGAGCAATCGACCAAGCGGCACCCACGGGAATCCGCGAACGCGCCGTCCGAATCAATTCGGTGGATAGTGGGCTCGCACTGGGCGATCTGACAGAAGTCGTACGTTTACAACCCCTCCCCTTCCAAACCCCACACGCAGAAGTATGAGTATGAGTATATACTGACAAACCCATCTTATAGCTCCAATCCCCAAACCTCTCAACAATCGTCATCCCAAAAGTAAACTCCGCCTCAGACCTAACCTTCGTCTCAGACGTGATAAACCACACACTATCCCAACAACCCCAAACCGGAACCCCAAGACCCCCAATTTCCCTCCTGGCCCTGGTTGAATCCGCCAAATCTCTAACAAACCTAACCCAAATCTGTGCCGCAACGCCCCTCCTGCAAGGTCTAATCTTCGCCGCAGAAGACTTTGCCCTAGACCTGAGTATAACGCGCACACCATCACTGCGCGAATTCCTCTTCGCGCGCTCAGCAATCGCAACAGCAGCGCGCGCGGCCGAACTCCCCTCGACCATCGACCTCGTGTGCACGGCATTCAAGTCTGAGAGCGGTGATGGGAAGCCGCCTGCTGTGCTTCGGGAGGAATGTCTTGATGGGCGGCGGCTTGGGTTTAATGGGAAGCAGTGTATTCATCCTAGTCAGGTGAAGGTTGCGGATGAGGTTTTTGGGCCGGATGCTGTTGAGACGGAGTGGGCTATTAGGGTTGTTGTTGCTGACGAGAAGGCTGCGAAGGCTGGACGGGGCGCTTGGACGCTTGATGGGAAGATGATTGATGTTCCTGTTGCTACGAAGGCTAAGGCTATTGTTAGGAAGGCCGAGGAGTGTGGAGTTAATGTTGTGGAGTTGAGGGGGAAGTGGGAGCATCAGGAGCCTGAATAGGGTTGAGTGAGTTTGTTCATATATTATGCATGATACACTGTTTTGATATGGCATCGCTGGGCTTAGGATATGTGCAAGATTGAGTAGAGAGAACTATCTCGATAAATTGCATTTATTTCCTTTTTCCCATTGTTGCTGATAGAGGCAAGCTAAAGCGATTTGAGCATGCAATGCTTGACAGAAGTGGCCAGCAAAGAACCCGCCAATTGATACTTCCAACTTATTCTGCCTGCTCGGTTCAGCCATCTAATCAAAGGTTGAAGTTGAATATCCAGAAAGTTCTTGATTTTGAATAGAGAAAGATTGGTACTGATGGGTATCATGCCGCTTTGACGCATCGAGTCGAATGGCATGCCAGGCCATCGATCTTAAGTTTCTATGTCTTCGCGCTTGAGTAATTGAATCTTGCCCATGGCCAGGGCGGGAGGATCTCCGCCAGCGTTTGCCTCCGATTCTTCCCTGGCAAGATCTTTGGCCAGCGACTTGTCATAGCTGGTTGGATCTATGCCGAGGATGCCTCCGACATAACCGCCTCGCTCACCGGGCACGCTGAATTCCCGGAAGAGGTACCGCCACTCGTTCAGCCATGCTTTGACGGCCTTGCCGATTTTATCTTTGCCGTTCTTTGAATGGTGCCCTGTGCCTGTGATGGCATACACTACTCGAAGACCCTCTCTTGCGTGTTTGAGGAGGATCTTCTCGAGGTATTCGATGGCTTCCTCTGGATGGAGACCATGCAGGTCAACATAAAGTTCCTCGGAAGATCCATCTAGGCCCTTGTGCGTGAGATGCGAGTTGCGCTCTTCGTAAAGCTGGCGTGCAGCCTCTCGATGGCACCTGCGCATCGCATCATTCTCTGCCTGGCCTCGTAGTGACAACGCCTTGGCAGCTCGTGCATCGTTTCTGTTCCATGCTTGGGCAGCGCTAGTAAATGTCAGTTAAGGCTCGGGAAAAACAGAACTGGCGAAAGCTCACCTCTGAAGGAACTTGTTCCGCACAGTGCCATGGCGAATTGCCTCTGTTCGGTACTTGATATATTGCTGATTGGCGCGACTCCCTGTCTCAAGCCAGGGGATGTTCTGCGGAGGTAGAATCGACTGAGCTGCGGCGCTGCTCTCACGGCCCTTTGGGTCTTTGCTTCTGTTGCCGGATTTCTTCCCCGGGGCAGGAGAGGGAGTCATTCGAACAACGTCAGCTAAAGATGAAGGAATGTTTTCTTTGCTCGAGTTAGCCTCGCGGTTATGGCCTCCTCGCTTGCCGTGGTGTTTCTTTCCAGCGCTCTTTGCACTGCCTGCGGCAAGCGTTGGGAAGGCATCTGGGTCGTCTACAGATGGAGCTGCGGGATTCAATTCCCGGTGCTGATGACGGCTATTTGGACGAGAGTTAGGGCGACCAAGGTGAGTTGCGCTTCCAGTTCGTCTACCAATTCCGGGATGTAAGCCTGGAGGAGCATATTTGCTCCCTTGGTAAGCAGAAAGGTGGCCAGGGTATCTGCCGATATACTGGTTTGCCCACTGATCACCCGGATCTGCGGGTCCCAGAGGCGGAAATGCATCAGAGCCGCTGTCTACCTGGAATGGTGAGCCATTTAGTGGCGAATTTGGCCGACTGCCATCTGTGACGCTGAGATTGGTGATGAGCGCCGAAGGATCATGCGAAAAGGGACAGCCGTCACCAGCTAGACAGTTTCCCATGACCCAATACCTAGCAATGTTAGTCCAAGAAACAATCATTCTCTCTCCAAAACTTACTTGCACACATGAGTGGTCAAGTCATGACTGAACCGACAATCTGCCCGAAGGCATTGCCCAGTAGACAGCCAGTACTTACAGACCACAGGGCTGCGACTACTACCTAATGGAGTGACTGGACGCACTTGCTCCATCGTCATAGACTTGCCAACCAAGACACGACCGTCATCATGTTGCTTTGCGATTGCTTCAGTCTCCAGATCTTGTGAAAGAGACGCAATGGTGGCCCCGAGATCATAACTGTTGGCTTCCAAGGCCGCTTCGATTTCATCGTTTGATCGCTTGTCGCCCAGCACCGTGCGCAGGATATCATGTGGGCTCATATCGGGCACAAACTCGACCGCAGTGGCACTGAGAGCCCCAGGTGTGCTGAGACCACCCGCGGACGACGTCGTGCTGTTGGCATCATCAGCAACTAGCCAGTCGATATTGCTATCGCTCCCGAGATCTCCATAGAAGTCGGAAATCTGACTCTGGTCCGAAAACTCGTAGGCATTTAGATTTGGCGAATGAGGTATTGGCTGCGCAAGAGCAAGCCTGGGTGAGGGTCGCGGGGAGGTAAACGGAGAAACGGTTGAGGAGAGCGGGGGCCGCGCAAATGCCCCGCGCGAGCTCTGCACCCACGAGGTACTCCCGGGGCTTGTTCCGAGGTTTGAATGGGGCGACAACGGTGTCGATGATCGAGCCATCTGCCATGGCGCAGGCGATGAGCGGCGAATTACTGTATGCCGAGGCGGAGGGGACGAGTCTGGCTGGTTGCGGTTCCGATGCCGCCAGAGGATGTCCAATACCGCGTTCTCCAAGGGCGGACCTGACAGTGTTGTGTTTGCGCGCAAGAAGTCCTCCACCTTTTCCACCTGCTCTTCTTCATCTAAATCCAGATCCTGGAGGATTGGGAGACATTTCTCCAGTAGCTCGTCGGAGACCATGGCGTATGTTGTGCTGATGCGAGCCAAGGAGATCGAGTAAGCCGGGATACCAAGCGGGGGAGATCCTGGAGGGGAGGCACAAAGCGCAGTGCGATTCGATGAGCTTATTGACGAAACTGGGATAGAATGTCAGAGGCACAGCCCCATACTCTGATAAGCTGACTTCTGTTGTGAAATTGATAAGGGGGTTATTAGGCTGACGAGTCGCGAAAGGGATATAAGGCGATGTCAGGAATTACATCGCATCGCGACCCACTGATCTCCGAAAGCGATGGAATGGAGTTGGGCGTGAATGTGCAGACGTGGCTGAAATACAAACAAAGGAGGGGGGAAAGTGAGGGCGGAGAAAGGGATCAACACTGGGGATACACCTGAGCTTAGCTCCGTAAGTAGGGAGCTTCAACATCTTCACTAAGCCACACCATGAACATAAATTATCCCTAATATGATAAGTTTATCAAATTAGCAGAAATTAATATCTTCATTAGCTGTTAAGAAATTCTGCATAGGTGTCATATTGGCTCCGTTTCAAGTAGGGACCTAACATAGGTAGATGAGGGGACTCAAATTACCCAAGATCATTGAACCTGGCTGTATAAACATGTCAGTACTCTGTCGAAGCCCCTGAAATAACTATATTGATACAACAGAGCCTACTCTTAAGTATTTACGAGCTTACAAATCTGAATCATTATGGATACTGCCAGCAGAAACTATGGACCCTTGGGTTGGCATTGCTCAGGGAGATCGAACAAAGGAGTCAGTAAGAAAACTAGAAAAGCAACACGGTATAACTTGGCCATGTGATAATGTTAGAAAGAAACGTATAAAAGATAACACAAAATCCAAGGTAAAAACGACACATGTAATCCTGTGGCCTGGAACAGAGCGTAGGTTATTCCTAATTAGGAGGGCGGTAAATCTATAGATTGGGCGGTGTGTGGGGCCTCCGGGATACGTCGAGATGTCGATCAGGGTAAACACCCGAGTCCGGCGGATCCGCTTGTAATCTGGACTTGAACTTTCTGCCTTGGCTTTTCCTCCATCTTCTCTTCATGTTCGGTCTCAGTATCAGGGCCTTATAACGCCCTTTTCTTTGTTGGGTCTTCTGGATTGTGCCGATCACCTAGTTCCCCTCCCCGGATCCGAACATCCCGTACCCAGATAATCACCACGCTTCACAATGCCTGCAGACTACCAGTCCACCGTTAGGGCGCTATCTCTGTCACCTTCATCTCCGGATCCTATACCTTCTTCTCCCAGCAGCGATGTTCATCCCCCTTGGAGCCGCGCAGGGAGGCGCAATTCGGGCTGGTCCGATGGTCAGGCTAGCACTTGGGGCCAAATTGTCCATCGCGGAACAGAGCTGTATCATCGTATGAACACGATATGGGAAGAAATGACTTTGCCGAAGAAGATTGCCACCGTTATCGCATCCTTGTTCATCGGCGCATCTGGTGTCGCCTTCTTGGTGTTATCAGGGAAACTGTTCGTCTGGCTTGGCTCGGTCGCGGAAGAGTGGGAGAAATCTTGGCTCGCGGCCTTCATTCTATGGCTATGTGTCTTTTTTGTCTCATTTCCGCCGCTCGTGGGTTGGTCTACTTTTGGGACAGCGGCTGGTTTAATCTTTGGTGTATGGAAAGGGTAAGAGACGCTCTTTTCAATGGAGTGAATACAGGCTGACTTGCGATTTCTATAGATGGCTGATCTACGCTTCCGCAACGATTCTCGGATCAACTGTCTCATTCTATGTTTCGCGAACGATCCTCTCTGGATTTGTCAATCGCCTTATGGAACGCGACAAGAGATTTGCCGCGCTGTCCCTGACACTGAAGTATGATGGACTCAAACTCCTTTGCATGATTCGTTTATGTCCACTGCCATATTCAATCTGCAATGGAGCTGTGTCCACCTTTCCTACAGTGCAGCCATTGATGTACGGACTTGCGACGGCAATCATCTCCCCCAAGTTGTTGGTTCCGACGTTCATCGGAAGTCGCATTCGTTTACTCTCTGAGAAGGGTGAGCAGATGAGCGTGGGATCGAAGGCCGTAAATATCTGCAGTATTATCGTTACAGTCAGTATTGGAATATTTACCGGCTGGTACATATACCAAAGGTTTGCACCCATTATTCTGTTATACCCGGGACCCATGCTGACTCTCTTCTCTTTTTAGGACTTTGGCTCGCGCAAAGGAGCTCGAAGCCAAGGAGCGTGAAGAGATTCGAGGATCTCTTGAGGCTGATCATGCAGCCCATCGCCCTCACCACGCTTTCTCTGAGGACCCCGCTGTGAACAAAGCGGCCACTATCCTTGCACGCGATGAGGAGGAACGCATTGGATTCACCGATGATGACAATGTTGATTTGGTCTTGGGTGACGACAGTGACAGTGATCAACCGGGTTGGAAGAACTCGAACAGGCGGTCATACCACGACGAGTTCACTGATAATGACTCGGATGGATTTGCGGAAGGAGATGGCGAGACTTATGGTCTGCACGCTCATGTCCGACCTAGCTGAACATTAGTAAAGAAATAAATGGTATAGATTGAAGCATGTCCGTTGTAAAGTGTGAAGTTGAAGTGCGGCGCCGGACTGAGAAATACGCCCCGCTCCCGAGTCAAGCCAGGGTTTTCTACTCTGTCATCTATCACTGCGCTTCACCAGGTCTCGCGATTCAATTCATACAAGTTGACGTTTTTAATACCGTTTGATGGACTTCGGTCCTTCTCGTTCTCTGGGTAGGGTTTGTGGGAAGGGGTAATGTATGTCCGTGCTTCGACCTTCATCATTGCAATACCTTCATACCTCCATACCTCCGTACCTCGCATCCCACGTTGATCGTACAATCTAATGCAATTCTAGTATCCTCATTCAGCCCTGCCAGTGCACCTCCGCCTTGCGCAGATCGTTTTCCTTTGCGAACCATATCATGGGTGACAGCCTCAACGTATGATATCCACGCAGTCTACGGGATAGGACGGCCCACTAGTTAACAATTGCGCCTTCCGGGCGTGATCTTTTCTTTCTTTCTCTTTTCTTTCGATTTCAATCGACACACTCCTTTCAAGGCATCGGCACTACAGATATCCGTGTACGGACATGCATGGTGCGGAGATGCCGTTTCAGCCCGTGGCTGGAATGCCTCCGGGGCAAGATTCATACATGAACCAATATGTTCCAGGTCCTGTTAACACCATTCAAGGCCAAGAAGGGTTTCAATCTAATCATTCATGTCCACAATCATCTGTGAAGCGGCTGCGTCTCATACACAGAACTCTCGAAGCGGATGCTCCATCAATCGGCTGGGGAAATCTGGAACGAATTGATCCAAATATACAGACATTCATATCTGATGGCGCTAATATCGCGGGGTCGGCGGAGAGGCTGTATACTGGAGGCAGTAGCAGCACGCCAAATGATTCGACTACCTCAACCGATGCGACATCTTCATTTGAACCAAAGACATCCATGTCCCCTCCTCCTGTTCCTTTACAATCAATTCCTAGTACCTCAGTTATCTTTGGGCCGAACGTGCTGGAGAGCGGGAAAGTCGATTTATCCAAATGTCGGCCACGAGCGTCAATTCCTCCCAAGATCCCTTCTTCGGTGTATGGCAGGCAATGCATTCAAGCAGCTTATGCATCTCGGCTCAATCCGTATGCCCTTCATCGAAAGGAACAAGAATTTTTACAAGACCACCTTTGTCACGTTCACGTCACAATTTACCTCAACCTACGAAATGGAATACTGCTACTGTGGGGAAGAAATCCCATGGTGGCTGTTACAAGGGAAGAAGCGCTCGGATGTGCAAAAGACTATCGATGGATGAACCTGGCATCATTTGCTTACGACTGGCTTGTTCGGAATGGCTACATCAACTTCGGCTGCGTGGAGGCACCATTGTCCCCAGTGAAGCCCAAGCGCGGAAGACGAAAGGAGGGACCGACAATTGTTGTAATTGGAGCTGGAATGTCTGGCTTGGGATGTGCACGCCAGCTGCAAAGTCTTTTCCGCCAATATCGGAATGAAAATGCATTACCTCGGGTCATTGTCCTCGAGGGACGTCGCAGAGTTGGCGGCCGCATTTACTCACATCCCTTGCACAGTCTCGAATCCAAAACTTTGCCTGAGGGGCTTGTTCCCAAGGCAGAGATGGGCGCGCAAATCATTGTTGGTTTCGATCACGGCAATCCCCTGGACGCGATCGTTCGTGGCCAGCTGGCTCTTCACTACCACAAGATACGAGATGTTTCGACAATATATGATACCGACGGATCACCCGTGGATGAAGTCCAAGATGCAATGGCAGAGAAACTTTACAATGATGTACTGGAACGGACTGGAGTCTACCGCCGCAAGGCAGTGATCGTGCCAACTGCCGAGGGCGATCGAGACATGATTGATACTGGTCGCGAGTCGGTAGTGGACGACGGACTCACTGTTCGACAATGGGAAGAAGCAAGGGCAGCTGGAACGACTGATCTCCTGGTACCTACCAAGCGAGTCCGTCGCGGGTTAAAACACAAGACTGCGGATATCAGACCAGCCACCGACGCAGCGGCTGATCTTGTGGAGCATTCTGACGAGAATCCAGCGGCTTTGACTTGTCAGCTTACCGGGTGGAACTTGAACCCTGGTTACACTGTGAACGATACAATAGAGCTGGACGAGATTGCCAAGCAGAAGCCTCAGCAGACATTGGGTGCAGTTATGGATGAGGGTGTCAAGCAGTACGAGCGCATGCTTCCAGTGACACCTAAGGATATGCGCTTGATGAACTGGCATTTCGCTAATCTCGAGTACGCCAATGCATGCAATGTCAATAAGCTCAGTCTTTCAAGTTGGGACCAAGATATCGGAAATGAGTTTGAGGGTGAACATTCACAGGTTGTTGGTGGTTACCAAGAACTACCCTATGGATTGTACATGCTTCCTGAAAAACTCGATGTCCGTACCAAGAAGATTGTCACCAACATCTCCTACAATGAACATGGGTCCGGCAGCAACAAAAAGGCGGTCATTCAGTGTGAGGATGGCGAGAACTTCATGGCAGATCACGTTGTATTTTCAGGCTCCCTCGGAGTGCTGAAACGGCAAAATATCAGCTTCCAACCTCCACTTCCAGACTGGAAGCGCGGTGCAATCGACAGACTGGGATTCGGAGTCATGAACAAGGTGATCTTGGTGTTTGAGGAGCCGTTCTGGGACACGAAGCGAGACATGTTCGGCCTTCTCCGTGAACCAACCAACCCCGCTAGCATGGTCCAAGAAGACTATGCGGCAAACCGAGGCCGCTTCTACATGTTCTGGAATGTCATGAAGACCACTGGTCTTCCAGTCTTGATCGCTCTCATGACCGGTGACGCAGCTCACCAGGCAGAGTCCACACCAGACGAAGAAATAATCAGCGAGGTTACTGGCCAACTTCGAAACGTCTTTACGCACACCGTTGTGCCCGATCCCCTCGAGACAATTGTCACCCGCTGGGGCCAAGATCCCTTCACATACGGCAGTTATTCATACGTAGCTGCAGCCGCCTTCCCAGACGACTACGACTTAATGGCCAAATCAATCGGCAACCTCCACTTCGCCGGAGAAGCCACCTGCGGCACGCACCCAGCCACCGTCCACGGAGCCTACCTATCAGGAATCCGCGCTGCCTCAGAAATCGTCGAGTCAGTAGTAGGACCAATCGAAATGGCGCACCCACTGGTCCCAGACAAGAACGACAAAACCAAGTTCACGCGCAGCAAATCTTCATCACCAAATGGTACAACGACCAGAAAAAGAAAAGGAAGCTCATCAATCTCCTCCTCAACCGAAACACCCACCACCGCAACAACAATCCAACCCAAGCCCTCAACTTCATCCTCCAGAAAACCAATCTCAACGGAAAAATCCCGCAAAGACGCTTACGACCAGGCCCTCTGGATAAACATCTACTCAGAACTAGGGCCCGCCCCTCCGCGCCCCACAAAATCAGGCCTGAACCCCTTCCTCTTCTATCAAAAGGACTACTGGACCCAATGTCGCGACGCATGCGACCAAGCCCGGCGTACATCATCCAACAACCCAAATGCAAAGGCTCCCCGTGACGAGATCCGCGCTGCGCTGGGCCAGATGTGGCGGACTGCCAGTCCGGATATTAAACAGCCGTATCTGGATAAGGTGGAGGGAAATCGGCGTGACAATGCTGAGGCGTGGGAGAGTTGGAAGATTACCGTTGCTGAATGGGAGCGTAGGACTTTTGAGGTTAAGGATCGGTGGTGTGCGCTGAATCCGTTTGATACTTGGGTTATGCCTAAGGATTTAAGTGAGGGGGGTGGGATGTCTGTTCCTGTTCTTGCACCTGCTTTTCCGATTGATTCTGGTGCCAGTGGTAGTGCTGGTGGACGTTAGTTGGTTCTTGCTTTTTCTTTCTTTTTCTTATGCTATCTTCGTGGGTGCTCTGTTTAGACTGGGGAGTTAGGTGTTTTGAGTATGTTAGCTCTTGGATGGAGAGTCATTGTGACAGTATAGATTTAGCCTTGACGTCAATGAATGAGAAATGTTTAAGTAGTTACTATCGCTTGTTTTTGTAACCGTACACCTGAGATGTGCTACTGTAGGAAGTACAAAATGATAAGCGAAGGGTGATATTCTTCATCTATATCTACCTCTAGATGATAAACAACAGTTTTGTTTCCCGCTCCAACATGAGATATGCGCAAAGAACGGAGGTGAAAAAAAAGCAACAGTAAGATTAACAGAGAGTGTAAACTCCATCATCTATTCAAGATCAAAGTGTATTGTGCATGGGGAATTTAATATGAATGTATCGCATAACAGATAAGTCTAGAACAAGGAAAAACCTCGATAATCAAGCTGATGAATCATGGTTCATGTATCATGACAATGGAAGGGAGGAAGGAAAGGTGAAACGGAGGATGTATGTGTATAGTTAGGGCGTTTAAAGCAGAGGGTTGGACTTGTACTCGGCGGGAGCATCGGCGGGGGCCTTGGTCTCCACGGCGGGGGCGTGAGTCTCGGTCTCCGAGAGGAACTTCTCGGCTTCCAGAGCGGCGACACAGCCGGATCCTGTAGAATTAGTTAGCAAATTGCATTTCCAGAGAATGTTAAAGGATATAACTTACCGGCACTGGTGATGGCCTGGCGGTAACGCTTGTCCTGGACATCACCGCAAGCGAAGACACCCTCCACGCTGGTGAAGCTGGTGCCGGGCTGGGTGACAACGTATCCATCCTCGTCGAGGTTGAGCTGGCCCTTAACAAGGGCGTTGGCGGGGTCGTGGCCAACGGCGTAGAACAAACCATTAGCATCAACGACCTCCTCCTTGTTCGAGACGACGTCCTTAACACGGAGGTGGGTCATGAGGCCGTTAGGCTTGTTCTCACCGAGGACCTCAGTGGCAACGGTGTTGAAGCGAACAGTACACTTGGGGTGAGCAAGCAGGCGCTCAGCCATAACCTTGGAAGCACGGAGCTTGTCCTTGCGGACGAGGACGGTCACGTTGCTACCGTACTTGGCCAGGAACATGGCCTCCTCAGCGGCGGAGTCACCACCACCGATAACGTACAGGGGCTTGTTACGGAAGATGGGCACAGCGCCATCGCAGACAGCACAGGCGCTGATTCCGTTCTGCCAGTAGGTCTCCTCGCCGGGCAGGTTCAGGCGGCGGGCGTTGGCGCCTGTGGCGATGATGACGGCGTCGGCGGTGCGGGCGGGTGCGTCATTGGGGCCATCGCTCCACTCAGTCCACATCTTGAAGGGCCGTTGCGAGAGGTCCAGCTTGGAGATGGTCTCCGTGATGATCTCGGTGCCGAAGCGCTCGGACTGGGCGCGCATGTTGTCCATCAGTTCGGCGCCGCCGATGCCCTTGGGGAATCCGGGGAAGTTCTCGACGTCAGTGGTCGTCGTGAGCTGGCCGCCGGCGGCGGTGCCGTTGGCGAGCATGCCCTCGTAGAGGACGGGCTGGAGCTCGGCGCGGGAAAGGTAGATGGCGGCGGTGTGCGCACCAGGGCCGGAGCCAATAACTGGAGAAAGGGTGTTAGACTTGTGGAGGATATTGACGGAATTGCGGGATATGAATCAATTGATCTCATCCCTTGACACAGCACTTACTGACTACTTTAGAGTGCACCATTCTGGCGGAGTTTGTGCAATTGACGCGCAACGGCGTCGGTAGAGACTTGGAGAAGACCGAGGCCGAAGGAGGAGATTGTTGATGTAAGGTAGTGGCCGCGGCGGCAGTCAATCCGATAGAACGGAGAGCGGAAGGAAAGCGACGAAAAGTTGAGGAAAACAGCTTGGTGGTTGATCTCGGAAGAGGGAGGGGAGGTTATAATATTCTTTTTTCGGAGGGGCAGTGGGGACCAGGATTAGGTGATTGAATGATTGATAACCGGGCAATGAGATCAGACTCTGGACCAGTAGACGAATGGATTCTGTGGGCTTCCGAGGTATCCAGACCACGCGAACTGAGTAAAAAGATATGCAATTGGCGAACGCTTGAACTCGATTAATCAGGTCTTTGTGTCCAGACTCGGTTTCTAAGCAAGGGTCACGTGAGCGGTCGAGACCGCTGATGTCAGCATCAGCTCACCCCGAGGCCTCATTTCCGTTGCCGTCTATACTTCAGTCACAGAGTACTGATATCTGATATCTTGATATCTTTAGGTTATTTTACCGTGTGGAGTATGATAACACATTCTGATCAATGTATACTCTGCTGTGAATACCCAACCCTCAAGTAGTAACTTACAGTATATGGCTGTTCTTATAAAGCATCTATACTAACTTACATCAAATCCAACATAACTTGAAACACACTCATGAAGTCGGGGAATCATCTAACAAAAAATAACAAAAAAACCCCCAAGTCATTCAAATCCATACAAGTCATAAGATAACAAAGAAGAAAAGCCACCACAAATGGCCAAGTCAGTATAGTACATTCCAAGGTTAGATCACCCCAAACCACTTCTTCTTCCTGGGACGATCATGCTCCTGCTCCTGCTTCTCCTCATACTCCGGCGAACGCGAATGCTGCGCAGCCATCATATGCGGCGGCGATCGCTGAGGAACCTCGCCCTCAGAATCCTCCTCACTCCCAGGGTATCCCTCGTACTGTGGATGACTAGTGGCAGCATTGGCGCGGGTATTATTGATAAGGTCAGGGTCCTCGTAATCATCTTGTTCATCGTCATCGCTGAGATTATCGTCAGCGTCGCCGTTAGCACGTTTCTCGGCGTCGCGCTTGTTTCGTCGTGGGAGGAATTTTCGCCAGCCCTTGACGATCTGTGTTGGTGGGGGGTCGTATTCGGTGCCGTTGTAGCGTAGTGCTGGTACGAGTAGTTTATACGGTACTGTTATGCCGGCTGGGTCTGCTGAGCTGATTTCTAGGTTTAGGGTTATGGCTAGCCCGCCTTCGAGGTTGATGAAGGCGCCTGCGCCATCGTGGCCTGCTTTTGCGGCTTTCTTTGCGGCTTTCTGGCTCAGGTTCGTTGGTCTTCGGTGGAAGGTTCCTGGTCTTGGTGGTGCGGCTGCTGGGGGAAAGTAGCTGTCTCCGCTTTCGACGGGTTGGGAGTGGTTATCCACGCTGGCACGGCGGTTGAAGGCGTCTTCGTCGCCGCGGTTGAAGCTCATTGTTCGTGTGGGTGGTGGTCCGCGGTTCGAGAGTCGTCTGAGAAGACCTGGCTTTCCGGGTCCGGTGGTTCCCTTGTCTCCTCGACCCAGCGATAGAGTCCGCTGTAGCATGCCAGCACGGGGCTCTGGGGTTGCTGTCATCTCTGACTCGGGCGTATCAGGCGGAGTAGAGCCCGGTTGATACTCGCGGATAGAGCACCAGTTTCGACGAGGGAGTAGCCGCTTGTTGTTTCGAGGCTTGCCATTCACATCTTCGGTGAATATGGGAATGACGTCCTCGTCTGTGTTTGAGTCCATGTGGTGGACCGTGTTCCGCTTGTTAAGCATGTCCGAAATAAGATCAGTTTCGGGGATATCTGCAATGGCAGAGGAGATGACATTTGGCATGTAGCGGTAATCCTGGTCTTTGGCAACATCCAACTTAGGGTTCGAGTAGAACTGCCCAATAGCAGCGAGGTGGACGTCACCACTAAAGATATCAAGTTAGCTCGTATATTTCATGATTTGGAGACGGTCAGTCTTACCTTAGAATCGTAACCCGGATTGACTTCTCTGCAGCCAAATCCTGGAGATCCTCGACCAACCAGGTTCTTTCAGACTTCAGGTGCTTGCCAGCCCAGTGATCATCGAAGACCTCCACATTTCCACCAGATCGATTGACAAGGCCACCAAGAACACCAGACTTGCCAAGGGATTTGCGGCTGTTCATGTAACTCTTGAGCATCGCCACCCGAGGGTAGGCAACAGGAACACTGGAAAGCACAATCAAATGCTTTGTTTCACCCTTCATAATCTCCCTGTGGCACCGATCCCACAACAGATCGCAGGTCTCTTCACTGAGGACCTCATTGCTCCGTCGCTCCGTACGGCAGTCAAGACCCAAGAACGCAACACCCCGACCAAGAGACATGAACAGATTCCTGCTCCTCTGCTCAATATATGGACCAGGATGCGCACCAAGAAGCCAACTAGGCTCATCCACCTCCGTCTCATCAGGGACACTGTGATGCTGGAAAAGCAAATAATACTTAAAAGCAATCTTCCCAAGCCCAGAAATAACAGAACTCTGCATGAAATCATCATGATAAGACCCAAACCCTTCAAAGATCTCATGATCATTCCAAATATTAACCATAGGGATCTGAGAGCTGGCCAAAGAAAACAAACCCTGCGAAAACCACGCAGCGTAGCGCTCGAGATAGAACTGCTCAATTTCAGCACGGAACTCAGGCGTAAACGGCGCACTATATCTCTCAGCAGCGTTTTTAATTTTAATCCATTCCTGGAAAAAAGCAGATTCAGTAATAACGGAGTCATTGAAGATCTGATCACCGCCACCAATCATAACATGGAACGGACGGGTCTGGTGCTCGTTGAGGATATCTCGCCATAAAGGATCAGGACCGCAGACACGATCTGAGTCTGCGGATGGACTGAATCCATTACCGCTGTGGAACATTATGTTCATGGATTCTCCTGCGGGAGGGACCCAGAATCCCAGGGCTGGGCCTTGATTGATGCGGTAGGCGATTCGTTGTTGGGTTGTGCTTAGCTCGACTTCTAGGTTGAATCGCCAGAATGTCACATCTCTTGCGGTATCGGCGTATAGACGCACCCCCGGGATGTCCCGGTGCAAACCTGCTGTCTCGCCGTCGACAGGATGCATTCGGTTGGACGGGATTGGTTGTTTCATGCCTTCGCTGGTGTAGTCGATCAGGCTGGGTGAGAGTTCATAGATGCCGTCGTCGTTTTCGACGAATGAGAGGTCGACTTGCTCTTCGACATGTTCGACTGGCTTGACGTAAAGGGGCCGTCCGTCCCGGCCGACCTTCATGAGACCGGCGGTTGGGTCGACGTATTCGGGGGCTAGTTGGACCCCGTCCTCGCGACTGATTTCCACTGGTGGAGGGGGGAGAAGGTCCATTGGTTGAGAGAAGAGTCGTAGTGTTGGTGGGGTTTCATAGGAGGAGCGAGAATCTTTGGTCACTATCATTATAGAGCCTCGCCAGAGGTCCTTATAGATAGGGCCACTGGCCCCATCTATTGGAACTCGACTGATACCAGTGTATCGAAGCAAAGGACCGCAGCGCAAGAAGAGACGAGGTTCAAAGCTTTTGTGTCCAGTTACTCCTGCTATTTGTTAGTAAAGTCACTTTATCTCCGGGGTAAAGTATTCAATAAGAAAGTAAAGAATGTTCTTACCCGTCAACTTCTGAGCAGGGGTCTGGTAGTTCTTAGGAAGAGCCCTGCTCTTCCTGCGATCTTTGCTACCACCACCTTCCCACCATGCCTTACCACGGTCCATATCAACATGTTGGAAGTCAAAGTCAGACGCTTCAAGCCGACCAGGCTGTGCATTCCTCCATTCGAAGATGGGCGGGGGTGTAGGTGGCGGGACGTCAAAGGATACAGATGCCTTCTTCGGCTTGGCCTGTGACTCGGCGCTCTCCTGAGGCGTTTCAGGTGCTGTGAGGAGCTCGTCCGTTCTTTCTGCTCTGAGAGTAGGTGGCATTGGTCGAGGATCTGCTTGGGACATGGAGCGGCTGGGGCCCATGCTGTTGGCAGGAGCTGGCTTTGCTGCAGGCCCGCTCACTGTGACTGATCGCCTGGGCGTATTTCCCATCTTTGCTGATGCTGGGATAGCAGCTTCTGCGCGGGCATATTGGGGGTCTTCAGGGCGGCGGATTGCTGCGTACTGAGGAGTTGAAGAGACCGTTCGACTGTGACGCACGGCGGTGCTTCCAGTTTGCCGTGGTGCTGGTGGTGGTGCTATAGCAGCAGCTTCATTGCGCATGGATTCCTCAACCAGGATATCTCTGTGCTCTCCCCTCCTGCCTGGGCCAGGAACTGGTTTCGTTTCTGACCGCGGACGTTGTGCTGATGCTTCGCGAGCCACTGCGGCCATTGATTCGTCTTTCTCCTTGTCGGCTTTCTCCTTTTCGGCTTTCTGGCGCGCAATCCGTTCCCGGGCTTTCATCTCTGCTTCTTGTACCCGTGCACGCTTCTCTTCTTTGCTGATTCCGGTCAAGGTCACTTCCAGCTTCTGGAGAGGTGATCGGTCCGATGCCCAATCTTTTCGTACATTCTTCGTCGAACGTGTGGTGTTTGACCGACTCGGAGGGGTACCCAAGCCTTGAGCAGGCGGTGATACTGGCTGCTGGATCTGTGGCATGTCTGCGCTAGGCCCTGAGGGATAGTCTTCAGTGGGAAGGTTGCGCGGTGTCGTGGAATCGTCTAGTTCCTCTGAAGCCGATGGAGGGACTGGTTTGCGGGTGGTATAGTTCAGATTTCCCTCGGGATAATCTTGGGCTCTTGTCGAGAATGACCTGCCCAATCCCGATGCACCAAGGCCTTTTGTGCTCCTGTGTGATGTGTTTGGGTCCTCTTGCTCCTCGTATTCATAGTTCTCGTCGGAGGGGATGGCGGCTCTGTTTTTGCGGCTTCCGGGGGCTCTTCGCGCCCCGTTGGCAATGTGAGGAGGATTGGAGCCATTCGCTATATCGGGTGATCCGCGCATTGTCGTGGCCATGTTTGGATGCGTGTCTTTGCGCCCAAGACCAAGGCAGCAGTAGGACGATAAGATAGGTGCCTAGTATGAGGTGCAATTGTAAACCCAACTGAGCAAATCTGGTCAACTGCTGGTTGCACAGTTGAGCACGTTGGGAATCGCGGTCTAGGATCAAGATCGCATTTAGTCTGATGCCTGACGCAAGTCACCGCATTGCCCGAGCAGACAGTAAAGTTGGAGGATAGGGAAGTGTTGAGGTATACACGAGATAACAGTGTATCAGAGAGAGAAGAAAGAGATTTTAAGAACTCGAGACTAACAAGCAAGGTCTATACAATAACCCGGTGGCTGGTGTCCCCAGCCTTCGCGGGGCCGAGCATTACGAGGTCTGATACCTTTACAGTACAGTAATGATTAACGTTAATATATTACTAGTTACTATCTGGTGTCTAACTATAGTTAGTTAGAGAGAAAGTGGTTTATATCGAGACATGTACTCCCTCATACTTAAGTTATAGTTGCGGGTGGAGAGTAAACGTTAAGTGCTATACTTCACCTTCACTACAATTATACAGTAGCTCTGTTCCATGACTCGGCCTTTCATTGTTTCGTCCTACTGATGCAAGGACTTTTAAGCTATTCGAGGTTTGCAGTTGTATTTGCGCCTCTGCTTACAGTACTCCAGGGCTGTGCGGGTGGTGCCTTCAGTACCCAAGTAAGTAGTCAGTAACTTAGTTGGCCGAGTTTCTCTGTACTTTATAGCTGCCTCCAGGCCTAAGAATTGTCCCACCGGTTTTAGGGGTGAAACACCCGGGGCGACCTTAACTGCGGGAGACGTCGATCGCATCCGAGACCTTGGACGGGTTTGGCGTATCGTACATATACGTAAGCCAGGTCTCGCCTGAAGCCCAGTAGAAACCGTGGCCTTTATAGCTTAGCTTGCAGAACAAAGACGTTTCGTAACAAATTGGCCCCAAAGAGCGAAGTGGAACACGGTGAATAGGCGTTCAATAAAGATCCCGTGGCCTCTGACGATCCTCCTATTCCTCGAACTCTCCACAACTCTCACCTCCTTCAACTGTCAACTGCTTTTGCTTTTTGTTAGAGCTTTGTTTTCGTTTCCAATTCGAGTCGCTAAATCATCCCGGTCCGTCCATGGCAACCGCTTGCTAGGTACACCGATACCTCTACCTCGATACCGCCGACCTCCGCAACACTCCCTTCATCCGATCCATCATGCGCATTGTCGGTGGCATTGCTGCCACCCTGGGACTGGCAGGCGCAGTCTCTGGTAATCTACACCCGCGCTCCCAAGAAACCCGCGACTTCTTTGCCCTTCACCTCGATGGTACCACCCCGCCCTCACACATCGCCCGAGCTCTCGGGGCTCGCCACGAAGGCCAGATCGGAGAACTTGATGGTCACCACACATTTTCCTTACCGCGAGAACAGACTGCAGACTTCGACACCCTGTTGGATGATTTGCGGACTAAGAGGAAGCTCCGGCGGCGTTCTGGCAATGACATCGGCTCAGATGGGACAAGTGATGACCCCTTAGATGGGGTGTTGTGGTCGCATAAGCTGGCTCCTGCGAGACAACGGCTACAGAAGCGAATCCCGCCAGTATCAGTGCCTTATCCTTCGCTAGAAAAGAAGTCGGCGGACGCGAAGATTGTCGAGTTCCAGAGCCATGCTATGTCAACTCTGGGGATCAAGGATCCGATCTTCAGGGAACAATGGCATCTTGTCAACACCCTGCAGCCCGGTCATGACCTCAATGTGACTGGGGTGTGGCTGGATGGTATCACTGGTGCTGGAATTGCCACCGCAGTGGTCGATGATGGGCTGGATATGGATAGCAGGGATCTCAAGCCCAACTACTTCGCAGAGGGCTCATTTGATTTCAACGAGGGAACCCCGGAGCCCCGTCCTAGACTATATGACGATAAGCACGGTACTCGATGCTGCGGTGAGATTGCAGCATCAAAGAATGATGTCTGTGGTGTTGGTGTTGCATATGACAGCAAAATCTCGGGTATCCGCATCTTGTCCAAGCCCATCGACGATGTCGACGAAGCGGCGGCTATCAACTACGCCTACCAGAAGAACGATATATATTCCTGTTCATGGGGACCTCCAGATGACGGTGCTACAATGGACGCACCTGGAATCCTGATCAAACGAGCTATGACCAACGGTGTCCAAAAGGGCCGAGATGGAAAGGGCTCAATTTTCGTCTTTGCTGCCGGTAACGGCGCCCAATTCGGGGATAACTGCAATTTTGATGGGTACACCAACAGCATTTACAGTATCACCGTTGGTGCCATTGACCGTGAAGGCAAACACCCGACGTACTCCGAATCATGCTCTGCTCAACTTGTTGTCGCATACAGTAGCGGCTCAGGCGATGCGATTCATACCACCGACGTTGGTTCCAATAAGTGCTACAACGGACACGGTGGTACCTCCGCAGCCGGTCCGCTTGCTGCAGGAAGTGTGGCGCTTGCGCTCAGCGCACGTCCTGAGCTGACTTGGCGTGATCTGCAGTACCTGATGGTTGAGACCGCGATTCCCGTGAGCGAGGACGACAATAGCTGGCAGAAGCTGCCATCTGGTCGCAAGTTCAGCCACGACTGGGGATTCGGAAAGGTCGATACTTATAACTTGGTGCAGCGTGCTCGTACCTGGGACCTTGTGAAGCCACAGGCGTGGTTCAACTCGCCGTGGCTGCGAGTCCACCATGAAATTCCCCAAGGCGACAAGGGTCTTCTCAGCCGTTACACTGTGACGGCGGAGCAGGCCAAGGCGGCCAACATGGCTCAGCTTGAGCATGTCACAGTTACCATGAATGTCAACCACACCCGCCGCGGCGATATCAGCGTTGATCTGCGCAGCCCAGCGGGTATTGTCAGCCACCTGAGTGTTTCCCGCGAAAGTGATAACCACCCGGGTGGTTATGAGGATTGGACTTTTATGTCTGTTGCTCACTGGTATGTGCCTCGCCTTTCTGCGTGCGATCTGTCTGCTAACTCATTTTAGGGGTGAATCCGCTGTGGGTGAATGGTCAGTCATTGTGAAAGACGCCGATGTGAACGAATTCTCGGGGACATTCATTGATTGGCGACTCAACCTCTGGGGTGAGGCCGTCGACGGAGCGAAGCAACAGCTCCACCCTCTACCCGATGAACACGACGACGATCATCCTTACGAGGATGCTCATGTGGCTACGACCAGTATCGAGGCAGAACCAACAAAGACTGAAGCGCCTGCCAACCCGGATGATCACCACGACCGGCCCGTGAACACGAAACCGCAACAAACAGGCACAGAGTCGATCACAGAGCCTGTTGAGGACGAAAAGGAGCCTATCAGTACTGGGGAACCCGCCTCTCCAACCTCTACCTCCACTTCTAATTATTTATCCTCCTATCTGCCTACCTTTGGTGCCTCGAAGCGCACTCAAGTCTGGATCTACGCCTCCTTGGCCATGATCATCGTCTTCTTCATTGGACTGGGTGTTTACTTCCAGCTCCAGAGAATCAAGCGTCGTCGTACCACTGCCCACGATGATTACGAGTTTGAAATGATCGAAGATGAGGATGAGACGCAACCTATGACTGGATCATATGGTCGGACACAGCGTCGTGGTGGAGAACTGTATAATGCATTTGCCGGTGAAAGTGACGAGGAAATGTTCAGTGATGATGACGAGTCATATCGAGATCGCTTGGCCAATATTTCAGAGAAGGACGGCGAAGATGAACCTCTCCATGGCCGTGAAAAGCCCTGATCCTGTGTTGATAGTTTGCATTCGTTCGGTGTCAATATACTATATTGTTTTGGGCGGATTTAAAAGAGCCATTACGATAGACGGAATATCAGAACTCTTTGTATATCTACTATTAAGAATTAAAAGCGTCGCGAGCATAATATAAAGATGCACAGGTTCAAACAAAGCCCAGTAGAATCCCCAAGTTCCGATAAAGCGATGACGTCCCGCTTCGGGAACTCCGCCTTGACGATCATCGACCTCTCCAACCTCCCCCCTCCACTCCACCTCTGGTTACGTCCTTTCCAATCGCTCTCCACGCATTTCCTGCAAATATTTTCTGCTTAGCATAACTGGAGCTCCAATAACTGTCAGCGGGGCGACCACAGCCGACCGACACCACCCCCACGATGGATCAACATGACGACTTTGATAATGTTTCCTGGAAGCACGATCCAGAAAGCGATGTCTCACGACCCACAACCGCAGGCACTGATGCCGAGGAATCCCAGGAACATGAACATGTCTCCAATGGCAAGCGGAGAATGAGCTCTACTCACGAAGAACCCCAGGCCGGCCCGCTGGCCGATGCCGTCGACCTGGCGGGTATCGGAGATGGAGTGCTGGAGTGCCAGGTCGACTCTCCACTAAAAGAGAATGACGGAACAAAAGACGCCTACATTTCATACCTCGTCACCACACACGTATGTACTCGTCTCCTTACCTACTGACTCGGAGCGGAGGGGGCTACTGCTGCCTAGCATCCGGACTCTGAGCATCCCCGAACAAGCAATAACTAAAACCTCATAGACGGATTTCAAATCCTTCCAAAGACCCGACTTTACTGTCCGCCGGCGATTCACTGACTTCTACTTCCTATACAAAACTCTCTACCGCGAATACCCAGCATGCGCGGTCCCGCCCCTCCCGGACAAGCACAAGATGGAGTACGTGCGCGGAGACCGGTTCGGACCTGAGTTCACTACGCGACGAGCTTGGTCGCTGCATCGCTTTTTGAAACGACTCACCCTCCACCCCGTACTCCGGCGGGCGCCGCTTCTTACTATCTTCTTGGAATCGGCGGACTGGAACGCACACATGCGTTTGCATGCTACACGAGGCACGACGAATGCTGGGTCAGATGGTGCCGCCACTGGGATCTTTGATAACTTTACCGATACTTTCGTCAACGCCTTCTCCAAAGTGCACAAGCCGGATCGGCGATTTATCGAGGTGCGCGAAAAGGCTGATAAGCTAGATGAAGATCTATCGCATGTGGAGAAGACGGTTGCGCGCGTTGCACGCCGTGAATCAGACCTGGAGACGGACTATTCTGAGCTGGCGATGCAGTTCCGCAAGCTTGTCCCATTAGAGCCAGCCGTCGAGGCGCCGCTACAGATGTTTGCAGCTTCGGTGGAAGAGACTGCGCTCGGAATGCGCGGGCTGAAGGAGCACACCGATCAGAACTATCTTGGTTCGTTGCGTGATACAGAAGCATACATCTTGTCACTCAAGTCGCTGCTGAAGACTCGCGAGCAGAAGCAACTCGACTTCGAGGCTTTGGTCGACTATCGTAATAAAGCCGTCACCGAGCGTGACTCGCTAGCTGCGAACCCAGCTGCCTACTATGCCTCCAACCCGCTCACATCCTCACCTGCCTCCTTCATCCGCTCCAAAATGGAAGACATGCGTGGTGTCGACCACGAACAGTCTCGCCGTGAGCGTGTCCGGAAACTCGAGCTTCGCATTGACGAATTGACTCGCGAGGTTGAGTCTGCCAAGACCACTTCGGAAATGTTTGACGAAGAGGTCATCCGTGAAGTGGCCGACTTTGAACGCATCAAGGCGGTCGAGTTCCGCGATAGTCTTGGCTCATTTGCCGATTCGCATATTGAGTTCTATCAGAATGTGCTCTCTACGTGGGAGAGATTTGTAGCCGAAATGGAGGATACAGAGACCAGTCGAGAGTCTGATTCGGCTGCTATTGGGGCTGTTTAAGCAGTTTTGACACCCTTTTAAATGATCAGAGCTATTCTTTGGACTGGGTTTGGTATAGCAGTTCGTGTCTGTTTGTTTGCTGGCTTATTTTCGTGTTTCATACCCGCAATACCATCATATCTGTTACTTGGTTCCTGAATGAGCTGCCATATACTTTAAATTTGTTGAATATGAATAGTATATTGAAGCTTTTACGAAGTAAGAAATGTTGCTGTTGTTGCTGTTGTTGATGTTGTTTGTCTTGTTTGCACCGCGCATGTCTATCTTCGATCATCCGATTCAACCTCCAAGAACCAAACACAATGCGCCCAATCTCCAGAGCCGTTCTCCGGCCATACGTCTGCCCATCTTGCCGACACATTAGTGCCGGCCGACGACGATTCAGCTCTAAACTAGATGCCCCCGAGCTCTACGATGTCGTCTGTGTTGGCGGCGGGCCCGCCGGCCTAGGGTTACTGGCAGCACTCCGTATGCACAGCTCGCAATGCATACAAATAAACAATTGACTGACTTTTTACATTGCAGGAGCATCGCCTATCACATCAAAGCTCAAAGTCGCCCTCGTCGAGACCCAGGACCTCCACAAGGCCCAGTCTTGGAACCTCGAACCAACTCAGTTCTCAAACCGGGTCAGCAGCTTGACTCCCTCGTCTGTATCCTTCCTGCGCAGCATTGGCGCCTACGACCACCTCGATGTCGCCCGCATCCAGGACTACCAGGACATGCAGGTGTGGGACGGCCAAACCGGATCCCGAATATCGTTTGACTGGTCCATGGAGACCTCCCCATTCGAAGATATGCGCACGGTAGCAACGATGACCGAGAACGCAAACCTAGTGCGCGCCCTCCTGCGCCGCATTACCGAGTCTGGAGACGAGAACCTTTCCCTCTTCTCCAACTCGACCGTCGCCTCCATCGAGAACGGCTCCGACCTCCAACCGGAAGGTCCCGACCTCTCAGCCTGGCCCGTCCTCTCCGTCAAACCAACAGACCCCGCCGCCTCAACCCCCCCAACCCGCATCGCAGCCCGTCTCCTCGTCGGTGCAGACGGCATCAACAGCCCCGTCCGCTCCTTCGCAGACATCCCAACCCACGGCTGGGACTACGGCCGCCACGGCGTCGTCGCAACCCTCGCCCTAGACAACCCATCAACCCCGCCCTTCCCAGCATACATGCGCACAGCCTACCAACGCTTCCTCCCAGCCCTAGGCGGTCCAATCGCCCTCCTCCCCTTGCCAAACAACCACGCAACCCTCGTCTGGTCCACAACCCCAGAGCACGCATCCTACCTCAAGTCCCTCCCAACCCCATCCTTCCTGGCAATGGTCAACGCCACCTTCCGCCTGGACATGACCGACCTATCCTACATGATGGGTATGGACACGCCCTCTTCCAACACCCCCTCAGACTCGTCCCACCAAGACGAACTCACCTGGCGCATCCAGCACACCCCCCTCCCGGCACACATCCCACCCCCAGCAACAGCCGTCCAAGAAGGAACAGTAGCATCCTTCCCTCTCCGCTTCCGCCACGCAGCGCAGTATATCTCGCCCCGCATCGCGCTGGTCGGCGATGCCGCGCATGTCATTCACCCGCTCGCGGGCCAGGGTTTGAACCTCGGTTTGGCGGATGTGGCGTCCCTCGCGCGAACGATTCAGTATGCGGTCTCGCATGGTATGGATGTGGGTGATCTGCTTACTTTGGAACGGTACTCGTCGGAGAGATACCTCCCCAATGCTAAGATTGGCGGTGCTTGTGATTTGTTGCATAAAATGTATACCGTTCCGGGGTCTGGGCCTGTTGCTTGGGCCAGGAGTTTAGGTTTGGAGACTATCCAGCGGTTGCCTTTCGTTAAGGGGTTCCTTATGAAGAATGCTGAGGGGTATTAGGGATGTGTGGTGAATGTGAAGCGGGAAGTGTATATGTATCTTTTCTTTTGTTTGTTTCGTGTATTTCTAGTCTTGAATGGGCATTGAGCCTCTATATATAAATTTATACCTCCACCTTAAGTATAGTGGGATTGGATTGTATACTGGTAGCGAAGATCAATGTAGCCGCCGAGGCCATATCTATAGAATGCACGAAGTGAAAATGCAATAGATGGGTATTGTATGGGCGACTCCCAACTCTCAGCTCAAAAGCCGAAGCCAAATTCTTTTCTCAGAACAAAGCAGGAAATCCTTTTTGTAAGCCATCGAGCAAACAACTCGAATATGCAAGATCTATTTATTGTGGAAAACAGAAAACCCTCTGACAAACACGCTCACAGATAGGGGGAAAAAAATAGACAGAAATGAAACCACAGAGACACGGTATCTTTTTAAACGGAAGCTCCCTGCAGCTGCTGCGCTAGAGAGGTAACAGCTCCATCAGACTTCTTGGAAAGGCGGGTTTTCAACTCTGAGACCAGCGAGTCAAGTGTAACCTCGACACCCTCCTTCTCGGGGTGTCCCTCGGGCAGACCCATTTCTTTGATGCGGCATTTGCCAGCGGCGAGCTCTTCCTCGCCGAGAATGACAGCGAACGGGATGGCGCCTTGCTCGGCGGCCTTGAATTGCTGGGGAAGCTTGGGCTTCAGCTTGTAGTTGAATTCGGCCTGGAAAATGGCACGTTAGTAGATGTTCATAGTGAAATGATAGTAATGTAATCTTACCTTGACGCCAGCGCTCCACAGCTTCTGGCAGATCTCCATACGCTCCTTGAGCATACCGCTGAAGCCCTTGCCACCGAAAGCCATGACGTAGGCATCAACCTCGCTGCTGCGCAGAGCATCGATGCTCTGCTCGCGCTCGAGACGTGCCTTGGTGATAGAGAAGATACGGTCGACACCGAAGGAGATACCAACGCAAGGAATCTGCGCCTTGGGAAGGAACATGCCAACCAGGTTATCGTAGCGGCCACCGGCGGCGACACTGCCAACACCGAGAGTGGGGTCGTTGGAGCGGTCGTCGTCCTCGGAGTTCTTGGACTTGTCCTTCTTGCTGGACTTCTGTGCCTTCTGTGCCTCCGGGGCGTCGGCCTGCACACCGGCAGAACCCTCGGTGACAACCTCGTAGATGACACCGGTGTAGTAGTCCAGACCACGGGCCAGAGACATGTCGAAGGAGACCTTGTCCAGCACGCCAAATGCCTCCAGGTAGTCCATCATCAGGGCCATATCCTCCAGACCGGCCTTGGCAGTGACATTGGCGTTGAGAGTCTCGTCCTTGAGCAGGGTGTCGAGCAACTCGCGCGAGCCCTTGTTCATAACGTATTTCTCAATGCGGTCCGCAACCTCGCCATCAAGACCCTTATCATCAACCATCTCCTTGCGCACATCCGCCCACGGCATCTTGTCCAACTTGTCGACGGCACTGGAGATAGGCCGGATCTTGTCCTCCGGCACACCGCAAACGGCAAAGACGCCATCCAGGATCTTGCGGTGGTTGAGCTTGATCGTGTAGCGGCCGCTCCATCCCAGCTCCTCGAAGACCTCGCTGACAATGCGCAGGATCTCGGCGTCGGGCACCATCGGGTCGAAGGTACCGGCGATATCGAAGTCACACTGGTAGAACTCGCGCATGCGGCCCTTGCTGACGGCGGGCTGGTCACGGCGGTAGACCTTGGCGATGTGGTACCGCTTGATGCTGCGGACGTCGCTGTTCATGGCGAGCCAGCGCGCAAATGGGACTGTCAGGTCGTAGCGCAGCGAGCAGATCTCGCCGCCCTGGTCCTGCAGGTCGTAGATGAGCTTGGAGTCCTCGCCATACTTGCCAGCCAGGATCTCACGCAGCTCAAAGACCGGAGTGTCGAGGGCGGTACCGCCGTGGCGCTTGAAGACGTTCGAGATGGTCGTGAAGATGCGGTCTCGGAGGAGGGCGTCGGACCCAGACCAGTCCTTGGTGCCCTTGGGGGTCTTGAGGTTGAAAGAAGGTCCCTTGTCCTTGCCCATTGTGTCTATCGAATCGGAGTGTAGGGAGGAAAAGTGAGTGCGGCGGGGATAGATTTCGTGGTGGGGGATGGTGGGGGCACGGCAATTATTTTTATTCGAGGTGACCGGGAGAGAACTGAAGGGATGACTCAGACAACAAGGGGTTTGGCCAATGGATCTGGCAATTGCTCGTCGTGTAGAGCGTAAAGAAACAGAAACGAACGTCATAAACGAGAAGCCACTCGGCGCAAGAAAATATCGGGGGCGTTCACGGGATCTGCCTGTGTCGTTCTGTCCTGAGCCCGGAGTTTCCCGGCATTTTGGGTTTATCCGGTCACCGGAGGTTTATCCGAACTACTGTACTATCCTCGATTTATTATATTGAGTGATGCTCAAAGAAATATGTTCTTGTAGCTATATGGTATTGAGTAGTACTCGAGAAGATATCTATTACCTATATTTAGACAGCATGTGTAGAAGATGTATAAACTGGCATTCAAGCCTTTTAGTCCTTACAATGCAGCAAGTTCATGTTTTGACTTTGATTACACATGTACAATTCAAACCCATCGTTTGTTACTATCCTCTCACATTATCGTTTCATCGCCCTCGTGGCATACAATAAGGTGGCAGTCAATACTTTGGACCTGGAACACCTAACACCCTTCAGCGTTTACTTCAAAATATACCGTCGACGCAGCTGGCTGAGAATACATTCGCCCAGGTCGCGGACGATCGCAAGTCCCCGACAAAACCCACAGTTCATCCATACCCTGGAGAACTTCTAGAAAGCGATGACCTGGAAGTTCCGAGTAGTATAGCCTTGGAGAAGGTTAGAGCTGAACTCCAAAGAGAGACCCTCACGACGAATTCAGATGTCAGCACTCTCAGTCCATAACTATAAATCTTTGTTAAAATATATGCCTTGGCTCGTCCAGGAGTACCAGAATACCACGGTGGGACCATGAGACTTTTACCTTCATCTGATTAAGATGACCGCTGTGGCAACACACACACTGGTGTCGGATCTATTCTCGCCAACGAAAAAGCCTCCTTACGAACGTCCCCCGTCTCCAAAGTTTGTACCTCCCTCGGCATGGAATTCTTGGCGCAACTGGAGCTGCCTGAGATTCCAACCTGAGGACTATTAGGAACAAAGCCATATTCCATGGAGTTGCTGATATGGTAGGTTATCGGGCGGAAGTACAAATATTCGGAGGTGTTGTTTGGGTTCATCACGGGGAGTGAGAAAGAGGTAGTACTGTACGCTCATCCTAATTACTTGTACTATCACCTGCTAAATAAGTAGTAGTTCCGAGTGTCTTTCTCCACCCTACAAATAATTCCCGGGTGTTCAGACCATCGGATATGCAGATCGACCTGTTCCTTCAGTTTGGATTGAGTGAAACAAGTCCGTGTCCATTCCCGATGAAAGCTGAACGTCATGCATTGCGCAATGACGCAGAATGCCCCTTTGCACATAACGATAATATCTTTCAAAACAGATATGAGCGTATTCCTCCTGTCGATGAGCCTCGGAGAACTCAGCATCCAAGGAGGTGGCTTGAGGATAATCCGGATGCGATAGAGATCATGAAAATAGTCGGAGAACGCTATGGTGATACTTAACGTGAGGATTGGATTTGCTTTTATTTTTATTTTTATACTTTTTGTGTTTACTCCTGAAGGTCTAGGCTATGAGGAAGCCAATACATCTACTGTATATGTATTGTCATATATTTCAGGCCTTTTTGTAGGGTCTAAGTTAACGTTAACGCTATGTTACCGTCTTTATGTATGTCATAATAAAGTTACCTAGATAGCCGACCATAGGATGTCGAGGTGTAAATGCCTGTGAGATAGATATTCAAGTTAAACATGAGAGGGCTAGAGTGACAATGATTAAACTATATAAATTATAACCTCGGAGTAGACTGTGCATGATTCAAGAAGAGGTGTCTGTCGCATTACAGCACATTAATCGCTCACTCGGAAAAGCCCGATCTACTACTCCACGACTAGTCTTAAACGGGTAGGTCAAGGTTGAAATGCCGGTAAACCTAACATGCGTCTTTTTCCCCCCGTGTCTTTGTCTTGCCACCCCCACTAGGATGTGTTGCTTGGACTATAGGTTTACTTATCTCTTATTGGGGCGGCTAGCTTATGGACGTCCAATGGCCATGGCGGCGGAATGCGCGTAGGCACCGGCTAAAGGGTGCATAGCCAATAGGCTGATAGATCCATATTAATATCTGTGCGGTAATATGTCCCGTATAAAGTTAAGTTACGAAACACATCTACGTGTATGGTGGAATCCAGGCCCTTGCTTCTACCGTAATCTGTACCCCGGGGGGCTAAATAACTCGAAGTAAGGAACATTCGAAGGGGGCATTTTCCCCACGTCTCCGACGATCATTGGCCGTTGAGGCACGCCATGCGAGGGACACATGGCCCGTGAGAGCCGGAATAGGCCAATGGCAGTTCGCCAAGGGCGGCGTTTTATGGTCCAGCCCCAGCCTCCGGAGGGGAGAGCCTTGGGGGGAGTTGGCCACTCCGCTGGGGAAAGGGCCAATGATGGTCTCTAGGGGGGGCCTTACCCAGTTGGGGACTCCGGTACGCCCGGCACACATTCACACAGTAGATGTTGAACTGTGAGGTAAGATAGAATTGTCCTGAGGTAGTAGATCTACAGTAGTAGAGAGTAGAGTAGATCTAGAGTAGATGTAAGAAAGGAACAAGACTCGAAAATCGGCGATTGGATATGTACCTGCCTTAGGTCTCCACGTGGAACAGTAGTCCATTCCAGAAGATGACTGTTATCTGCCTGGTCCTGGTCCTTGTTACTCTCCTCTTCCCTTGATCCTCGATCCTTCAATCTTCTACTATTCTACTATTCTACTATTCCACTATTCTGCTCTAGCCTTCTAACCTCCTATTGCTCCCTCCCGTCTTCTCTCCCCTCGGTTCTCCGCGTTCTCTCTCCGCTCTTTCTTCTCTCCGCCCACGGACCCCAGAAACCTTACTAGTGGCTACCCCGGACCTCTTCCTTTCAACTCCTCTTTCACTGCCTCCAATGCAGAGTGTGACCGACGCGCCTCAGCCATCATGAAGGGGCTCTTCTCCAAGGGCTCCAGGAGCAGTGGGGTGAGTAACACAGCAGCCTCGGGCTCTCGTGAGAACATTCCGATTAGGACCGTGACTGACTGAGACACGCGCAGACTGCCACCACCCCCTCGACCACCGCCGCGCCCGTTAAGAAAGATCTGGCCCCGCAGATCTCCCCGCTGGAGAAGCTGCTGCAGGAGATGGGCTCGATCCGCGACGATGGCAGCGACAAGTTCTTTGGCATGGAAAACGTGAGTCTTCCCCGAAATCGCATCGGAACCAGGCTGACGGACACTCCCCGCGCTCTAGTACGGAAACACATGCTACTGCAATTCGATCTTACAATGTCTCTATTACTCTGTTCCCTTTCGCGAAGCCGTGATCAACTACCCGCAACGAACGCCACTGGACAGCCTTGAAGCCGCACTCGCCACCAACCTACGATACCAGAACCCGAATGCACACCTGGAAGCCGAGGCGCTCGCCGCCAAACAGAAGGCTTCCTCGCCACCGTCAGCACGCCAGGCTGGTGTCCCTCCGAATCAGCCCCAAAAGCCCGAAGACAAGGACTCGCCGGAATACAAGAAGAAGGTCGCCCTCCAGACCCTACCGATCTTGGAGACCAAGAACAATGCGACTAGTTATGGAATGTCCGAGTCGCTTTTCACCTCGCTCAAGGACATCTTTGAGTCGGTGGTGGGAAGTCAGTCGCGGATCGGAGTGATTCGGCCACAACAGTTTCTGGATGTACTACGGCGGGAGCACGAAATGTTCCGGACTGCCATGCACCAAGATGCGCACGAGTTCTTGAACTTGCTGCTCAACGAGGTGGTGGCCAACGTCGAAACAGAAGCAACCAAGCAAGCATTCACCGAGAAGGCTTTGCCACCCACGGAAAGTGCAGACTCGTTAGGAATGTTGACACCCAGTACGGGATCGAAATCACCAAATACAACGAGATGGGTGCACGAGCTGTTCGAGGGGACTTTGACATCTGAAACCAAGTGTCTTACATGTGAAAAGGTCTCGCAACGAGACGAGGTTTTCCTGGATTTGTCCGTGGATCTGGAGCAGCATTCATCCGTCACATCATGTCTTCGGAAATTCTCCGCAGAAGAGATGCTTTGCGAGCGGAACAAGTTCCACTGCGATAACTGTGGTGGACTTCAAGAAGCCGAGAAGCGTATGAAGATCAAACGTCTGCCACGTGTGTTGGCTTTGCATTTGAAGCGTTTCAAATACACAGAGGACTTGCAGCGCCTACAAAAGCTGTTCCACCGCGTTGTCTACCCATATCATCTTCGTCTCTTCAACACCACCGATGATGCCGAGGACCCTGACCGGCTCTATGAACTGTATGCAGTGGTGGTTCACATCGGTGGCGGACCCTACCACGGCCACTATGTCGCCATTATCAAGACAGAGGACCGCGGCTGGCTACTGTTCGACGATGAGCTGGTTGAGCCCGTTGACAAAAACTACGTGCGTAACTTCTTCGGCGACCGTCCGGGACTGGCGTGTGCCTACGTTCTGTTCTACCAGGAGACCACCATCGAGGCCGTTATGCGCGAGCAAGCACAAGAAGATCTGGCCTCCGCCACTGGCACCGCTGAGACTGGCGAAGCGAGACAGAACGGTTCACCATTGTCACCACCGCTAGCACATGTTCAAAGTGCTTCCCAAGTGCCTTCGCACGATACAGCTCCTTTCTCACCTATCAACCGAATCCCGACGGCACCCCAGTTGTCCAGCCACGCAGAAGCTCCAGAGCACGAAACCCCTCCACCGCTACCCGTTCAATCACCAGTTCAGCCACCTCTTCCCCCGATTCCGGATGAGCCCGCTCCTTCGCTGAGCCCGAAGAAGAGTGACTACCAACTCCGGCGGGAGAGAGCACGAGAGGACAAGGAACGGGAGAAGGAACGCCGTGCTGCGGAGAAGGAAAAGGACAAGAATGAAAAGCTCCGCCAAAAGGAACAGGATCAGCACAACCGAGAAATGCAGAAACGCGAGGCCGAGGAGCTGGAAAGAGCTCTGAAGGCCAGCAAGCTCGATGTCAACGAGCTCGGTGCTGAGAATGGATCACCTAGGAAGTCGGGCTTTGGTTTCCTGAGACGAGGCAGCCGCAGTATCAGCCAACGCCTGAACAAGGAGAAAGAACCTCGTGTCTCGACATCAGATGTTTCATTTACGACACCTGTCCCAGAACCCGTCCCCGAAGCCCTAGAGATACCCCGCAAGGAGGTTCCTCGCAAGGATGTACCACGCAAGTCAGAATCGCTCCAGTCCCCAATGTCTCCAATGTCTCCAATGTCCCAAACGTCGCCTAAAGACATCCCTCTATCCAACAAGCAACCCATTCGGGGCCCCGCCCCCCTGGCCAAAGACCATTCCGCCAGCCACGAAAAGTCCGGCTCTACTCACCGGTGGAGATCCTTCAGTTTCAAGAAGAACGTCAACAGCGTTTCTTAAGCTTTAAGTTGTCCTTTTACCTTTCGTCCGTCACCTTCACGGAGATACCCCTTGCACATATGATCGCAACATTTTGCTTCTGCACATATCTACCTGGATGTACCATCACGTTCTAACGATCTGATCTGCGCCATTATCTTCCATTCTCCTGTGGGTGTTCTGTTCTCGACCAGGCATTCCACAGATATGTCTTTCTAGACTCTTGAATCTCAGATCCTGCCTCGTTTATTGCTTCCTCCTTATGCTTTCCTCGCATTCCGAATCTTTTGCTACCATCGCTTTTTTCTTTTCTTTTCATCGCTGCCACTTTTTGTATCATGTACAGTGGGCACGATACCCCTGCCATCCACACAAATTCCGGCAGCTCACGAAAAGAGGCGTTAAGAGTTTCAATTGCTATTTCTAGTTATCTTTTTCTTTCTACTTTCTGCTTTATGCTACTATTGGTGAGCGTGGGAATTGTCGGTTTTAGGCGTTCTATCTCTATTCTATTTCTATGCTTTTCCTGCGTGATATCTCATCTCTGAAGTCATGAGCGAATGTGCTTTTCTATTATTCTCTTGTTTCTTTCCCTTTGCATGTGCATTTTATCTGCTCTCTTTCTCTCTCTGTCTGTTTGCCGAGTATTTCCTCTGGCCTTGCTTTGCTGCTCACTTTGCTGTCGTCGTATATATCTTGATTCGGTAGATTATGTCTCGTCGTCTCTTAACGTTACGCGCGATAGACTTGTCCGCTGTTTCTGAATACAATGCATGGAGGCAGCTTTGTGATATGTATTTTCTGGGTCTTTATGTGTGTGTAGTGTGGAGTAGTCATGCTCTGATCTGTATTCTGTGTGGTTTCATATATCCAAAGTACATGTATTGTGTTTCAAGCAACGTTAGTGCGGGTCTATTCTATCGGCTATCGAAAGGATCAATATACTGTGTAAACGGCGGACCTGTGAATTACTGTATCCAGTTAGTTTTGCCTTTTTGGGTTTAGCGCCCCAATACGCCGTCACGTAACCTCCCTTTAATGCCCTCCGACATAAAGACCCGTCTTCGCTGCTCATCTTCCCCCTCTCTTACCTTTTCATTCTTCCTACCTCTCTATCTTGTACTCATCGCCGCCCCCTTTCTTCTACTCTAGCCCCCACCGACTACTACGCATTTGCTTTTAGCCCGACGCACTACGCCTTTCATTTTTACCGGAGATACCGCTTAATCCGATATCTAACTTGCAATGCCTGTCACCCAGAAGCGTAACCATTGGGATGATACAGCATCCTGTCCTTTCGTGTCGATGATCACAAATAAAGTGAACCAATTTGAAAATGTGTGATACAGGTAATCAATGCTCATCATCCTGGACCTCGTCATCCTCTTCCTCTTCGATCTCGTCTGCGTAGGAAATAAACAAACGCTGAGGGATAGGCAGAGTGCCATCCCCATCCTTCCTCACCCACCTTTCCTTTTCATTGTCAGTAAGTGCAGCTAAAGTCGCACCCCGAGACTCTAACAAGTCGACCATATCCTGGTCACCCTTCATTTTAGCAGTGTAGAGTCCAGTATGTCCGTACTGTGAAACATTGAACCCTCCATCAAGAAGAAGTCTCACCATAGACTCATCCTTATGTAGTACAGCTAGCTTCAACGCTGTTGCTTGCGGCCCTACACCAAATTCGAGCAATGTCGGGATAATACCCCGTTGATCATCTTTCACAGCACGATATAATGGTGACGGGGTATATCGCTCTGGATCAGCACCGCGCTGAAGCAGTAATTTTACTAGCTCCAGATTCCCGCCCTGCACCGCAGTGAAGAGGGGCGGGTAATCAACCTCCTTCCTATGCCACCAGTTGCGAGTATAGGGAGTGCGTCCCCTACAGTAGAAGTTGGCCTGTGCACCAAAGTCTAGCAAGACAGCCACGATTTTGGTATGGCCACCCCGAATTGCCACCACGAGAGCGTGCTGGATATGCACAACGGTCGGGGTGCTATATCCCTGTTGGACGAGAGGGTGGGTCAAAACATCCGTTCGGTCCCATTTATCTCGTGTTTTCCTTAGCACCGTGTCTTCTTCGTCTTCGTACCTTTTTGGAGCCTTGTCTTCCGTTGCTTCTATCACTGCCAGGGATGCTTGAGGCTGGTTGCGGGCAGTATCTAGCCCGTCTAGCAGATTTTGAACTTGTAAAAAGAGGTTCCGCTCGGCGAGAAAAGAGAGCGCGGCTCCATGCTTATACTGGCCGTGAAAGTTATACAGAAACTTGATGAGCGTTTCGTAAAGATGACGATTGGTCCGGATAAAGGCGTAAATGTCCCTTTGGTGGCAGAAGCAAGATGCGATGATCCATAGGATCTCAGTGGGTAGTTGAACGAGCGTCATTATGGGAAGATGAATTTTCGTGCATGTGTGTACAAGGGAAGTTGAAAATACTACTAGAAGTCTAGCTCGAGTTTCCTCGCAAAAAATAGGATCGGTCTAGTATTAGTGCTTATCAGTTTAAGCCGGATATATAGGCGTAGGTGCCATAGAGGAGGTTACATACATAGACTAGGGTAGAAATTTGTGTTATAGAAAACGACAAAGTCGAGGTCATTTGCGGCGTCAATCCCACAGGTCCTCATATTCTAGCTGTAATTTTGGAATCTCTGTTTATTACATTTTGAGATGGATACAGCCAGGCCAATACCTACTTCTCACTTTACTTCCTAGCTAGGCACTTCCCACATATTCTCATTCATATTCATATCAAGAGTCAGACAAGACCCCGGTTTATGGAGTCTCTAGTCCGCGTTACATATCCCAGCCACCCAAACCCAGTAGGCATACACCACACTCCTCTAAACAATACCACATCCCATTCTCCCAATAAACAATCGTAGGGTATACATACCCCTCCCTCCAAAACAAGACCAAGAAGCAGGGCATCCAAAATTTTGTATTGATTGCAAGGTAATATAATCGTGACATCGCGTAACTCTCGAGGATGTATGAGGTAAGACAAGGCAAGGCAAGGTGTGCAAGAAAGCGACAGCAACAAATCCGCAAGAATATAACTTAACCATACCCTCACATCCTATCCGTTAGGCATTGAAATCGACCCGACCCGTTGAAACGGCAATGGACAGAATGGGATTATCCGAGGATCAGTTCGTATACAATGATGACTGTGTTTATGACGATTAGGGGTACTAGATTGCATTGTTTGTTAGCTATGCGGACCTCTCATCAATGGAATGGGGATACCGCTCGATGTTGGGATTGGAAGCGGGGGATATAGCTTAGATCGAGGCTGCGGAAGGGTTTGGTCGTATTTTGTGCTGGGATTGGGATGGAGGATTCAAGTCACATACTTCGCATAACTGTCCGCACACTGGCGATCAGGTTGATGGTCTTTGCCTTGACGCTTGTGCTATCGTGTGCCGCGCCGAAGGCTGGCTCAGCTTGTGTGCGACCCCATCCGACTATTTTATCTTTGTGTTAGCTTCCTTTCTCTTTCCTTCTTGGTAAGTGGTAAGTGGTGGGCGGTGGGTGGTGGGTTGGGCGGATGTGGGCTGGAAGGACTAACTGCGAGCTAGGAAGCGGTCCTCGGAGAGGATGGCGATGGCGTTGATGATCAGGATGATCACTAGAAGGGAGGATCAGTATAGCTCAGAGAATAGACTGCAATGGAAATAGGACTCACCGTAGACCAGCTTCCCTAGACCGAAGAGAAACATTGTGAGTCGAGGGGTTGAAGAAGTTCAAAGGTGAAGATGCGGGAAGCGCCAGATCTCCGGATCAACACTCTCGGAAGCCATGAGATATGGTGAGTTCACCATCCAGACACGAAGAACACGAGCTGACTTGTTATATAGCATTGGCGCTTCTCGTTCCACTGGGCTTGATTGTCCTGCACCTCCTCGCCGCCCCTTATACCAAGGTCGAGGAGTCGTTCCATGTCCAGGCCGTGCATGACATCCTAGCTCATGGCTTACCATACGGATTCAATGATCCCAACCTCAATCGCACAAACTATGACCACTTTGCATTCCCCGGCGCTGTGCCCAGGAGCGCTGTCGGTGCTGCGTTGCTCGCCCTGCTCTCGAAACCGGTGATCCTGTTCAACGACGGGATCAATCAACAGCTATTAGGTGCGCCGTAGAGCTATACATACCTCTCCAAATACACATCCACGACATGCTAACGCCTCCCTCCAGCTCGAGCAATCCTAGGCCTCCTCAACGCCTCCGCTATAGCATACTATGCCAGCGGCCTCCGCCACACCTTCGGTCAGACAGTCGCAATCTGGTACATCCTCCTCCAAACCAGCCAATTCCACCTAATATACTACGCCTCACGACCACTATCAAACATGTTCGCCTTTCCCCTAACAACAACAGCAATGCGCCTCCTCCTCCCAACCCCCCACCACGCCAACAACAACCACACAGGCAAAGCCCTAGCCCTCCTCACCTTCGCAGGCGTAATCTTCCGCTCAGAACTCGCCCTGCTAGTAGCAACCCAAACCCTCTTCAACCTCTCAACCAACAAAATATCCCTGAGGGCCACAATCACCGCAGGCCTAACAGGCGCAATCACAGCCCTCCTCCTAACAATAACCCTAGATGGCACATTCTGGCAACGCTTCCCACTCTGGCCAGAATTCGAAGCCTTCGTCTTTAATGTCATGGCAGGCCAATCCTCCGCTTGGGGAACGGAGCCTTGGTCCTGGTATTTCACTAATGCCCTCCCCCGTCTCCTCCTCAACCCGCTTGTCTATACCCTCGCTATCCCCGTTGCTTTGCGGCAGCCTGCTACGCGGTCTCCAGCGCTGGCACTCCTCATTCCGTCGCTTGCGTTCGTCGCGTTGTATAGTTTCATGCCGCATAAGGAGTGGCGGTTTATTGTTTATGTTATTCCATCGCTTACGGCTGCTGCGGCTCTCGGCGCGGCGTATCTCTGGACGCATCGTCGACGATCATTCTTTATGTGCTGGGCTGTGCGAGTGCTGGCTCTTTCTGTGCTTTTGACTGGGTTTTTGTCGAATTTCGTGCTGCTTCCTGTGTCTGCGGTGAATTATCCTGGTGGGAGGGCTCTTGATGCGTTGCATTCTTATCATGGCAAGTCGGACTTGAAGATGGAGAATGGGCTTGGCCCTGGGAGGACTGTGAATGTCTATCTTGGTAATTTGGCGTGTCAGACTGGTGTTACGCGTTTTGTTCAGTTGCCTGATGAGTCTGGGTGGGTTTATGATAAGACTGAGGATGAGGTTGTTAAGTCTACTAGTGGCTTTTGGGATCGGTTTGATTATGTTCTTGTTGAGGCTTCATCCGAGGTTGGGTATATGGATAGCGATGAGATGAGGTTTAGGGAGGTTTTGCCTTCTTCTTCGTGGGAGATGGTTTATGTTGCGGATTCATTTGCCGGTGTTTCTGTTCTGAGACCTGGGGTCCCTGCTACGGGAACTGTTGAGAAGCGAGTTATAGGTGCTGTTGGTGGATCGAGGGCGGTTGAAGCGTTTGAGAGTGTGCGTGAGCGTGTGAGAGATAGTTTGTTGCGTGGGTGGTGGGTTGAGGTTAAGATGAAGCCGAGAGTTCAGGTATTGAGGCGGGTTAGAGAGGATTGAAAGTTAAGATTATAGTAGGCTTATAATAGCCTGAAACTTGGAAAAGATGTACAGTATTAACAATCTTAGGACCATGTGGTATGGAACTGATATTGACATTGACACCAAACAAAGATAACTACAAAATGCCCAACATTCGACAAGACGGTACAACGTACATCACAGATGCAACTGGGTATTATTCATCAAAGCACTGCCCTGGGCAGTACAAAACAAGAAAATGGTTACAGTCCACCAGGCGGACCTTCAAGACGTCCCAGACGAGACTCCAAATCCCGCACCCAAGGCTCGACAGTCTCTACGTTCGAGCGGAGAGCGTCCTCGCCCTGGCGCATTTTCTCCTCGACATTTGTGAGGCCTTCACGCCACTGCTCGATCTCAGAGGCCATCTCGGCATGACGCTTTTCGAGTTCGTTGAGGGAGTCTGCGGCGTGGGCTGCGCCTGCGTGGCATGCGCGCAGGGAGCGTAGGCGCTCGAGAACACTGGGGAGGAGCGGGTGCAGGGACTGGATGGTTGGGAGGGTAGCATAGAGAGCTTGGATTTTGGCGGCGTGCTCGTCGTCCGCGGCGGGAACAGGCTCCGATGCGGGTGCGTCAGTTTCAGAGCTTGTTGAGGTGATGCGCGCGTTGTGAGCGGCTTTTGCGGCGTCGACGGCGCGTCTGCGGGCGGTTGTTAGGGCTTCGGCGTCTGTGGTTAACTTTCGGACCCGTGCGGAGAGCGCTTCGAGATGTGGGGTTGTCAGGCCTGCCACTGCGCCTGGTGCGCCTGGGTTTCCGGACGCCGGGTTGCCCACGAGGAGACCCGTCAATGCTGAGAGGCGAGAGGTGAGCTGGTCTAAGGATGGGAGGACGGGCTGCAATGCTGACTGGCCGAAGCCGTCTGCGATGAAGGGGTTTGAGGAGCTGGAAATGCCCATGGATGTTTCGAGAAGGGCGAGACGGCTGTCGAATGCTGCTGCGTGGGAGAGAATGCCTGTAGAAGATGCAGCCGCTGGAGGTACTGCGGATACTGCTGTTGACGGTGTGTTGGCAGGCTGTGTCTTTGCGTCTGCAGGCGCAGCAGAACGAGGATCAGATCCCAATTTCTGGGATAGCACGGCGGCAGCCGAGTGCGACGGAGTCGCCGCAACTCTTGAGGCATGCAGATTATCCAAGGCGCGACTCAACTCCGCAACACCATCACTCAGGTTCTCTCCTGGCTTATCACCAGATGTGCCATGCGATGGCTCATTTCCACCCTCCTGTTCCTGGGGACGATTGGCCATTTCCACCTTGAGGTCCTCGACCTCTCTCCGTAGCCGTGCAAGCCTCCGCTCCACCGACTCGTCCTCGCTATCACTTAGATCACCGACCTCCTCTGTGCCATCTTCACGTCTGCGCCGATGACGACGATGCTTATCTTTGCTCCGGTATGCCTGGCGCTTCATGGAAATGCTATCTGAGAAATTGACGTCGCGGGCATCCACCGCGGCGCCCATGAAGTGCATACGTGCCTGGTCCGCGTTGACACCTTCGCGGTCAATGTCAGAGTTGGAGCCGGCGTCATCATGATCGGAGTCTGTGCGAATGGTAGTAGGCTAGACAAAATCAGTGGCTTGTTCCAATGACGTTTCTTTTCCGTAGGATTGGCGGACTTACAGGGACGGTGGATGCTTCGTCGGTCAAGTCGGGGGTCTCATAGATATCTGGGGAAGGGTCCTAGCTCAGGGTCAGTCGGATAATCGATAAAAATCAGCAACAGGAGGACCCACCAGGTCAGGAAGACCGGCGTATTTCTTATTGAAAGCCATGGTGGATTGGGGTAGCTCCGATAGTAAACACAGGAGTTGATAGAGCGAGTCACGTGCAATGTGTCAGCAGAAGCACGTGTCAGCCTCGGACGAACACATGCAATTTGACGCAATTTAAGCTCATCAAACCCGGGGTATATATTCACTGCTTGGAAGTCTTTTCTTCCTTTCTTCCTTTCTTCCTCTATCTTCAATTGAATCCAATTCCCTTCTTACGCTTGATCCCTCTGCACTCCTAAGCTTCCACACTTTATACTTTCCCCACCACCCCGCATTCCTATCTACAGCTCCAACTCCAACTCCAACCAACAGTCAAAATGGCCGCCCCAGCTGATGTCACTATCAAGAACCTCAGCGGTGAATGGGAGATGGTATGTCTATATGTCAAAATCAAGAAAGAGGCCAATACTTACGACCCGTTGAACAGGATGCAACGCTGTCCAACCCAGCAGACCCCATCCTAGCCCTGGTAAGAACCCCAAACCCCAATCACACCAAACACCCCAAAGTACCAAGTAGCTCTAGTCATACAAACCTGAAGCACCAACCTCCCCTTTCTTCCCAATACCCCAGCACCGCTCCATACCCATACACAATACAATACAATGCAAAACACACCGACTATCCATAACCCCCAACAACCCCACTAACAACCAAACCAGCAAGGAATGAGCTGGCTCCTCCGCAAGACCCTCTCCTATGCAACCGTAACCCTCTACGTCCACAGCTACCCAGACAGCGACACACCAACAACCTACCACATCGACATCCAGCAAGTAATCACCGGCGGCATCCAAGGCACCAAAGAAAGCCGCACGCTCGACTGGACAGAACGCGACCACACTGACAACATCTTCGGCACGTTGCACGGCCGTTCGCGCCTGCTGGACGGTAAGAGTGAAGACGGCGCCGTGCGGCCTGCGCTCGAGGTGCAGACTAGTGTTGGTGAGGCTGAGGCTGATGCTAAGGTTGGCAAGTTCTTGCATGGGGAGATCCTTGTTGATGGGTCTAAGAGTGAGGGTTTCTCTGGGCAGGATGGGGAGGGAGTTTTTATGCAGAGTTTTGTGAGGAATGATTCTGCTGGTTGGACTGCTGAGCAGGTTTGGGGATTTGAGATTGTTGGCGGGGAGAGGCGCCATACTCGTCGTGTTGTTGTTACTAAGGATGGGAAGGTTGAGATGGCTAGACTTGTTTATTCTTTCAAGGCTAGACGGGTTGAGGAGTAGGTGTGTTCTTTTTACTTGGTCTATGTTTTGTGCTGGGTCGTTTTTCTAGCTTGCTATTATTACCCCTAGATCAATCTAGCGTTTAGCTCTTATTGGTTGTGCTTCAGGTTATGTTTTTCTGTTTTGAGTCGCTTGTAAATACATTGTAAATAGCATACATACGAATTGGTCCAGCTCATACACTATCCAAATTGGTATTCAATGTTTGGAATGCAACATGACATAAAAGCAAGAATACGCTTTGAATAAACTCATGGGGACACACGACGCATATTTTTGTTGAGCGGAAACAAAAGTTAACATTTCATGATGGCTAAAAGAGAAGAAAGAAAGCATTATAATCACCCAAGGCTTAATGGTGAGTAGGCATCACCACGGTAGCCTTGGTGCAGGTAGCATCCTCGCTCTTCCATAGACTGGTTACAGTCTTCTGCTGGGTATAGAACTGCAAGCCGGGCTTGCCGTAGAAGGTGTTGGCACCACCACCGGCAATACTCTTCTTGTTACCAGTGAAGGAGAACATGGGAAGAGGGACGGGAATGGGCACGTTGATGCCGAGCTGACCGGCTTCGACTTCCTTCTGGAACCTGGAGGCAGTTGAGCCGGAGCGGGTGAAGACGGCGGCACCGTTGCCGTAGTCGTTGGCGTTGATGGTGCTGATGGCGTCATCCAGGGTGTCGACATTGAGGCAGACAAGGACGGGACCGAAGATCTCCTCCTTGTAGCACTTCATGTCGGGGGTGACGTTGGTGATGATAGTAGGACCAACCTAAGACAGCAGGGTTAGTTCATGACGAGCATGTAGCAATGTCTGTAGTATGACTTACGAAGTTGCCGTTGGGGTAGTTCGCGGGCTTATATCCACGGCCATCCAGAAGGATAGTAGCACCCTCCTCCTCGGCGCTAGCAATCAGATCCTCGATGCGCTTCTTGCTCTCAGGGCTGATGACAGGGCCGAGATCGGCACCCTCTTCAAAGCCACCGTTCACGCTCAAGGCCTTGGCCCGTTCAGCGATCTCGGGTAACCACTCCTTGGTCTCGCCAACCATAACACAAGTGCTCAAAGCCATGCAGCGCTGTCCGGCAGCACCAAAGGCGGCACCAACAATAGCATTGAGAGACTGGTTCTTGTTGCAGTCGGGCAGGACAGCGGCGTGGTTCTTGGCACCCAGGTTGGCCTGCACACGCTTGCCGTTGGCAGAACCGCGGGTGTAGATGTACTCGCCGGCGCGGTTGCTGCCAACGAAGCTGATGGCCTTGATAGCAGGCTCATCAAGAATGAAGTCCACGGTGGGAGCGGAGCCGTGGATGATGTTAATGACACCGGGAGGGAAACCGGCCTCCTTGGCCAGCTCGGCCAGGATCATTGCGGCACCGGGATCACGCTCGGAGGGCTTCATGACCAGACAGTTACCGGTAGCGGTAGCAATGGGAATACACCAGAGGGGAATCATGGCGGGGAAGTCTTAGTGATGGTCAGCATCGGTAGGGGAAACAGAGACTTGGTTTAACTTACTGAAGGGGCAGATAGCAGCGACAACACCAAGAGGCTCACGGTAGCTTCTTGTCTCCATGTCCTTCGCCACCTCCAGAACCTCACCGGTCATCTGGGTAGTGATACCACAGGCGGTCTCAGCGACCTGGAGGCCACGGAGAACGTCACCCCTGGCATCGGCGAAGGTCTTACCCTGCTCCAGGGTAATGGATGCAGCCAATCGGTCCCAGTGGGTACGAATGAGGGCAGTGAACTTGAAGAGAATCTGCTGTCTAGCAATGATGCTAGTGTTCTTCCAGGCAGGGAAGGCCTTCTCGGCCGACTCAACGGCAGCCTTCAGCTCCTCATTTGTACTCTGGGGGACACGAGTGACCAGGTTGTTGGTGGCAGGGTCATGGAGATCAATCCACTTGGTTGCCTTAGACGGAACGAACTCATTATTAATGAAGTTTGCTGTGTCAATGGGGTTTGCAATCTTCTGGTGGTTGGTCGGGTATTCGGTTGCAGTTGAGTTGGCCGAGGTTGTTGCAGGGGTGAATTTGCCAGCAGTAGCGTGCAAACCACGAGTGGCAGTAAGAGAAGGAGCAGCAGCTCTACGGGAAGCCATGCTTGCGATGGGTGTAGACGTTGTGAGAATGGATCGGGACTGAGATGCAGCTCTGGCGGTCACGGTGCGGGGAGCGGCGCGGAGAGCGGGGAGGGATCGGGCAACAGACCGACAAGCGGCCATAGTGAATTGAAAAGATAAAAAGAAAAGGCGGACGTCTGAAAGAATACGTGTCACCAATCAAGAAAGGAAATGCAGTCAAGTCACAGGCAGAAATGGAGGGGAACGGGGGAGTACAAGTAGTTACCCCAGGTCCGAGGTCAACCGCCTTAGTCAACTTCCCCATACATGCCCCGATAAGATAGGCTCGGCGATGTTGGCCAATCAAAGCCGTCAGATCCCCGTGAAATGCCGAACATGGCCTATCACTCGTCGCTCGGTAGGAAGGGGTTTCCGAGGAGAGCGCTGTTCCTATGGATATTGCTCTGAAAGGGCAAGAATTGTATAGAGAAATGAATACAGATGTCAACTGCTTAATAAGTATGAAAATATGGCAACAAGCTCTTTTTCTCTGATAATATATTTGTATACAAAAGCCAGAACCCTTTCCGATACCAACGAATAACGTCCGGACCCCCCACAGAAAATTGACTTTGTCTCAATTTTCTTCTAAATAACGTTTTACGACAGGGCAATGCTCCACTGAATATTAAGCTACGGAGCGTCTTAACGGAAGATTGGTAATATCCTGGGTCTGTTTGAGGAAAGTGTATTTTGGTGAGACGTAGTATATTTTAGCAACCTTTGGAATGCTACAAAGGAGCAGCTAAATCATCGTCACAATACGATGTAGGCTGAGATGGTGAACGAAGAAAGATATCCTCGAACAAGTTGCCGAACGGAAACGAAAAAGGAAACGTCGTGCTCATACTGTCTTGCAGGACTTGATCAAACAAACCTCCAGGGGCATTAGTACCACCAAGATCACTTTCATGATCAGGTTGACGAAGATTATTTTGCATCGAGGGTCCCATTGCCGGACGCTCTGGTACCTCTGTGCCATCTTGTATCTGCACGCCCACAGGGTGTTGTTTCAGCAGAGCATCATATATGGGAATGAAGGATGAAACGACCGGTAATCTATCTTGCAGCTTGTCAAGTATCACCATGCACAAGCGTGCGCGATGCTCGGAAATCATTCGGACACCAGGGTCGCCTCTGTGGATGTTGACTATATGGACTGGGAGGACTGACAGGACGGGGGCGACTCTGAAACGGGCTTTAGTGCATAGCCCGAGATAATTGGGGAAACTTGTTATCCAGGAACATACATGCTGGCAGCTGCTGCACATGCAAGATCGTTCGCCATGATGATTTCCAGCATATGAGAGATCTCTGTGCATATTTCGAAAATTGGAGTGCCTGGCCCTGTGTTGCGAGAAAACCTAGGGTTGCTCCGATGCAAAATAAGGCGGTATTCCCTATAGATTCAGAATATACTCCATATGGTTCTATAACAGCTACAATGAGGTCAACATACTGGTATAAGATCTGAGTCAATATAGCCCATGTGCTACTATTCGTCGACACGGTCTTGAATTCCGGGGGGAGCGAGGACGACCACAACGAAATTTGCTCCAAACAGATATCTTGTGAGTCACCACTATCTTCGTCGAATTTAAGAGTGAAGAAGCGATCCACTGTAGATGTTAGTAAGGAACTAAACCTGGAAACAAAATCATGGATGTTATACCTATTCGGGCTAGTTCCGCAGCTTGTATCGCAAAGACATTTGCCTTATTGAGAGTTTCACCGAACGTCTCTGTCTCTTTGGACCCATTGGCTCGTTCAAAATCTGCTTCTGACAGAGGGGGCACATTGCACAGTCTTCCTTGTACATGGGGTGGACGATCGAGGAGCATAGATAGATTGATGTCCATGGCCTAGCCTAGAAAGTTAGGCAAATTATGGACCTGAGGGTTTTGGGGTATTAACTAACATATACCATCCACCACAGTTTTCGCCATATTTTTCGATCTTTCTCTTCGAGTCGGACGTATGATTTCCTAGTATATTTTTTAGACCCTCACTTCTTTAGAGGAGCGAGTAGACGCACACTTGATGCATTCCTAAAGCGAGTGCCATCCCTGCGGAGATACCAAGCCAGTACCAAGAGTCTTTGTGATCTAGAAGACCACTCCACCAATGGCACATAAGGAAGGTGGCTTGAATCGTAGCGATTACATCGGTTTCATATCCAGCATCATAAAGAGATTTGGCTCTCTGGTAGAACGTGAGACTTGCAGCGTATCGGGACGGAAATCCGGCATCAGCAATGACTGAATCCGAACAATAGATAGTTGCAGCGAGGTAAATAGCATTTAAGAGCAAGTGTGAGAATGAGCCCTCCTCGAGAGTGACTAGAAACCTTGACCTATCAAGAATAGGAAGCGCAGCAAGTGAATAATGAAAGTAAGTGTCGAGGAGCGCCTGGCTGGTTTCTGGTGATGGTAGATCGAATGCCCCTTGTTTCTTGAGGTGTTCAATGGTAGATTTATGAAGCCTCTCGATCTCTTGCGTCGTCGATCTACCCACCCGAGCTAGCATGGCGCCATGGAGGTGGTCCTGAAGTGGGCGAACATCCGTATCCCCGAAGGGATTCCCAAATTGTTGGATCAAGTAGTTGAGGTTAGAAGAATCCCCAACATATGGCGTTTTGCCACTAGGCCCAGGAGCTGGGAAGCATGGCTCTTGTCGCTTATCTCTACCTTGGACATGAGTGACTAGGGGGTTTGAAGTCGTCACTTCTTCTGGCACATTGTGAGAGAATTCTGAAAGACTGCTGCTAAGGCCTGTGCTAGGTAAGAGAGGAAGCTTTCGTCTCCTAGATCCGTATTAGTACCAATATGATGGCTTCATCTGTTCAGTCCTACCGTCCACGGCGAGAAACAATTGGCTCACAATGGCGCTGGGCATTGCGGCAGTTGGAACACGCGACGCCTTCACTACGGTCGCACCTGACCCGCCGATCATGACACAGATGGCATGCGACTTTGGCTGCTGGATTGCGTGGCATTTAACAATGGTGAAGGATCATGTAGTTGATAGTTGCAAGTTCGGCGAAGTTGGTAATGGACCCACCAAGTCGGCGAGTTTGGATGCATCTGATTGGATGAAACATAGATATCTCCCTCTCATTGAATAAATATCGAATAAAGAGGAGAAATGAGCTGATTCTACCTTCTACACCCGCTCAAGTATATATTCACTGAAGATGCTTTTGAGCACATCCTCGCGCATGATTCGCCGCTCGAATCCAAAATGGCTACAGCGTTTCTTCTCGCCCACCCTTACGGTAACTCGATACCTGCGCACATCTTCACAAGATAGCTCTACTATGCCCGTGCCATTCCAAAGCCAGAAAACCGGAAAAGCCGGATACCTTGTGTATGTCACAATTGCAGTCCGAATGATTCAGTCCTAACTCTCTCGCGCGATTTAGGGCAAAAGCGGACGAGGTGATTAACTGGGCAAGACAAGGATCCCTATGGCCTTTATCATTCGCCACAGCCTGCTGTGGAGTTGAGATGATGCATACTTCAATGCCACGTTACGACCAGGACCGACTAGGCATTATTTTCCGTGCCTCGCCACGGCAGTCCGATGTGATGATTGTGGCGGGTACGGTGGTTAACAAGATGGCTCCGGCGTTGAGGCTGCTATATGATCAAATGCCCGAACCTAAGTGGGTGATTAGCATGGGCAGTTGTGCCAACGGTGGAGGATATTACCACTACAGCTACAACGTTGTACGGGGTGTGGACCGCCTTGTGCCTGTCGACGTCTATGTGCCTGGATGTCCACCAACGGCAGAGGCCCTTCTGTATAGTATTTTCCTTCTTCAGAAGAAGATGCGGAGGACAAAGGTAACCAGGATGTGGTATCGGCGCTGATCAAATGTTATCTCTTTGTTTGTCCTTCTTTCTTTCTTCCAAGGGGTTTCTTATACATGGATCATAATACCTACCATGGACAATATGGATATATTCTACTCCTACTCACTCCCCTTTGTCACAGATTTCTGATCTTGCTTTGAACACCTCTGAAAATGCTTCAAAATTCTAATGCATTTTGTCTATGTCTATAATGCACAATTTGAAACTCCGATAACTCGCGACATTACTCAAAAATAGAGGCCTTCATCGAGTTTGGCTGGATATACTCGGAAGCATTGCGGAAGCTGGTGAAACCCCAACGGACTTGTGCAGCATGGAGATTTCCACGTCCAAATCCTTATCAAAGTGCCATGCCAACCCAGTATGGCGCTGGAAGGTACGACCAGAATAACGTCAATATTATCCTAAGAAGGAATCTTCTCAGCCGTTTCACCATAGTTGATCATGCCGACAGCAGCAACAGCCAACTTATCACCAACGGCTTCTTCCACCAAAGTGGCGCAGACATCTGAATAAGCAAAATACATGGTCCAGTGAATTGGAGCCCCTTTTTAGGAGATGTATATTTACATGTAGGGGTTCGCCGGCATTGGTACATTCCCACTTAATCAAATGCCGAAATATGGCATTCGGGATCCATTTTGCCATCAATATATGGAAAATGGAACGTTTGCGGCTTTCGCTGGATATTGTGAAGCTGTAACCAACCATATTCGATGATAAGCACAAGTGTACTATACGGCATGTTCCATTCGAAGATATTTAGCTCTCCAGCGTCCTCCGAGTCCTGGAGGTGATGCCCATCTGACTGCTCTAATAACTAACTGCACCACCGCCTTATCTCCACCCTCCACAGCTCACGATAGCGATGTTCGGCCTTCAGAGCTAGTTGAGTTCACGTCTACTTGTCCAGTATCACTTTCTCGCAACCCCATTCCCCGGCTAAGGATAATGGCGTTCGACCCCAGTAGTCCTTTAAGGTCACGCCTGCCTGTCCATTCCGAAGTAATAGTGAGCGTTTGCTACGGTTGCATAATTACTCGAGAACGACCAATCATATACTCGTGGGCTGCCGATCACTTTTTAGCTGCTGCAGGTAGTCTTATCAGCTAGCCTACCATGGTTCAACGATCGATTTCACGGGTAGAAGAAAGTCTAACTGCCCATCAAATCGACGTCATCATTCCAAGGGGCTTATAAGCTTTTATTTAACCCTTTAACCCCCTTACTGGAACACCGCCTTCCGTTCCCCGCCTTGCCTTGTACGACCTTATGTGGCATGATTTACCTTACCCGCTTTGAAATTCATTAGCTCTACGACTTGCACTCAGAACAACTATCTGCACTCCACCACGCTATGAGTAGCAGAAAGTTTGCAAAACCACCGGTCAAGGTAGCCTGCCTTAATTGGTAAGTCTTTGTTATCGCTGTCTCCCAAATGGATACCTAGCTGAGGCAAAATGCAGTCGTGTAGCCAGGATTCGATGCGACGGACAGAAGCCCTGTGGCCTTGTATGCTGACCCTCTTCCGCGCAACTAGCATCTATCTGTGCCGACAACTAACAACTAATTCTTTGAGCCCAGTGTGCATCCAAAGCCAAAGATTGCTCGTATGTGCCCAGTAGACGCGGAGGACCCCGCAGGAAAAAGCACCAAAGTCATTCTCCCGAACCTCATATACAACAAGATGATGCGCAACATCCAAACTCGCTATTGGACTCCAATGTCGACAAAAGTATATCCTTTCCTCCTCAGGTATCTCTAAATACATATCTCTGACCATCTTAGGGCCATTTATGTTCGATCAATTCGATTTGTTATCTATACCTGCGGCGGGCTTGCAGGCTCTAGATCCGATGGAGCTCTCTCCCCCCTCTCAAGGTTCTGATACCGTCGAAAGCGATCAATTTCTTACGCAGACAGACTCAGAACCGTCACTCTTTCCCGAGGGCCCCAAATGCTTAGTAAGAGCGTATGGAGGTGAGCTAGAAATGTAAGATGTTCTTCACTCTCAGTTCCTCTGCCCTCTGACATGGAAGGCAGATTAAACGCCTATTACGACTTCATTCATAACTATTTCCCAATTCTACCGCCTAGGGTATCGCCACCCTTGCCCGATGAACCAATCGACAACCCTGCTCCGTATGCTGCTTTCCCGCCCAAAAGCCCAGCGATGCTCTATGTACCTCAATCCCCTCTGAGCCTTGCCGTATCGGCAATTCTGGCTTTGATCCCACACCCCGAGGACCCGGAACCACTTTCTGAGAAGTCTGTGATTCAACGGAGGGCATATGCACATACATTTGCTACTCTTGCAAGCTTGAAAGCCGAGGCAGATTGGGATTTCGAGTCATCATGTGAGCTTAGCCAATCATTGCCAACCCAAGAGCCTTCAATTCCCCGAGGAAGATTCCATGATCACACACCGGTAGAACTGGAAAGCCTTTTGGCTTTGTTGGTGCTTTCGGTCTACGAATATGCACAGAGGGGGAATCTGTTGAAGATGAAATCCCGCGCTGGTCAAGCCTTGTCGATTGCTATGGGCAAATCCCTCAATCGTTGGATGGTTGAAGATGGAGATTCGGAAGCCCGGCGAAGAGCCTGGTGGATGACGGTTCGAACACCTGATATTATTCAATTGACTACATGAGGTTTCTAATCTCTATAACAGTACTACTGCTTTGTCCAATGCTCAATTGTCAACTCATCGGTGAGTACAGAGCGACCACTCGAGTTTCCGTAACTAACAGAACAGCCGCTCACGATTAACATCAATGACCCTGAATTCAAAACTCCGTATCCAAAGTTCTCGTCAGATAAAGAGGTCCGTCTGCTCTTCTTGATCTATCTCAGCTTTCTTTAACATGGCTTGCTAATTAATTCTAGGGCTGGTCGATCCTAATTCAGACGCAGCAATTGCTGGTATCAGCCACTCAATATATCACCGACCTCGATAAAGCACTTTCGTCCCGCACAAACCTTGACCCTGTCTTCCAGGAAATGCAAAGACTTGATGCTTGGGCAAGATTCATACTCGCGCGAGTGGATCAGCTTCCAACCCTCGCACGCGAGCCAGATAGGAGCGATTACAGCGAGATTATCACAGCCAAAAGCATCCGCGCGATGTCGCGAATCAAATTGAGCAGGTATGAAAACCGGGTATAAGCCATCATGAGCTCAAATCTGATCCACTTGATAGCGCCCGCATAAAAATCCACCGATTCCGTGCCTTCTCCAATATTCCAATCTTCATAAAGAAGCATTGCGATCTGGCAGTCGCTTATACAGACGAATCGAACTCTCATACAGATGGAAATGCCGTGGTAGCTCAGGCCGAGACCGAAGATCCATCATGCGCATGCAGCAGCCTAAAACCATTCCAAGATTCCTCGGCCGTCGAGTCATCCTTCCAGCCTAGCAACTCAAATGCAGATTCTTCTGCCACGCAGAGACCATTCTCGCTAAACTTTCCCTATAGTTGTCAACACTCCACGAGTGTCTGTTACCAGGCCGCGATTGTCATTTCGAAAATGTTTGAGAGTCTGCCCATTCCACATCCTCTACAAAAACCATATCAGCAGCAGCTAAATCGCAGAATACTTCCTCGAACAATGCCATCGTTTGCCTGTTGCCTCATGCAAAGCAGCTACGCTATGCTTATGTTGTTCTATAAAGCTCGAGTGGGTGTCGGGTTCTTTTCAGGACCGGATGAAAAAGACACCGAAAGCTCCCTTGCAGAACACATAAGTGAGCTACGGTATGGTCTACGACGTACGATCACTGCGGCTTCAAATTACTCACAAGCGTTTGAAGCATTGAACGGAATGAGAGGTATCATAATGGAATCCTTGTTACTTGAAGATCCTTTGTTGACAGTTTAGCAGACGAAATTCGTGGCGCATATGAAACTGCTTTCCCTGAAGACTTCATGGGCGAAGGAGACGCCGCTGCTGTCTCTGGCGGATAGCAATGGCATTGGTATTAGTGGTTTCAATGAGTCCGTGAGTGGAACATGACATATAGAGGACTTATGAAAGGGTGTAAGCCCATGTTTTGTCGTTGAATAAAGTCTTGGGGTCCACACCTGCCAACCATGCCAGTCAACTGGACAATCTTAGAGTCCATTGATTTTGGGTTCTCGATGTTTGTGTCATTCTGAGTCGGTATAAAGGATTAGCGATAGCCCATCTAATTTTTTTTCATTTCTTTCCGGGATGCGCATATTTCACGCAAATGGGCAATTCGTCCATGACCTGCTCAACAATGGTGTTGCCTTCGATATTCTACTTATTCAACGGATTTGGCTTGAACCATTTACTCGGCCGCTTAACAGATAGTCCAGGATATAGGGTCTAAGATCCCACTAAGTCTGCAAGCGGTAAGTAAGAGTGTCACCGCGCAGAAGCAGGAGAGCAAAGCATAACATATATAAGTAAATACCTTCATTCCAATGGTGAGCTTGCTGTATTCCTTGTTTATAAGGCATCCGAGCTTTGCCTGTCAACTGTTTGCCTGCCTTTCTCTCCATCCCGTGTATTCTTTTTATCCAGTACACCCATCCCTCCCGTCAGAGGTATCTCTTTTATTCCTTCGCCACCATGGCTTATCAACTTACGAATAAGGACCTCAGAGGAACATTTGAGGATTCGGTTACCATCATGGCCGCCAGGAACCCGAACCCCGCCGTCCTTGAAGCTCTGTTAAACCATTATTTTACTCATCTCTCATCTTAAGTCCGTACCCGCTGGTCGTGTGGATCCAACGTTAGAAATATGGTTCCCACCTCCCTATGCCACTCTCTACCGCAGGGACCACGGCGTTAGGACACAGCCTACTCCACATCGCGTCTCTCCCCTTGATATCCGAATATATGGACAAGAAAAATCCATATTCTGTCCAGAGTATCCACTGCGCCCGCACACTTGAGTCCGACTGGCTATCGCATGCATTCCCCAGTCCGCTACACTTAGATCCGAACAAAAGACCTAGTTACGGGCTCACGAGGCCGATTCCAGGCCAATATATCGAGCCAACAATACCGCTCACCTCTCTGGAACAAGCGGCCCAGCTTAGTACCCTACGCCTTCTTGTACAGGTCGTGGGTGTCGATGTGCGTGCCCAAGACGTTCATGGAAATACTGCTTTGCATTACCTGGCCGCCACATTGAATGTAGACCCCAGGGCTTTGCAGTTGCTTAGAGATATGGAAGGTGGTGAGGAGGCTTACAATAACAGCAAAAACTGAACGGGCCTGACGCCGCGTTTCCTCTGGGAAAGTAACACGAGACTCGTACGAAAATAATGTTGGTAATTTGTAAGAATGCTCGTATCGTCCAGTCTTTAGGAACACAAGTTGACTACATACATATTGACACGTGAAACCCACATGCATCTCCGCAACCATGACACAAACTCCCTGAACTTCTTGGGGGAACAACTTGGCAACTCAGTGGGTGGTTTCCTGCATGTAATGGCTTCCTTTGGGTTTTCTGCCGTGAAGCTCTACGGCTTAGTTTAGCAATTCCAGTCAACCAAGCCGGATGTCGAAAGAAATATTCAATTCCATGAATCTCATTCGCACGGGAAATTGCCCTTTAAGGCTGCCCGGCACTTTGGCCGTAGATTTAATAGGGCCTATGACTGGCCTGGAGGGATGTTTGTTTTGGGCGAGAAGTGAACTAATTGCGTAGAACCCGAAAATCTCGCTATATACCATGGGATGTACGTATATTGTGCGTAGTTAGGTTGAGTACGAGTTAGAGTATTAGCCTAAATTCAGGATATGATAACGACTCTTTTGCGATGAATCTAACTACTATATCAATCTAGGCGAAATTACAGTGATCTATTTAGCCTTCCCAGGAACCCTGCATCCAACTCTTAGGAGTTGATTAGATAGGATCTTTCTCCCAATAGTAGAAAGAAGGCTGAAGTCCGTTGGGTGTGTTACACCCGTCATGATATAGGAGACATCCTCATTCGTCACTGACAGAACCATTAACATAAGGCTTGCTATTCGCATAGCACTGGACTTCCTGTTCATCGGGAAGAGTCCCATTTAGAATGTAAGCTTTAGCAATTCCATCCGTGCAGTCTGACCTGTCACGCATAGAGCTATGCCCATAAGCATGATTAACAATCAACCGGGCATTTTGGTCCATTTCCGCTAGGAGCCTTCTTCCATTGTGCAAAGGAGTTGCAGGGTCATACGGCGAGGCAATAAGCAAGGCGGGAGTCGTGAGAGTGTGGTTGAGATCGCCGCGATACACCTCCGAAGGACGACCCCAATAGGTACTGTAATGTCGACAAGGCAGTACTGAGAAGAACCGAGAGTTGCCAGCAATCCAGCTCCGGTTGGACATGGTTTCCCACAGCTGATCCCACCAGTCAAGTCCGTCGGGGAGGGGCGCATCATATGCATCGGAACAGATCACGAGAAGATCAAGCTCACTGGAAGATGGGAGCTGGGGATATGATGGCTCTTCAGAATGGTCGCTCCATGAGAGGTCTAGTGACTCGGCTGCTAGAGTTGCATTTCCTGCTTCGAGCTCAGAGAGCATTTGTGCCGTACGAGGCCAGTCCATCGGCCTATACATAGCCGGATAGAGAATCCTCTCCACGAGTGCTGAATAAGTGACCAGGGACGGTCCGCCTGATTCCGTATACGCAGATTGAGGGCGAGCTTTGAGGGACTCAAGTAGTTGGTTCATGCGCGCTTCCAGCTGTGTGAGTATGACAGGGCCATCCTGGTTTGGAGCGGGATTGGCTAATGAACACCACTTCGGACCGGCGTTGATACACTCCCCCAGGAACCCATCGCGCCAAGCATCTGTCGTATTGTCGAGAGCTGTCCAGCCAAAACCGCCTAGGAGGCGATGATCCCTGACATATTCTGTGCCATCGAGGATCAAACGGCCCGCTCGGGTGGGAAACATGTTGACATATGTTTGACCAATCCCTGTACCATAGCTGACCAAGTATCCTGTTACTTCGTCTTCACCAAGTGCTTTTCGGATCTCCTCTAGGTCGCGCGCCACCGACGCCGTGCTGACGAAGCGACCAAAATCGCCCAGCCGTTGCTGGCAGGCAAAGAAAGTGGCGTTGTTCATGGCATCCACGGTCTCTAGTTGGGACTTTTGGGCTTCCTCACGATATCGGAGTGCTAGGAGTGACCATCGGTCCCGGAAGGCATCATGAGGGAAACATGCTGCGGCGGGGAGGGAGAAATTCACACCACGGGGGTCCCATCCTAGCACGTCCAGTTGCCCATCACTGAAGCGGTTGGTCATTTCCTCCGCCCTCTGCCAAAGAAAGGCTGTTCCGCTCCCTCCTGGGCCTCCTGGGTTTATGATGATAGTGCGCTTACTCCTATGGCTGGAAGCGCTGGGACTATTGATATGAGCCAAACCAGCGACTTGGAACTTGGTAACTGCAATGCGGACTATACGAGGGTCTGAAGAGTTGTGATAGTCGAGTGGGAGATCCAAGTATCCACACAGGTAGATGCCGCCTGTGCTACCCCAGCTCCAGTGGCTGGGATTGGGGTCGAAGAGAGCGGCCCATGATTGCCGCGGAGTAGGATCGTCAAGTGGTGGCGGACGACTGGCGTTGGTGCAGGGAAGAAACTGGAATGGGTCCTTTTCTTGTGGAAATGGTCCATAGGGCGAGACTTGGGCTTGAGGATTGCCCGGAAAGACCCAGCGCTTCGGAAGGAATCCACCGAAATGCAACCGGCCCATCACAATGGCTGCTGCCATCCAGAAGATGATCCTCCGGGGCCATGTTCGTGTCTGAAAAGTCGAGGTTTGCTTCTTTTCCTCCATATTTTCCAGAGGTGGTTAGTCCTGTCCGAAGCAACGGTGAGATGAGCTTCAAATTAACGTGATCACGCTAAGCCTAAATTTGCAGGGGTGGTGTTTACTAGTAAAGCAACACCTAAATCACATTGCTCTGACTGTTTCAAGTATACAGGTTTCTATACTTCCCGATCCCCTCACTTTCTTGAAATTAAACAATTCAAGCATCAAACGAAGCCGAGAAGCCCGAAAGTCGGCTTGCTGTACTATCATATATGAGACAAACCAATGACTCTGCTTCAGCGAGCACTTTCTGATTAACCGGATCTACCAGATTGAATTAGACAGACATGCATGATCAGTGATTTAGCCTTGTTTTTGACTTATTGAGATGCAACCCAAGGGAGAGAAGACGCCCAGATAAAGTTGCGATCCAGAGATTACGTTCATGTGCTGCTCAACGGCCTCGGTAATACGGGGGCAGCCATAGCAGCTTCCGGCCAGCACTGATTACCCACCCACCGACCACTCCAAGACAATGATGCCGTTGATCTAGACTAGGAGAAACCTTCCCGACATTGGAAACACCATTCTATGTTATGAGATGGGTGCTGTCTTTAAGAGAAGCACAGCGACCGATTTGTTTTGTACCTCCAAGGTAAGCCGCAGTGCATTTAGAGCTTCTTTGTCCAGATCCCAGATTTGGATGGTCTGATCAGCCAAGCTGCATGCTAGCTGCTGGCCATCCACGGCCGCATGAATATCACATGGGATCATTTGATGATTTAACAGACTCAAATTTCTCTTGCCACAACATAAATTCCTGAACCCCAATTTACGCCCACTTCTCAACACGCACATGCTTGATCTCTGCCCCTTTAATCAGCCCCTTGGTCTTTCCAAATTCCTTAAACCCCTTAGACTCGGCAAATTCAAGGTGATCTTTAACTTCGTTCCAGCCGCTGAAAAGCACATATTCCTCATCGTCGCCTTCCTTATCAACACGCCATCCACCGCAATAGACAAATGGCGCCGTATAGGTACCGAAGCGAGGAATCCCAGTCTTAAGGACAGTGTCAAATTCGGCTTTTTTCTCCGACTCGACGAAGTATCTGCTTATAGCTACGACTGGAGCCTCAAGTGGGATTCGAGATGTCGATGGCTTGGAATGTCAGCTTATACTTTTGGCATAGATATGTGTCAAGCATATAGCCGGCTGAGGGATCCAGCTTGAGACATAAAATGATTTTACTCACATCAACATCCAAATGAAACATCCACTTCACCTCAAGGCTCCCCGCCAATTGCTGAAGCAACGTCTGGTTGGTCTCAGAAGGAATCCACTGGTTCATATGTTTTTCAATGGACTCCCAGCCGCCTAGCAAGTAGACACAAGCTGGATCTTCAATTTGACGCAAGAAGTATACTTGGTGGTTTGAATATTCAGCCTGCGCCTTCTGCGCTCCTAAGAGACCTGTTTTGGTGGAAGTGGAGAGGTCTTCGTTGTTCAGGCGGAGGAGGGCGATCTCGGTGACCGGCATTGTAATCCGTCTGTTCGATAAACAAATCGGTCCAAGTTTAATATCAAGGGGAAAGTATGTTGAATGCGTAAGTAGGGTCGTTGATCATCTTATGATGGTCTGTTTTATAGTTCGTCGGGTTTAAGCCGCTCGCAGGCGAGAGATGCCAAAGGCCGAGGGTTTAAAGTGGGGCCTTGCGGTGGGTGCTTCATTTAGTGTTTGGGCATCAATTGCCTAATCGGTCATGTTTTAGCTTGGTCCAGGCCATTGCATTCGTCACGAGCAGTTGCCTTGGGTCTACTAGTCCGTTGAAATGTCCAAGCGTAAAGTTACCTAATATAGACCTGGGAGGCAACAGTGACGAACTTTGTCACAGTTTGGTGTTTAGACATTCTCTTTAGGGAGTGCTTCTTGCAATAATCCCAATAAATGATATGCTTATTTTGGCGCTGATTGTGACTAACAGTTTTTGAAGTCCTGTTCAGATATTAGACTTACTTCTGACAACTCATCTACCAGGCAAGCAATATAAATTTGCTCGAACTGCAGGCTCAAATACTCGAATGATACTCTGTCTGAAATTTCTGCTACTCGCGAAAAGCGCCCGGAGCAACAGGTCAAGAAGTATACAAGTATATTGAGAAGACTGATTTAACACTAGGCTACCCGTGATCGGTTTTACTCCCAAGCCGATCACAAAATCCATCAATATTGAAACGATTCCAGCTAAATCTCGGGAAATTGCTTATAGAATGTATCTGAAGTTTCTGTTCTGAATATCCGTCTCATCCACTTGAAGTACCTCCTCATCCGGACTTAGGCTGATCTGACGGACTTCCTCGGGGTCAATCTTGACGCCCTGCTCCTTATCCCGGCGAGTGTTCTCCCACATAAGGTAGAATCTAAACCCGACTAGTAAACCGATGGTAATTGCATAGCAAACCAAGATTGTAGTATAAGCCGTCTGAGAGCAAGATGTCAGCGATTGATTCGAGGTTACTTTCACTATAGAGCGGGAATGTGCATACGTGATAGTTTGGTGCCTCCGCCGAAATGAAGAATTGCGGTCCGCTTAGATTTCCTGCACAGTAGCCTAGGAATATAAAGGCCATGACGGTCGATTTCTTCGTGAAGCCTGCAATGTTACTGGCCGCCAAAGACAACATCAATGGGAATGCGGGAGCGACTGCGGTGACAAGCCAGAAACCAGCGAGTCGCGATATCTTCTCGTGTGTAGGTAGAAGCTTTACCATGAGTATCCCAGTCATTGCTACCAGGAAGATACAGACGAGCATGATAATGCGGGACTTTCGAATTGCTGAAGTAAGAACGGCTGACAGAATGACCGTGACGAGCTGGAAACCAGAGGCTGGCAGTCCCATAAGGATTGTCTGGAATTTATCGTAGCCGAAGCCGTTGATGATTAGGGTACTGAACTAAGGATTCTGTTAACCATGTACTCATCGTGTACAGCGGATGGTTCTTACGCTTGTTGTGCCTCCGTTTGGCACACATATGACAAACGAGAAAAAGAAGAACCACCATGACTTGATATCCTTCAGGCTCTCTATAAACTGGGCGCGATCCCATGTCTTGGTCTGGGTAGTCCTTTGGAACTTGTACGGACGTAGCGCAGCGAACTCACGTTCGGAGGGCGAGAGGAACCTGGCAGTTTGTGGAGAGTCAGGTAAATAGAAGAACGTCACGATAGACCACGCGACCGTAATAAGGCCGAAAAGAAGGAACAGAAGCTGGGATAGTTAGAAACAGAGCTTCATGAGGGCTCTAGAATATCGAACCTTCCATTGGGATATACTCCCTTCATAATTCAGAAGACCGTAGGCAATTAGAGAGCCAATAATACTGGCTATCGCATTTCCTGCAAACCAGATGGAGTGCCGCGAGACATGCTCTCTAGGGGTGTACCACATTCCCGTAATAAGAGAGAATCCGGGGCTAATAGCACTCTCGAAAATACCCAGAAGTGTCCGGAGTGCCATGAGACTTGCATAGTTATTGGTCACGGCGTGGAGCGTCAGAACAACACCCCAGAGGAAACTGTACTTGTAAGCTTAACAGAAATCACCAAAAACAATAATGTAGGCTTACATTAACACACTGAGATATTTACCCAGTGGGAATTTGATGAAGCCGAGCGATATTGGGTAAGACGCAACGAGATAACCAATGTAAAAAATGCTGGAAGTCCAACTATATTGTTGGCCAACAAGGTGCTGTTCGCAGGCAGTCAGCGCGTGGTTATGAAGATTTGTTACCATGAGGGCACATACAAGGTCTTCTCGGACTCCGAGGATTGCACTGTAAGCGAGACTGGTCTCTGTTTGTGATCAGTCGTGGTACCAATATATTCCCGAGACTAATTTGACATACTATCAAGGTATTGAAGACCGTAAGCGGTGATCAAGATCGGCATAAGGCTGTAAGTCATGTCAAATTGGGTGCCATGTTGAGATAAGAGGGGTAAGTATTACTGTAGATCAATTTTCCTGATCAACTTCTTCTCTTCTGCGGGATCAAGGGCTTCCGCAATGCCAGATTCTACAGCGGATACATTTTCCTTTGTTATATCGGCTTTGGTGTCCGCACTTTCCTTGTGGAGCTCCTTTGCTGCCATGATAGAAAGTTGAAGTGTGACTCAAAGCCACTGCAACGTAACAAATAGAGAACCGGGGTAAAATAATGTTATGTTAGCGAGCAAGGGGTGGCATGTAAATCTTATAAGAACCCGGGGAAGGAGGTCCGCAGGAGGCAGATAACGGGGAAAGCAACCACAACCAACCGCTCTGAATGAACAGATCGGCTGTTAAATCTGTACTCCGCATTTGTTTTCTTGGGGTCTATCCTTGATAGACAACTGATAGTGATTGGTCAGATTAATCGAGTGCCAAGGAAAGAGTAGACCGTAAGTAGTAAGTATCGACTTCAGTAGTGGCAAAAGTGGTTGAGCCTAGACACGATTAGCTCACATGATAGGTATTTGATAACTTAGCTCTCTTGGATGCTAGATGGGTATATGGCTTCTCAGTTGAGAACAATGTGCCTTATATGACTGCAGCGAAGTGAATCTTGACCTGATTTCTCAGAATGCGACTTTAAACACGAAGACATATACACCGAGTGTTCTAGGTGGCATTAATAATATTTTATCGCTAAATAACAGGAATTTCGACGTTGCTTCCAAGATCCTCATGAGACACTGCGTCGATGATGTATCGCAATTTCTCCATGGAGATGCTGTGTAACTTTTGGTTCTCTTTCACCAATGAAAGTAAGTTACTCAGAACAGGATCCGAAATCGTCTCCAAAATCCATTTAAGATGAATTGGATCGTAAGTCTCAATTCCGGCTATTAGAAGAGACCATTGGAACCGCTCAAGGAGCTGTACTGGCCCTGTCGCAACAGTGTAGTATGCGGCAGCAATAAGTTCGCATAAGATGTACTGGAACTCATTTGTGACAGGAAGCTGGCCAAAATGTGCGTCACGACTGCGATAGAAGTATATTTGGATGGCATGGAAGAATGTGACGGTCACCAGCGCCATAAGAGGGGGCGAAGACCTTTCTCTTCTACAACTGGTAATAAGATGCCGAAGAAATTTATGTTGCTGTGATGTATTAGAGAGGAGCAATGCGTGTAGCAGATCGAGACTTACTTCTTGAATCTGGGCGAGACTTCGTTTGATCTTTCTCATTGCCTCAAGTGCCTGGACCTCAGGGGCCTGACTGTAACAGTTGATGTCATGATGTATAGCAATTAACTCAAAATAGACGTTCAGAATGTAGGACTTAGGGGGCCCTTGGATGCCAGGCATGCGCAGGGCAATGGTTTGCTCATCAGACCATGTGAATATTGACCTCGATAATTGCCAGATCCTGTGCCGTTTCTCGAGATTCTCACTGACATAGCTAGCAAAAGAACCTCCACAGCCAAAAAAGCCACAGAATCCGTCTCTGTCGTAGAGGTAGGTGAGGATTCGGGATAGCAGCAGAGCATCAGGCGCCAAGGAGCTTGAATCTGCGCACATCTCATCCAGATTATAGCTCTTGACATAGGTGAGAACCGAAGCGCTCAGCTCCCGTAGCTTTTGTAAATTGAGAGGATTGCGGCGCATCCAAAACATATACATGTATAAGAAAGACAACATGGTGCCTACATGATCTGATTGAGCCAAGGGATTGAGTGCTTGTAGAAAGATCCGCGAGCCGTGTTGTAGATGAGTCCATGACTCTTGCGGTGGCTGCTTGCAGAAGCCCAGGTGTATAGCCAGTTCGTTATGGGATACAGCAAGGAGGAAGTGAAGGGCCATGGCATTCTGTAGTGCGAGGCCAAGGAACAAACAATGCGCCGATGAAGCTGCTTTTCGGGTTGACTTGAGAGTCGCGAACACAGTACGATGGAACAATACGGCTTGTGAATCGCTACTCCCAAGCGAGGGCGCATTATTTACTCCTATGCCACTGGCAAGTAGGACAGGACCCGCATTGGCTAGAAAATGGTGCGGTGGGAATGACTCTAGAGGAAACAAAATAGGAAATTCTGCATATTGATCACGTACAGCCATTGGTATCGGTTCATTTAAGCCCATCAATTGAGCGATACCACTCTGGGTGGAATCAGGCGAAGGCAGATCGACCGGATTGATGTGAAGGCTTTCGCGATAATGATCATCGGCGGTGCCTAGAGAGGCCGGCGATTCAACTGTGTCACCGCTTATCTCCCCGGCCTGAGGCAAGTCATTCAAGCTATTTCGGCCGACAGATTTTGGAAGAATTATTTGAGGAGCCCAAGCATCTCGGTTCTTGATAGGACCGAATCCCCGTCTCCTTTAAGATAGGGAGGGCGGCTGGGTGGGCCATTCACACTCCAGTTGGAGGCGGCCGCAGCGGTGACATCGTGGACGGTGCTCATCACACTTCACCTTTTTGAGAAGGCATGTACGACAGCCTGGGCCTGACAGTCAGACACAATCCGCTCTGCAGTCTCGTGCGGGGGATGGGTACGTACCGTTTTTGGATCGTGGTCCACGCTCAGTTCGACGTCGACGAGCTCTAGAATTTTCATCCATGAGCAGGCAGTGTTAGCAACAGACTAGACTCCATCATGGAACTTATCGTGTATCATTGATGTCGAAAGAAGAAAGGAGGTGCGGAGTCACTCCAGGTGTATCTCGTCGATTAATTTGACCAATCACATATGGTATCCACTTTATCCTCCTCCGACTTAACCCTAACTAGTCACCTAAGAGCGATATGGATTTTCACAAATGGAAGGGAGCCCTCTTCTCAGATCTCCTTTCCCTTCTTCCCTCTACTGAAGCTGCTATCATGGGAAATTCTATTTCTTACACCACCACAGACTGCCAAGTCGTCCTACACAACCGAGGACGAATCAATGGTCTCCAGTTTGATGACAAGTCACGAAGGTTTGCAGGCATCCCTTATGCGCAGCCACCTATCGGTGATTTAAGGTGGCGAAAGCCCCAGGCTTTTCCGGACACCCATAGCTACTCATCATCCGATGGGGTCAGTCCGTACGACGCCACAGTGTTTGGCCCTGTTTGCCCTCAACCAAATTACTCGAAAGTGGTCAGTAAACATGTCCCAGAGCATGTTTATGACGAGGACTGCCTTCGGCTCAATATTTGGACTCCTATTCCCGATCCCTCCAATCCAAACAAAAAATGGCCCGTCATGATCTGGTTCCACGGTGGGTGGTTCCAGGTTGGAGATCCTAGCCAAGAGGTCAGCATGGATCCGACGGAGCTCATATCCACTGGCAAGCTTCAGGCTGTTTTTGTTGCGGTGGGGTACCGACTCAACATTTTTGGCTTCCTGGCTGGTCATGCTCTCCTCGAAGAGTCCAATGGGGAATCTACAGGCAACTATGGACTTTGGGATCAGCGCCTGGCAATCGACTGGGTCTACAAGCATATTGATGCCTTTGGGGGAGATACCAGCAGTATTCACTTGGCAGGGCGTAGCGCAGGCGCCTATTCAGTCCTCGCCCAGGCTTTGTATGATTTCAGGTCTGCTGGAAGTGATCACTTTCGATCCCTGGTCATGTACTCAAATGCCATTCCAACACAACCAAAAACACCCCAAGAATGTGAAGCCCAATTTGAAGAGGTTTGCAGGTACTTCGGAGCGCCTTCCACATTGAACACGGTTGAAAAGCTCCAATTCATGCGTGGAATAAGTGCCACAGATCTCTGTGCTGGAATAATGGACCTTGACAACCACACGTTCCGCCCAGTCACAGACAGTATTTTCATTCAACCTGGAATATTCGAGTACTACAGAGATGGCTCTTTTGCAAAAGAATTCAAAAGACGCAACCTGCGCCTCTTCATTGGCGAGGTTCTCAACGAAGACACCCTGTACGCGGTCACAAATGGCCCAGAGCCAAATATGGCATCTCTACAAAAACAAATTGCCAACTACTACCCTCTCTCTATAACTACACGCCTCTTGCAACGTTATCAGCCTCCAAAGTCGGAGAACAAAGAAGACTGGGCGGCGCTATTTGGCAAGGTTATCGCTGATGGTCAGGTCAGGGCCCCATCACGTTATCTAGTTAAAATGCTTGTGGACAATGGTGTTGATATAGCAAATATCTGGCGCTACATGATCGCCTACCGACTTTCGTTTATCACGGAAAAGGTCGCCCCGGATTCCTTTGGAGTAACTCACGCTATGGACCGCCCTATTTGGAAGTAAGTTCTCAATCGTTTATCCGATTGTGTTTTTTATGTCTCCTAACATCTGTGCCTTAGCTACTCTATCACGCACGGCCCGACTCCCGCGGAACAAGATTTAATGACAAAGTGGATAGGGGATCTCTGTGCCTTCATTCATGGCAAAGATGGATATTCATATGGAACCTCCTCCCCGAATGAATATAAGGTTATGACAGGGGAAGGGAGGATCGTCATTCAGAAGGATGCTTTATGGGATGAGTTGATAAGGGCAATGGAAGTGTTTTCGGGATATTAGATAGCTATAATGCGTTCAAATTCTGTTGGTAGTCATAGAATTGTCTGCCACGCGAAAGCTCATCGTACATAAAACGGGCACCAGCAACTAGGGCCAATCTTTTTCGTGACCTGTTCGCAACAATTAAACTGTCTATCTGTTTCGATGCTCAGCTGTGATGAGCCACCCAAGCCCAATTTCCCAATTTTCCATCCTAACCAGTCTCCGAGCGATCAACAATCCAACCAGGGAACTTATCAAGGGCCTTGATTTTGCCTTGCTCTCGGTCAATCTGTAAGGGTACTTTGTCGGCCACAGAAGCACCTGTTCTCGTCATAGTGAACGAATCAAGTTGTGGAGTCAACCGCAGGGAGATAGACTGACAGGTGATCTTTTGGTCTGGGCCGTGACCAGATCAGTGGTCAGTGTTTATAGTGACGTCATGTTATTCTACTATACCTCAAGGGATAACTTTAAATCAACAATCCTTGAAACTTGAAGACTTTGCTTGACTTTTCATCCATGGTTGTGCTGATAACCTGTGACCGGACACGGACCGGACCCTCTTTTGACGACGATGCCCTTGCTACTAGCCCTGCTTATGAGCCCCGCGCAGTAATATAGAATGCTAAATGTGGGCGGTTCCTTATTTGTTCATTGGTTCAGAGATTTAATCATCGTAATCGACCAATGGCTGTTTCCTTGACACCTTCACTGCGCACAATGTGATCACTAGCGTTGGATAGTCAACACAATCCGCTAAGTGACAGAGGGAGAAAGGACAAAAGGCGACCAAATGGTGAGCTTGTATCGAGGGCATTTAGAAGTCTAACCTAACCTGGATAGTTGAGCCACCACCGGTAGCCATATTGCTCGAAATCTCAGACACTTCAGCGATCATATCCTGACCATCCGGAATCCGCTGGACTACATCATCATCGATGATGATTTTTATTCCATTTTTGACATGGAACAGGTGCACTATATGATCCTGACTGAAGCGTTGTTTGTGCGATATCTTCGCCATCAGTTCTTTCGCAGTGCGCTCTGTCAGATACACCGCTGTGTAGTAATCATCTTGCTGTGCGCCGCTTTTCTGGAAGCGGAGATAGAAACATGCAACTGATTATGTATAAGTCAGACTATATCTTTTAGCTGGTCGGGGACTTAACCTTACCTGGTGGTTTGGGTTTTGAATTGAATGTCAATTCAGCCTTTCTAGTAGACAAAGCCGGAATTGGTGAATTTGGGTCTTTGCGGGACATGGGTGACCGGTGATCTGCCGAGTTGGATGAGAAACTTCTCGACACACTGCCTAATGTTGATTGTGGCGTCAAGGTTTGCAAGGTCGGTCGTCGGTCCACTCGGTCGATTCTTTGCGTCTCGCCATCTTCCATGTTGATTGGGAACAGATCCGGATCATCCTTCATACTGCCGAGAAGACAGAAACTGGTCACCGGTTGATTGGAATAAAATCTGTTTTGCATCATGGCCAATTCCTCCTCCAAGCTTTTTTGCAGCTGGTCCCTCCTCTCGTTTTCGAGTTCTTTGTCGCTCTTATAAAGGACAGAGCGGCTTCCTCGTTTTCGCTTTCCGAGATGTTCGCCTCCGCTTTCGGCTTTGACAAACTCTTGCCTCCGTCTTTCAATTGCCCGCTTCAGCTGAGAAACGTCATTGAACATTTTTCGTTCAGCCCCGTGTTCACGGAACAGTTTCACTTTGCAAAAGCTTATCTCGGCAGGGCCTGGAATGACAGTCTCGGTTTTGGCGCACAACTTGATAGGAACCCCTTTCACTCCTTTTGTGTGGCTGAAGTCCGTTGAAAGGAAGTGGAAGCGGACCCCCATTGAGCAGCCTCGTCTTCCCGTGGTTGGGTCTGAGTACCATGTGACACAAAATCCATCCAGCGAGATCCTCTCTAGCTGGATGTGATCATATGTTTGGCCCTGATTTTCTTGGAACAGACCAACAAACTCAATCGCATATAAATTCCCATCTTTCTGATATGCCTCGTGGCCCCGAGTCTCCTTCCACAAGGCCCAAGAAGCGGCAGGGTTTGAAGCCTGTTCATCATCTTCGAAGGTTACGCGGATCCAGGTTCGATATCTGACAATTTGGTTGATCACTGGTTGCTCTGAATCGACAATCGATAGAGTGTATATTTGCGCTTTATTGAGATATGTCACGGGTGGACGTTTTGGATCATCAACCATGGCCGTCGGCGTATTCAGTGTCACCCGATACCTGAACCTAGGAAACCGTTAGCTCTACTCCCCCTCGCTAGAAAATAGGAACAAATCTCACTGGTGATCATCGTGGCTTGGGTGTCTCTTTTCAGGTGAATGGCTGTCTTGGGGCGTACCGAGCTGGGAGGCTCCATTCCCTTGATTGTCGACGTCGCCTGGAAAGGTTGCTTCGCTCCTGCCATCAGCAGCCCCATCAGCTAAATCGAAGTGAACAAATGCGCTAGGCGGGTAAGCAGCATTGTGATTGCCAGGAGCTATAGTTTGGGGTTCTCGTGCGAAGCATGGCGCGATTGAAGTATCATGAAATGGGTCGATGTTATTTCTATGTAGAGGAGTGACTGCGAATTGTTCAAGAAGCGTTTTCGGTGTCATGAAGTTTGACTCCACGAGTGGTGTGTGCAAGTCTCCGGCCGGGCCATGGAAGACTGAACTCAAGCCGCCAGGATTATGATTCTGGTAAGGATGGTTTGGATTTGGCGTGAGAATTGAGTGGTCATCAAGAAATGGCGTAAACCGGAGACCAGACTGGTCGTTCAGTAAGGGCGTAAAGCGAAGACCAGGAGTGCCTCGGGTAGAAACATTGTTGGGGTCGTTCACGGGGCTGTATAAGAAACACGGCAAATTAGCTAATGCCCACAGTTCGGGCCCATGGGGATGATATGTTGACAATAAACGTCGCGAACATCACGACAAGGCATCAGACATACCCAGGAGGTCCGCATTCGGTAGGCCGGACAATATCAGAAAAAGTCGCCCGGAACTTATTGATGAGACCCTCGTCGGGCTTCTGGGAAGTCCGTCTGCATCGAAGCCCAATTAGCATACGCACTCAACGGTCCGCAAAGTCCAGTATATTATCGTACCTTTTGCCAAACATTTGTACTGGTGGAATAACAAAATGGCAAAAGTTAATGATTGTAAAGCTGGGTAGAGAACATTATGAGAAAGGTAGGAGAAACAGGGGGGCTTTTTTTAGAGCTCAGTACCACAGCTGAGCTGCTGCATCTATTGTAACTCCATATTTGAGGCATCGGTAGACTCACCCACCAGTCAGAATATGGTGGGCCGCTCTAACCCCCTTGCCAGAGTCCAATTGCAGACTCCTCTGCAACAAGCGCTCTCTCCACCACCGATCCACTTTCGAAATTTCCCCTAGATATGACATAGGTGGGGGGGGTGATGGGCCAGTTAACGTCTGTGCGTGTTATCCGACTTATTGCCGATCGTGCAGCGTCCTGACGTCATCTTGTCTTGATCCGTCTAGGATCACTTAGGACACCTCTACCCAATTGGCTTGAGCACTTCTGCTGGAACATATGATTCTTTGGAAATAGATATTCATTGCGTGCGTCGTTACTGACGGCTTTGTAGTATATATGAACATATCATAAGCCGTGTGCCCGACCCGCGGGGGTAGTAAATAGGAACTGCGACATCGACCAAAATTAAACAATAACCCGTCAAATCTAGTGCTTAGCCTGTTCTGCAATATTGTAAGTAACTGTTCACGCATGAATCAGGCGGAGTAAACTTACCCTTGTGAACATCGGCCTTGGTATCGTGAGACTTCTCGTCCTTCTTGTCGACAAGAGCATCCTTGGCAGCGGTGGCCCGAGTGCTCAGCTTGGCATCGTTGTCCTTTGCGACGTGCTTGTTGCTCTCCTTAGAAGCCTCGGCACCAGTGCCCTGCACGGTCTCAGCAACATAGTTGGCGGCGTTCTATATCCATGTTAGTATGTGTCAGGGAACGGGCTGAGCATAAGTCACGAACCTTGACGGTATCCATGGTGGGAAAATAAAAGTTGAGGAGTGGTTTTTGATGGTTTGATTGTTTGATTATTCTGTTGAGCTTGGTTAGAAATCTATATTGCCGGAAACAAGGACTATTTATGTTGTGGTTGAGTGTTATCTGATATCACACGACGTCATTCTCGATCGTCATACTCCTTACTACCCCAACCGGTCATGGTGGTCTAAAGACAGGAATAGTTACATGTTCAAGATTGTGATCTAATCATGATCGCATATTCTGGTTTTAATTTCGCCGATCTACGGAGTTTTATCAAGTTAATATCCTAATTATTTGCTACATGTAATGTGAGACCTCGAATATTGTATTTTACACAAAACTGCTATACACCTGTTACTCCGAGCGCCTCTCCCTCCTTACCGCCCGACAGGCAGTAAAAAGATTTTATATTCCCAATATACGGAGTACAGTAATTCAAAATCAAATCATAAAATATATTTTCCATCTGCAAGCCAGAATGTGATCTTTGGCAGCCCTCTCTACCATGTCAAAATCTCGAGGTGATTGGTGAAATCCTTGATTATCAAGAAATTCAAACTATTTTCATACTATATGTGTCGGGATTTTAAAGGGATAGAAGATGAAGGACAACCTGCGAGCAGACAAAATGAGCCGATTGTTAAGGAAACGCGTACAAAAGACGCGGGACCTTTAGACAGCATCTATGCAACATCAAGTTTCAAACCATTGAGTTATACAGAAGCGAGGTGATAGCCTCAATCCAATCGCGCCACAGGGGCATCCCCGGGAATAGGATGCTTTGGAGTCGCCGGCTCAGTACTGTTGGCCGAGGCATCATAAATGCTTTTGCCCAAGGCACTCAGCACTCAACAATAACTAGTTATCGTAAATAGAAACACCAATACATACAAAGACTGGCCGATCATCCAGCTCCCATAGCTCATTCTTCGCCTGGGTTTCCTCCTTCCAGAAATTTGAAAAACGTAAGAAGGTTTTCATCGTTGTCCCTGATTGTAAATTGTCGGAACCCCCATGGTTTGTCTTCGATATCCTCAGTAATTTGTACGCCGGTTTGAGCTTTCAAATAGGAGTAATATTCATCGAGCTCATAAGTCCCTAGACCGACCATCGCCTGTGACGGCTTGAAGTTTTCAGTGGTCACTTTAGAGAAATAGAAGTTCGCTTCCGCCTTCTTGCCAATGAACATTGAGCAGAAAAACAGATCGGATTCACCGTCTTCTGGTTTGACGCTAGCAAGTTCGAATCCGAGTTTCTTTGTGTAAAATTCAACCGTGAGAGGGATCGAACGGGACTCAAACATAGGAATCACTTTCCATGCTGAGTCGACAATCTGAGAAGCCATATCAAGAGATTCTGAGGTTTTGTTATAGTAGAAGGCTAAGTCAGCTTGACACTACACACAACCCACTTTGTTCTTAGAATTAGCGCCAAGGACACACTAGTACAAATATTGTTAGGCCAGGCTTTAATGTTAATCCGGTAATGTTTCTATGCTGTATCGTTGTTTACTTTATGGGCTCAGGAGTATGGTTATTTGACCACGAGAATGTTCTAGAGATCAGTGCCTGGCAGATCTAACCAACTCGAGTCGGCAATGCAAGTCCTTTTGTTCTTTTTCTGTACCCTCATCCTTAGGAGGCAAGAACTCAATTAGAGTGTTAAACACCAGAACGCCGAATTGCAAGAGCCTTGTACTCACAAGCTCTCCGACTTTGAGTCGTTTACTACAGTTGAATTCGAAAACAGTTTTATGCCTTAAGCACACACTTTGTTTCTCGGTCCGTACCCGGAATTAGGATGGGGGGTAAGTTAACAGAATCACAAATAGGTTTTATGTACGGTGTAGCCGAATTAGGCTTCAACCCATTTTGGTTATGGCCTAAGAAACAAATTGTGTGTGCCCAAGGGGTATACTGTTTCCGAATTCTACTATATAGTGGTATCCAACTACGAGAGATAGAACTTCTGTGTCCGGGTCATATCATTCGTAAGCCTCAACATGATATAAATACGTCGTAGCCGGTATTGACCTGGGCAGAAGGACGAACCATTACTATTCAATTATTTTTCAGTTACAACGCCTCCAATATCAAAACCTCTGTCAAAGCATACTACTTCTTCTGGCCTTCGGGACTATGGATAACCTAGAAACCCCAGATGAGCTGGGGAAATGCGGAAACAAGGTACTTGGACTTACCATCTCCACATTATTTCCAATTGGATCCAAAACAAATGCCCCATAGTAATTCTCATGATACTCTGGTCTCAACCCAGGCTTGCCATTGCTGGTGCCCCCAGCGCCGACCGCAGCCTTGTGGAAAGCATCGACAGCAGCACGGTCTATCGTATATCAGTCAGTGGATATATAACTTGAATTTCTCGGAAGAAAGCCATCCGTAGGAGAGATATCTAGGAGAGGTCATCGTACTCGGAGCAGAAAAGGCAAAATGAAACCCCGACGGAATCTGCGTCTCCTTCTGGGTGATCCAGAAATCAGGAAACTCGCTGCCCAGTCCGACCGCACCAGGGAAGCGCATGATTTCCTTGTAGCCTAGTGGTGAAAGAGCCTTCTTATACCACTCGATAAGAGGCTCGAAGTGCTCTTCGGGGGCGAGGATGGACATATGGTCGATGTTGCTGGACGACATGGCTGTTGACTATTCGAGAAATAAATTCGGTTATAATTGGAGAGTAGTGGATAAGAAGAATACTAAATCTTGAAGGGTTTCTTTACCATCTTTTATGAGTCTGGGAAAGGGAACAAAGACTTCAGACTTCGTATTCATCACGAACTACACGAACCGCATTGCTGCTTTGAGGATATGATGACGTCATATCCTTGGGTCTAATCAAAACAGACGGAATCAAGGTGTTCGCTTTCCTTTGGGGACACGGCCTAGAACATTCTATAGAGATTTACGGTATCTCACAATGAATTATTGAACGCCAAAATCCAATACGATATAAGACGCGAGGCGGCTGTGTAGCGGTTGTTCTTAAAGTAGCTTAATACGGATTAGTGTGGTTTCGGGTATGGGCCGAAAAACAATTCGTGAGTGTCCATCGGGGAAGCTGTTTTTGAATATTGCTGTGCCTCAGTATCAAGCCGTGCCCAAAAGTAGAATCAGGCCCATATTTGAGATTTTGTGCCTAGGTGTGAGGAGGAAGGCCCTATGACGAGAACCCGCCAACCTGTATACTCTACCGTACAGTAATAGAGTAGCGAGTGACAGTCAACAATAGGGAGATTTCAATCGATATGGAGAAAGAATGCTCACCACTTGCCGCGTTATTCCCACTGAGATCTAGTTCGGGGGGTACAGATAAGCCTTGACGCGATTCCCATGCGTCCTAAAGGAATTCCTGGGAAGGACATAATCGCGATTTCCCATTTTCCATTGTCCATAGGAAATGGACAAGAAAGGTTTCCCATGGACAGGAGCTGTCTAGGTCTACCTCTAGCGGGCTATCTACTAGAAAATGTAAGTAAAATACTCAAAAATACCAGCCAAGTCTTAAGATATTCGTGTAGAGACGAGGCGTATTATTTAACGTCCGATGGAGTCTAGGTACCCCTCAGGTGACATCCCTTGAAGTATGCGGACGTGCTGGGCTATGGATTTATGTACATAACTCTAGAGAGCAACTCGAACGCAATAGCAATTGGCTCTAGTTGAGAGATTTCTCCCGACTTGTCGATACATTCTCTGTTTATTTGTGACTACGCTCGTAGGCGTAGCGAGTAATTAAAATGTCATGAAGATTAGCATGAAGACTGAATAGGAGTTTAGGCCCCCGAAGGGGCTACATAAATATCGACTTCGCTCGCCTCAAGCAAAGTGGGTCTTGAGTTGATAGATATTTCAAGCCGACAACAGAATTCGATCCTGAGTCCCCTCGAATTTCGTTTCCGATAGCCTCCACTATCCTCCGCCTCTACTAAAAAAGGAACCAAATGGTACTCTACCATTAGATCCGGCAAAAAGAAACTCTCCCTCGGGGAATCGAACCCCGGTCTCCCGCGCTTATCGGTGTTAATGACAAGCGGAAATCATCACCACTAGACCAAGGAAGATGGAATGACCGAGTTACTGCTCGACCACTTGGCTGGTTGATAAAAACAAATGTTCTCGTGCGGAGATTTCAACGCCAGTCTGCATGGCCAAGAACTGAGGGAGAGAAACAGTAAGTTATGGTTTATTCACTATAAAAGACGTTAGTTAGATCTATGTAGGCTGAGGCGAGGAGCTCTTGAGGAACTAGGGCCGCCAAGTCGAGAAGCCCTAGCAGGGGCTGCATGAGTGTCAACAAACCGGAGAACAGGGTTGAGGCCCGAGACATAAGGCATTGGCCCTTTGCATCAGGCAGCATGCCCTGACCATCCTCCAGTGGCTCAGATCGCCAGCGGCAGGCACGTGGCCAGGCAGCCAGTTCGGATGATCTACCACGCGCTTGAAGCCCTTCAGTAGGTACATGTGCTGCACGACCCCCATCCGAGGGAGCTCGCCCTTCCCTTATACCTCGATTGCTTCGACGATCTAGAGCTCTCAGATACGGTCGAACTACTAGCCTACTCGGAGGCCACTTCCGCTACGCACAGACGGTGTCCCTTCAGTGTAGGCTCACGCTGTATCAGAGATTGTCCAGTTCATGTAGCAACGTGCCCGGCGTGGCCCGTACAGTTTGACCCACCACCCCGTGGTTCCTCAGAGACCTTCCTCGCCCAATATCCTTGAGCCGTGTCAATCTGCCGATAAGGAGCGCAGGGTGAGTTTTCACAACTGTAAGAAATGCCATCTTGGGCTCAGGGGCCGATTCTATATATCGGTTAGCTCGGATGCTCATTCCGTTTCAGCACATTTTAAGCGCAGTTCACACAGGATGCTCGCTTCGACTTACCACCAAGAGACAAGATATATCCAGCTTTTATCTAACGTCTGTTTGACCAAGTGCATTGTGAAAGCAGCAAGGCACAAAACTGAGCAAGGGCCTCTACATTCCCCATTCCGATCAATCGTTCTATCTAGGACAGAGCCCCTCGATATGATCTCTATTGAAGTCCGAAATATCATCGAATAGATGAAGGTTTACCGGCTTAAAGATCAACTAGAAAGATACCATAATAGCCTATCAATTTCAAAAGGCACAAAATATCAATTGGTTCCGAAAGCTGACTAGGCGACTAGAAAAACAGAAAGATGGATAAAAGTATACAAATCGGGCCTCCATTCGATTTTCTCCATAAGCCTTCGCACTACATCGGCCAAGAGACACAAGGATCACTGCGGCTAAATGCAAATATCATTCGCTGACTGGTTTATGGAGGGACAGGGTCCTTTTCTCCGGGTTATTGGTTTCGTTTTCCATTCTCGCATTTACTCAGCAGAGGAACGGGTGGCGCGCTTGGTGGCACCGCCCTTGCCGGTGTCGGCAGAGGAGCTGGAGGCCTCTTCCTTCTTCTCCTTGGGAGCACCAGCGGCGGCCTTGCCCTTCTTCTCGGGGGCGGGGGCGGGGCTGCTAGCGCCAATGGCACCGACGATGATGAGGATCATGGTCAGGAGGAGGGCGCCAAGGCCACCGGCTACCTCAGGCAGAGCCTTAACGGCGTTGATGGGGTCCTCCTTGGCTAGCTCAACGAAGTGGTTGACCTTCTGGCGGACAAAGGTGACGGGGTCCTCCTGGAAGGTGACAGTAGTGCCATCCTCCTTAACCTCGGGCTTAGGCTTGGAAGCCTCCTCCTCGGCCTCCTCGACGGGGAACTTGACATCGAAGGTCTCCTTGCGGAGCTTCTCAGCATCCTCGACGGAGTGACCAATGTAAATGTTGTCGAACAGAATGTCGCTCTGCATGGTCCAAATCTCGAAACCAATAGCGCCCATAGGCTCAAGGTTGGACGGGGTCTTGTCCTCGAAGTAGGCGGGGTTGCTGATCTTGCGGGGGGCCCAGACGCCCTTGTAGGCAGGGTTGTCGATGAGGGGAGCCTCCCACTTGCCCTTGTAGGCGGGGTTCTTGGTCATGGGGCGAGTCCACTCGCCGCAGCCAGAAACATCAGCACACTTGGGGTTGGGAACAGTAGGGGCGAGCCAGTCTCCATCCTCCTCATCATCCCAGTCCTCGGGCTTCTCAGCCTCGGGGTCGGGAATGCTGGTGGGCTCATCCTCGAGCCAGTCGGCGGGCTGAGTGGCCTCCTCGTCGACGATCTCGAAGGGAGCTTCCTCATCCCAGTCAGCGGGCTTGGTAGCCTCGGGGTCCGCAATCTGAACCTCATCGACCCAGTCGGCGGGCTTCTTGTCCTTGGGGTCGTCAATCTCCTTCTCAGGGTTGACGGGAGGGTTGAAGTCCTCAAGGAGGCTACCGGCCTTGGCAGACTCGCCGTTGATGAGGATCTCGAAGGTCTGATCGGGCTTGACGATCAGGGTGTAGAGGGAGGTGACCTTGTTGGTGCGGGCCACGGGGGGAGTCTTGAGGTGCTTCTCCTCGTATTCGCCGGTCTTGGGGTTCTTGTGGCGGAAGATGAAGTGAACCTAGAGCTAATCAGTATGCAATTCGAAGCTCAAGAGTGTACACTGCCGTACCTTGTTGGTAGCACCGCACTTGTCGGGACCAAACATGATAACATAGGGAGTGCCGTTAGAGAACTCTTCCTGGTGGAGCTTCTTGTTCTCTTGGAGAAGCTTGAGGTACGCACCACCGCAAACCAGAGAGTCTAAAGAGGACGATTTGTTTAGCGCATGAGAACGCGAGCAATTCCAGATGCGAACGACTTACTCTGCGGCTTGACCTCGTACTGAACAACCAGGGTCTTGCCCTTGTTGTCAATCTTCTTGGGGAACTTGGCGGAGATGGCGTGGTGGGCAGCGGCGTTCTTTACGACCAGACCCTTGTCACCATCGATACCCTTGAAGACGGAGGGCTCCTCGACAGCCCATTCGCCAACGTAGGCCCAATCATCCTCCGACTTGTCGTCCTTCTTCGCGTGGGAAGGCTTCCACCGTGACTCCCAGTCGTCCGTGAACTGCTCCAGGAAAGGAGCCTTGAGGCTAGTAGGCTATAATGAATTAACACAGGTCAGCGGTGGAAAGATAGAAATGCATTGGCAACATACAGTGAAAGTAGGCTTCTGAACAGCGACGGTGGCATCAGCTTCCTCCTCCGCATGGGCATAGCCCATGAGGCTAGCGGAGGAGACCAGAGCCGAGGTGAGCGCGGTGTTAAAGCGCATAATGGCAGACTATAACAAGACAAAGAATGAAGAGTGGAGAGAAAAAGAGGAGAAGGTTTTATAGAAGCGGACAGTCAACACCGGGGGAAGGTCCAGGTGGCCTCTTCACTAAGCTACCCAATCGGGACTAGGGCGTGTACACCTGGGGTTCGACGTTGTTCTATACTTCGTAATTATACACTTTGTCTTGTTTTTATTCTGTTTCTTCGATAGTCCATAGTCTACTTAGCTAGTTATATAAATATAATTCTTTGTTTTTCTTCTCTATTTTGTTCCGAATCTATTTGTCCCCAATTACGCGCAGATCCCGACTCCCCGCCCCAATTTGTTAGTGGAACCTCATCGCAAACCTCGTCCAGACCTCCAAGCGACTCGTCCATAACAAAATAGATCGCAAGTGTTAGGTGAGCTTTCCGGTCGCCAATGGCCGCGCATTGCATCGCATTGCCTAGTTTCTCTCCCTTGCATTCCTCGGCTTTGCTAATCCGTCGCAGCCCACCAGCCACCAGCCCACTATGTGCCCTACCAACAAGGCGGTCGCGCCGGTCGACAACAACGACCACCTGGTTCAGTCCGAGGACCCCGAGCACCCTGCTAACCTCATTCCCAACCTCTGCCGCAACTTTTACAACTGGGGATGGGTTACCGGCACTGGAGGTGGTGTAAGCTTTGACCGATCCATCGCAACGGTGCCCCGCTGATTGAAAAGTAGGCTTCGATCCGTGAGGGCGATCACATCTACATTGCCCCGTCCGGGGTCCAGAAGGAATTGATCCAGCCTCACAACATTTTCGTCCTCGAATGGCCCACCCCCAAGTATCCTGCCTCGGACCGCAACTACATCCGCAAGCCCCTCAAGCTCAACCCCTCCGCCTGTACCCCACTGTTCCTCACAGCCTTCGAGCAGGGAGCTGGCTGCTGCATCCATACCCACTCGCAATGGGCGGTTCTGGTGACTCTGTTGGTGGAGCGGGAGAAGGGCCCCGACGCTTGCTTCGAGATCAACAACATTGAGCAGATCAAGGGTATTCCCCGGGGCAAAGGAAAGGGTATGCTTGGATTCTTCGATACCCTCAGCATTCCCATCATTGAAAACACCGCATTCGAGGAGGACTTGACCAGTGGCCTGGAGGCTGCGATGAACAAGTACCCGGACACATACGCTGTGCTCGTCCGGAGACATGGAATGTAAGTCATGAAAACCTATGTGTGCATGATGTCGATGGATATGCTAATACATTGTTCCTGCAGATATGTCTGGGGAGACAATGTCGCCAAGGCCAAGACTCAGTGTGAGAGTCTGGACTACCTGTTCAAGCTTGCTGTAGAAATGCACAAGCTAGGACTTCCATGGATCAAATAAATCTGCGATTGTTATGACACTTTATGCTGATGTGTGATATGAGGGGATATTGTGTATAGCCTAGCAGGAGGAAGCTCCAATAGATATGATGTGACGTATTGCAGGGGCATTCGAAACGTGGGACTGTAGGCAGAGCCGGGACTGAGTTATAGGTAAATGGAGCGCAACGCAACTAAACCTGTAGTTCGGCATTGTCAACATCAATGAATGGGAGATGTCAACAGAGGACATCGGGACACCTTGTGGGTTGAGGATCCCGTGAGTGACTAAGGGATCGCCCTCTCCACCTCCAACTACCACAGCTACCTCTCCAACTACGAGCTTTGAACTTTGAACCAGCATCGACGCCAATCTCTTGAACTCTCCTTGTCTATTCACTTATTCTTCACACGCTGCCCTCGTCTGACAGGTATCAATGGATCTCGACTCTGGAGACTCCCCGTGGGGCGGTAGGCAGTCAGATACCACAGCTCTTTGAATTGCGGGCTGATTTAGCATGCAGATGAGCCCTCGCAGTTCAAGACCACCGAAGACCCGACCAAGCCTGGCACCCAGGAAGGTGGTACGTTTCCCTCTCCGCTTCTCCAGTCTCTCCGCGACCCCTCACTAAGCGCACTCCATCCTACAGCAGCCGCACAACCCGCCGTGACAAGCAGCTCTCCCGCTGTCCGTACACCAGGACGACGTGGTCCCCGGGGAACCCGCAAGATTAGCGCACAAGCCACGAAACTCGAATCCGTTGATAATTCCGTCGATCCTCTCGGTCCGTTAGGAGAAGCGCCAGCCGAGGCTTCCCCAACACCCACAGAGGAGGCCCCCGTACCGCCCCAAAAGGAGACATTCGCTGGACGCAGTGCGCGGCCACTTTCATCCCCCTCTCAGGCCAGCGGATCATTGTTGGAGCAATCGGTCAATCTCGAAGATGACGTCGCGGGTTACCGGGGTCCCCCGCCCGTGCAGCCACCGGTGGAATCGGATGGACCGAAAAGACAGACCCAGCCTAGCATGAGCGTGGAACAAGCTGCGAAGCCAACCTTCGAGATTCACGTGGGAGACCCGCATAAAGTGGGAGATCTTACGAGCAGTCACATTGTCTACGCCGTTCGGACAAAGGTAGTTGACATATTGAGATTCGTGCTCTGCGAGAAGCTAGAAATGCTAACAACAATTTGCATGATTAGACGTCATCCAAGGCTTACCGTCAACCCGAGTTTACAGTCAGCCGTCGATACCGTGATTTCCTTTGGCTTTATAATTCCATGCACAGTAACAACCCCGGAGTGGTTGTTGCCCCTCCGCCTGAGAAGCAAGCCGTTGGCCGATTTGACACCAACTTTGTAGAGTCGCGAAGGGCTGCTTTGGAGCGCATGCTTAACAAGATTGCCGGCCATCCCATTCTTCAACATGATGGAGACCTGAAAATCTTCCTTGAGAGTGAAGCTTTCAATGTCGATGTTAAGAATAAGGAAAACCGGGAACCCGATATTGGCCAAAGCAAGGGAATGCTGAGCTCCTTTGGTATCTCCGTTGGTGGTGGAAGCAAGTTTGTGGAGCACGACGACGTAAGTGGATTGTTCCTATTATATTGACGACGCCTGCTAACGTGGGAACAGTGGTTCCATGACCGAAAGGTCTACTTGGATGCCTTGGAGAACCAACTCAAGGCATTGATGAAATCAATGGACACCGTGGTTTTGCAGCGGAAGGGTCTTGCCGAAGCCGCAGGCGACTTTTCTAGCTCACTGCATGCTCTATCTGCTGTCGAACTATCGCCTGCTCTTTCCTCCCCATTGGATGGCCTTTCAGAACTCCAATTGCGCATCCGGGAACTCTATGACCGTCAAGCGCAACAGGACGTTCTAACCCTTGGAATTACAATCGACGAATACATCCGACTAATTGGAAGCGTCAAGATGGCCTTCACTCAACGGCAAAAGGCCTTCCATACTTGGCACGCGGCCGAGTCCGATTTACAGAAGCGCAAGAACACGCAAGACAAGCTACTCCGCCAGGGCAAGACCCAGCAAGACCGCTTGAACCAGGCCAACGCCGATGTCGCAGACGCAGAGCGCAAGGTCCACCAAACACGATTACTCTTCGAGGATATGGGCCGACTCATGCGGAACGAGCTGCAAAGGTTTGAGAAGGAGAAGGTGGAGGATTTCAAGTCTGGTGTGGAGACGTTCCTTGAGAGTGCAGTCGAGGCTCAGAAAGAGGTAGGATATTCCCCATCTTTACTTGCTTATGTTCATCCAGCTCACCTGTGGCTCACAGTTGATCGAACTATGGGAAACGTTCTTACTCCGTCTTGACGCCGGCGAGGAAGGGCTTCCATATTACGTTCCTCAATCCGAGACCGAGACGGGCGACGCAGCTCCCCCGACGGAGAACGCGGAATCAGCCCCACTTCTTGCTGAGGATAACGTTTGATATCGCCTATCGATTTCTCCTACTTGGATGCTTGTGTAAAAAACCGCACCTAGTACGCCTGTTACTTCGTCTCGTCTTGTATTCCTTGTGGGACAGCTCTGTCTCTTGATGTTTGTCAAGCTATGTCCATGTTCCCTGATGATGGTCCGCAGCGAGCTTGATGGGCTTTGTGCTTTTTTCCTTTTTATGTTCGCTTCATCCGAATACCAGTGTTCGCGTATTGTTGCAAATATATTTCATTGATTGAGCTGTGTTGCTGTAACTTGGCCGACCATAGCCATGTTTAGGCCGTCTAGAGATTGGAATACGGCCAGTTTCCCTCTAGCGAGTTTCTGACCAGTTCGATCCAAACGCTACACAACATCGTTTAAATCTATTTCATGATACGAAGATATAGGAGACAATCACTTACTGGAAAAAGACGTTCTGGCCCAACCGACATGTGATATAAGCTGTTAACTTATATTAATGGTCGAGACTTGACAGCGAAGCTAATTTATATATGCACGCAATCCAGAAAAACATGACAAATTTGTTAGGCAGACTCAGCGCTATTTCTATGGAAAAGTACATGATCCTTCAATCGGATCAAGCCTGTGGTGTCGAAGGCTGCAATCTCGACGATGTAGTTTTGAACGGTCACGCTACTGCAAAGCCCTAACCCGAACTGGGCGAGGATATACACAGGACCCAAAACAGATACGATGAACCGAGCGTCCCATTGGCCGCTCCTAAGATTGACACCAGCAGCATGCTTGCCAGTGACAGGGATGCTTATTGCCTCTTGAGGCTTGTTTGGGACGGACATATCGAGTCCTCACCAAAGCGGCAATTACCACTAAGACTCCCTCCGAAGGCGGGCTTTGCTTACTTTCGGCCCCCAATTCCTAATTTAAGACGCCCGTGCTTTCGGCAGTGCTTACTCGTATAGGGGAGGCGTTGAGCCTTTGATAGGTCCAATAAGCCCAGTCCTGAATGGCATAAACCTGTTAGGAATTAACTGCTAATTCTGCCTCGCTCCCGCTGATGGAGAAAATTGCCGTGAGACATATGTTGTCGCACCAAAATCACCTAGTTTTGCCTTTGCTTTGCTGCATATAGTCCTACATTGCGAATTTGAGCAGCATGTCTTCAACCAACTATGCGGACTATTCTACCGGTACCGGGTTTATTGGCTGGTACATTGCAGCAACGCGTATGTCTCATATCATCATAATAACGTATGGAAAGATCAAAGACCTTCTTACTAAATTATATGTCGCAGCTGAGCCAATTGCCTGTACATCTAATGGTGCGTGGACTACGAGCGGCACCATCGGTGACTGTAGCGAGTCGTCTGGAGACAGAATAGCCACAGCGTGCTATGCCGGTTCAAGTGTGGTGAGAGGGTCTACCACTGAGGCATGGTGTGTGTTTTATCACAAATTATATCTGTCACCGGCTAACTGGGGCCTAGCGGTACTGGCTCAACGTGCGACTACTACAGAATCTTTAATACTGTCGGCCAAGATGGTCTGGGTGCCTTGACGAGATACGCTTGTGTGAACAACTGGGCTGCCAACAGTCTTTATCGTACGCTGCCGGCGGAATACCTGGCTACTACTACATCGACTTCTGTTACATCTGCTACAACGACTGCGACAACAAATACGACAAACTCTTCGTTCTGTATGTATCCCATGCGATCAAACCGAAGAAGGACCGTGGATACTAATACTCTACTCTTCGGAAAACAGCTACTTCCGCTTCAACCTCCACCACAGCCTCCCCAACATCCACTGGCGGCGCCGGCTCATCCGACTCCTCCAGCTCAGGCATCGGCAGCGGCGCAATCGCAGGAATTGTCGTAGGCTGTGTGGCAGGTGGTGCTATTCTCGCCTTGTTGATCGTCTTCCGCAGGAGATTAATGGGTTACTTTGGATATCACAAGACGACTGATTCCCACGAGCCCTGGTCTCCTGTCTACATGCCAACGCAGATTCAGTCGGTGTCTCAGTCAAACTCTCAATCTCAGCCGATTTCGGAGCTTTCTGGGCAGCGAAATGTTCACGAGATTGGGTCTTCGCAGGTGGGGGCTGATGCTGTTCCGGAGATGAGATCTTGATGCTTTGGATTGTTGATCGATATACCCTTTACCTTAGTTCCCTTTTTTTTTAGTTTTTTTTTTTTTTTAGACATAGTCTTGATAAGTAATCTTATAAGTAATCTCTGTCCGTGTTGTTTGTTTCCCTTGTTAGCAAGTCTTTATAATCTTCAACAAACTCCATGTTTGTCAAGATGCTGTCGAAAGAGCAGCAGCATAGATTGAATATTGCAACTTGAGCCGCACACAATGCCTTGCAGAATAGACTTCAGGTTAACGGACTAGAAATAAGATGAATTCTTGGTATACAGCAGGGTCATACCAGACAAATGTATATTGTACAAGACCAATGCAACAGGAATATAAAAAGACAAGAGAAGAAACCTAACTCCACTCAAGCAGTAAGTAAACCAGGCAAATAAAGCCCAGTCCAAACCCAAGAGGATAATCACTGACAACTCACACCCGAGCCAAAAAAACCCTATTTCTTAAAAGGCTTCTTCTCAGGCGGAGGAGCCTCATTCTGACCGAAAGAGCTAATCAAATCGAGCAAATTATCCTCCTCCTCCTGCTCAGCATCAGCCTGAGCCTTAGCAGCAGCCTCCTTCTCCTTAACTGCGGCAGCATCCTTAGGATCAACAGGCTCAGCAGGCGTGTTGACATCGTACCCGCGGCCGAAACGGGCACGGAAAGCCGCCAGACGACCGGCCTCGTCGTCTTCGACGTTCATCAGCTTGCTGCTGGATGGGTTCCACAGGAGCGAGTTGCGCGTGTCGCGTGTGGAGCGGTAGATCGGGGCCGGTGAGGTCGTGCGGTGCGTGAATGTGCTGCCATCGCTGAGTGTGATCAGTTGTGTGAAGGTGTAGGGGCGCTTAGGGCGGCGGAGGAGGGTGGCGTGTCGACATTGAGAGCAGATGAAGGTTGTTGCCGTAGGTTGGGTTGGGAGTCTTGGGAGGATGGTGGTTGTTGAGTTGGTTATTGTGGCCGCGGTGCGGCGGAGAGAGGTGTGCATTGACATTTTGGATGGGTGGTGACAATCCGGATGAAAGGACTGCACGGGGGGATTGAGCCGAAAGGGAATTGACTGGGGCGCAATGCGTTCGGGGAGGATGCGGAGGTTTGAAGTTGATGCTATCCACAGGAGAAATTATCGCGGGTTATGTAAGCGGACTGTTATTTTTCGGGATTTTCAGTTCTCGGTCAAATGACTTCATATTGTCTTTGTTTCGGGCGTCTTTGTCTGCTTTGCTGGTCTGCTAGGCATGAATTTGAAGTTCCCAACTATCTTTGATCCTGTACACCGAGACCTTGAGCGCCTCTTGAGCGCAATTTTCCGGCGGGATGAAGCTCGCATTTCCACAAGTAGCGCATGGAGCTACTCGGAGAGGCTTGGGAGGTAGGACTTCCCCAACACAACCTCAATGCTTCTATAGAAAATACTGATGTCCCCAATCAGAATCATTATGCAATAGGAACTATACAGCCCGATCCCTAGGGACGTCCCTCTCCCTACGAAGCTCTCCGCTTGTACCATGCCACCAACACCGATCACAATGCGCCAAACGACACAGCAGTAATGCCGCAGCACCTTCGACAAAGAAACCCAATACCATATCCCAACATATGAATGAAAACCAAACATCTACTTCCATCTCTATATCCGAACAAGTCCGCCTCCTCATGCGACGAGTACCCTACCCAGTCGCAATCATAACAGCAACCGACCCCTCTGGCCCGGCAGATACATCTTCTTTCCGCGGAATGACCGTTTCGTCGTTCAGTACTGTCACGCTCACACCGCACCCTGTCATCTCATTTAATGTGCGCCGGCCATCAGAGACGCTAAACGCGCTGCTTGCTTCGGGTCGGTTCCTGGTTCACTTGCTAGCGCCTGGTCCTGCGACAGCGATCCTAGCGAGAGATTTCTCCAAGGGGAATACCACGCTTGCGGCTATGTTGAGTGGACATGGGGAGTTTGAGTTTGCCGCTTTGGATGCTGGTAGTGAGGGGCATTCTCAGAGACCACTTCCCATTCTTAGGCGGAAGGGTGAGGGCGACGTTGGGTCTTCGTCACTCAATGCGGGTGTTGACTTCCCTTTCGTTTTTGAGTGTGAGCTACATCCGAATAAGATTGAGGTTCATGACCATTCGATTGTGTTGGGCACTATTGTTCGGACAATTGAGGGTTCGGAATCTGTTTCTTTGGACTTGGATGAACATTCGCCAGGCCGGCTTTGTTTGACATATGCGAACACCAAGTTTTGGAAGATGGGAAATGAGGTTTGAACTGAGACAAAGTACGGTTGTCTTGTCCTCGGAGTTGCATAGCATGTGCCTGAAAGCATGGCATTGTACATATATATTATAGGGTTGGGCATCTATTCTGTACATATTCTAATTAGACCAACGGTATCATCGATTACAATATATCTTACGCAGTATGACAGAACAACTAGAGGCAACAATGCTTTCATGATGTTGATGCGTCTACTGTTTGTCAGAGAAAAGTTTACAGAGCACTTTTGTTATTTCGGTGTTAAGCACAGAACTGCCCATCCATCCTCAATCGGACCAATCCCGCTATCTCATCGCGAGATACTTGCACTCCACCACAATGATTCAAGTATATATGAGCCATCACAGCACAGGCCAATGAGAAGAACGTCGACTCGCAACCAGACGAAAATGAAAGCACGGACGCAAACCCCAAAACCATAGAAGACGAGCACCGAAGACGGGACTTGCATTCAACGCAAGGACTCGGCAATGTAAGCCCCACGGTGGGGGTTTAATCGCGCAAAGAGTGCGGACTGCCGGTCCCACTTCCACTGCCGCCGCTACCACTACCAGTCCCACTGCCTCGACTTGCTGCTCGCTGGAAAGGACTCAGAACAGGACGGCCACCTTGGTGCAGGAAACCATTCCCTTCAGACCCCGGTCGCGGTTTGTCAGACAGCAGTTCAGACAGGTCAAGCTGGAGAGGCGGCATGCGGTTCGTGTCCAAGAAGTCAGAGCCGTATTGGCTGCTGCGAGTGGAGCGGTTGGAGAACGAACGATCTCGGTGATTGATGTCAGAGCCGAAGTACGATCCTCCATTGCCGATTGGGGAGCTTGGAAACTGTGGGAGGAATGGGATGTCCTGGGACGGGCTTGTTGGGTGCGACGAAGAATCGCGGACTGGAGAGGACGAGATCTGCAGTGGACTAGACCTTGCAGGAGGAAAGCTAAGACCCAATAGAGCTCGGGCACTGGGTGCAGTGGATGTCGATGCGTTCAATGGCATTCCGCTGGTCTCGGGGAGAGGATTGGTGCCGGGCAGGTTGCCTTCGGGTGTGAGAGGACCGGATTCAGCGAGCATTTGTTGCTGTTGCTGTTGGATGGACTGCTCAATCGCAGATGCCTGCTGCCAGAGTTGACTGGTGCGCAGCTGGAAATCCTGGACGGATTGACTGATGCTCCCGAATTGCTCGTGGAAATTGGCCTCCATCTTCGATTGATCCTGCTCCCTGGCGAATTGTTCAGCGGCGCGGCGTTCTCTCTCATTCAATCCTTGAGCATTGGCCGAGATAATACGCTCATACTGCTCATTCACCCGTGTGCGGCGGCTCTGGAGACGCTCTCGCTTCTGGACAGCCTGAGTTAGTTCCGACTCCAGTGTGGCCACCTCTTGAGCTCCAGCGGCACGAGCAGCTGTCACCTCCTCCTTGATAGCGTTGAACAATTCCAGCTCGTGCTCGAAGTCCTTCTTGTGTGCTGTCCACTCTTCCATCTCCTCCTCTGGGACATTTTCCATGTTGTCTAGTTGTGTTTCCAGGGCCGCGGTAGCTTCCTCAGTTTGTCGAATATTTCGTTCCAGCTGGAACGAACGCTGCTTTTGCCGATTCTCATCCGTTCCGCTATGGAGGCGTTGGTTGAAGTTGTCAAGTTCCTTCCGGATTTTCGAGATGATAACTTTGTGGTCGTTCTTTGTCTTCTTGAGGCGCGCGCGTTTTTCGTTTAACTTGGATTCCGCATTGACAATGGAGTTTTTGAGCGTGGTTGTGGGGGATGATGGCCGATATGGCGGTTGCGGGGGCGTCGATACCGCCGAAATAACTGTTCGATTAATGAGATACGTCAACAAGAGTAACAGAAAAAAACGCTAGATGGGCGAACTCACCTTGCTCTGTGTCAGCCGTTGCAGGCGTCTTGACACTCATGACACAGATTTCCTCGTCGGTAGTGCTTCGCACAAATGCGCAGGTGTAGGCGCAATTCGGAGCAAGCCCAGAGATCTCACCACGCCATTGAACAACATTCGGTCCTTTGGCATCCGAAACCCTGTATATCGTGGCGGTAGCCCAGAGCGCACCATTGACACAAACATAAAATGGTTCCACGTCTCCTTCCAGACGGCCTGCTTCATAGGATCCCGACACAGTTGGGTCATCGGTGAATTCACCGGCAGCATATTTGATCGAAGAGCTATCCACATCCGTGATCCATACTAGCCCATCGTCGAGAGAAGCACCCTGGAGATCTTCCTCCGTCATAGTAAGATTGCGTGCTGTTTTAGATATAGCCCGTGAATGCTCATATTCTCGCATAACCGTAACCTTTGTACTCGCAAGCGCGGCCCAAAAGGGCTGCCGACTCCTAACTTGATTGGCTTGCCTTCTGCGTTTCTTGGCTGAAGTAAATCGATCCTTGCCGTCCTTGAGTTGACCATCAGGCCCAACAAAAGAAGATGAAACACTGGCGGCAGATTCAAGAGCGGAATCGGCTTGGCCTTGGGACCCCGCAGAAGCCTCTGTATCGCCGCGTTTGCCCGCCCGTAATGGTGCAGGTGATCGATTCTTAGCCATCGATCGTCGAGCCATGGCAGTGCCTGCCTGTGCCAGAATATGTACAGCAAGAAGGCTCCGGAGCCAGCTCGGGGAAGTTTGTGTTTCGGATCGTCGGAACTCGGCGGGTAACAGGTGCGAATACTGAGAGAGAGCATCGGGACTAACAAGTTTAGTAGAAACAAGATGACCCAGGACAAAGTCCTGTATGCCTTTGCTGCGAACAAGATGAAGAAGCAGAACGATTCCGACACAGAGACCATTGACCCCGCCGTTCTTCCCGGAACCCCCGCCGCCCAAGGTGATAGCAACCTGGACATGCGCGAGGTCGATGGCAAAGTTCTGCGCCCAAGTCCACATAAAGAGGCCCCAGAGAAGTATACAGAACCCATCCATCGCAATCATCGTCCCCAGCGACGGCGTTCCAGCCGGACCCTGAAAAATATCAAAATTCGACGACAAAGAACCGGCCGCGGCGCCACTGGGAGGCATGAAAGTCAAGGAAGCGAACAAGAACTGAACCAGAGTCAAGACCATCGGTGGAAGTTGTAGCAGAAAAATCAAGATGGCGATGGTGTCGTACATGGGGCACGATTTCAGAATGGTAGAGGCGAGTTGAAGCGGATTGATTGACGCATTGGATCCGGATCGTTTTGAGGTCCCATTGCGAGAGGCATGAGCTGCCATGCCCCCGTTCTGGGGCACATCACTGTTTGCCTGATCACACACCATCTCCTCATCCTTGCTGTGTCCATTCATACCGCGCACATTGCCATCCGCCTTTGCACTATCCCCTTTACCCGCAACTGTCGGAGAGGTAACGGCCGTGTCGCTTGTAGAACGTACGGAGGATAGATCGAAGTGAGCGGACGCGCCCGGACCGGTAGCAGAGCCGTTGCCCGAGTTGCCGTTGAGTTGACTGCTTGACTTTTGCTTGGTTACTTTCTTGCTGGGACCGGCGAGGCCATTCTCCTGCCGATTGCTCTGGTTCTTCCTAGCCGCAGCAGATGAGCGTGGCATGGACGGAGCCCAAAACCCAGGTCCGAGTCAGCTTGGCGAGATGAAGCCAAGGACTGGGACCAGGAGAAAGGCGAAATCAAATCAGAGAATAAAAAAGGAAATTGATGTAAAGAGTGAGGAATATAGAAAGGTGGGAAGGAGAGAGAGTGGAAACGTGAAGGGGAGGAGGAGGAAAAGAGAATAGAAAGAAACGAGTGGTATGGTATGGTAATACGCCGTCGATCATTGTTGCCTTTTGGGTAGGCGGTATCCTTCTCCAATACCATGTATTATATTATTTACATCCTTTTTATACTGGCTTCATTTCTGTATGTCTCCTTCTTCCTTCTTCTTCTTCTTTCTTCTTTGTTCTGATAGATCATGTCGTACTCGTATGTCTTGCCTATAGGGCTTTCACCAAACTCTGCCAAGTCATGCAATGCGGATAACTACACGTCAACGTCAGCCTAGCTATGTTAGGAGGTTTCGGCTAACTCGGCCTAACGCAGTCACTCTTCGAACGGGATGCTAAGTTGCTTCATCTAGGCTGGCACAATTGTGATCACGGCCTAGGTCAACTTTCAATGCTCCGATCACTTGATCCTATTTGCTGCTGTATCAGACCGACTACTCCGTAACCAGATTGACGATCGACCGTTGCTTAGCCCGTCTACTGCGGGGTCATCCTTGCCTCCAATTGTGCATTGCGACACGAATCCCCAGAATTCAGAAGGGAGGACGCTATTGGGGAGGCATCTGCAGGCTTGAACACGCCACACCGGACAAAGAAAGTGTAGACAGAAGATCATCAAACTTGTTCTGTGTCAGAGTTGCTCACATTCCTCTTAGGATCATCACATGCTCGGCTATCTCGTGCATCCTAAAGGCTCCGCACAATATATCGGATGATCCACAGATTTTCTGCGAGTATGGGCCTGTGGATCTTCTGCAAAAAGCCATTTACGCGCTGTTTCTGCACACAAGACCCGACAGACATACTAAATACACAGATTAAAAGAAAGAATACACGATACTGTCATAGAAGCCATGATAGGTGCTCACAACCCCTCTTGCACCGGGTCTTGGCAGGGTTTTGTGGATCAGCCACAAAGTCAGTTAAGATCGCCGCAGGCTTAGTTATGGCTTAGTTATTTTTATGCATGCGGTGAGCCCTGCCCAGGGCGATCATGCCCAACTACTCCAACTGCAGGTTCAACACGGGGTACAGAGTATACTGCTAGTTTTCTCACTCCATCTTGCCCTTGAGTTTCACTATCTAATTAACTGGTTAACTTTTTTTTAGCTTGTCGATCATTTCGCTTTTCCTACTTGTTCCGGCCCCTCAGCCTATTTTGGTAAGGCGTCCGAGGTCTACGTATGGCCTGTAATCTAGGGAACGGCAACACTATCGGATAACAACGCCTACGGAGATATACTTTGAATCTTGCACGTTTTAGATATTAGCCAGTATGGAGCCTAATTAGGCTTGGAATCTGTTCCTGGGCGCTAAGTCACGTGCATGCAGTCAGGAACCTCCTTCACTTTCCCATGGGCTTCTGTTACCCTACTTAACTCAAACCCAGATCCCCAAGAGCTTTTTCTCTTCGGCATGAATACATACAAAGGACGGTATACCCTGTCCGCCTAGGAGCTTCTGTCCCGGACAGAGTACGTGGTCGCAATGATGTTTGGTCGAGAAGCGCCTTCTCCTTCTCCATCGTACCTCATTTTGAGCGCATCGAAGCCCATCAATGACAGTGCATTTCGTCGATTTTCAACACTTCTAGCCATTAAGATACTTCAGCGTTTCAAATCACGCGATGGGAGCGTCCTTATGCTGACAGATAAAATATGTGTCAAGTACGGGAGCCGCATCAATTTATCAGAAGCGTCAACCATGCGGTTCATAGCAGAAAATACAGATATACCGGTGCCCAAGATTTTTTGTTCATTCATTCATTCAGGTCGAACGTACATCGTCATGGAAAGGATTAAAGGAGATATAATTGGCAATGGCTGGGTGAGAAGGAGTGAGGAATCGAAGGCGAAACTGCTTGGTCAATTGAAAGAGACCATCACCAAAATGCGAGAGCTTCAGCCACCAGAAAATATTGGTGTTGCCTCTGTCGATGGTGGAACTCTGTTTGACTGTCGTGATTTGGGCCCGACCTTGCGCTTCGGCCCATTTGATACAACCCAGGACTTCCATCGATATTTACGCAGGGGTATGGAATTTGATTCAAGCCTCGATCTTGATGTTCAGGACTTCATAAACCAACAAAGCAACAACAAATGGCCTTTGAAATTCACTCATGGCGATTTAAGCAGCCTCAACATTATTGTTCGCGGTGACACTCTTGTTGGCCTTATTGATTGGGAAACGGCTGGTTGGTATCCATCATATTGGGAATACACAACCGCCTGCAAGTCAACCCACAAAACTCTTTTGGGGCCAATGAGATTGATAATTTCTACACCCGATGCCTGGAGAGTTGGCGATGGACCAGTTCCGCCAGACTCACTTTTGAGCCCCTGCAAAGGGAACTCATAAAACCCCTCAATACCTTAGGCAATGGCCTCTTTCTCCATTAACAAGTTGTAAGTTGCAGCCTTCTTCATATCAAAGTTGCCTTGCCCATCAAAACGATGCTGGTCTTTCTTCCGTTGGCAATACGCCATGCTTCATCTCTTACCCTACTCCAATCAAGAACGCTCGTGCCTAAGGCTCTCTCCTCGGCCAGCACTTCAAGAGCCTCCTTCACCCACGAAATACAATTCCACCCTGGTTGACTTGACCACCTCGGATAGGCGTAGCGCGTAGTATTTCGACTAGGCGATGACTATTTGCTACCTTGCCAACCATAATACGGACAAGAAGCATGCCATCGGCGGAAAGTGGACAAGGACTCTCTTCGAATTGCCATTCGGAGCCTCCTATCTTGATGCGCTCTTTGGCGTGGTATCGAACAACCGTCTTGCCGTTTGTCTCAAATTTGGGCCCTACTATCAAGCCCCAATGGTAGCTAACCCGGATATGATGTGAGTAGTTCTAGTTTCTACGCACGACTAGAAGAGGCCGTATTTAGTATAGGGGGCAAGGTCAAAAGCATCCGTGAATTTAACCGTAAAGTGTTCCCGGGAAAAAAGTCAGGTTCGCTGGTAGTAGTGGAAGCTACCCACTTCTAGGCGCGCGAGGATGCCATCAATAAGGACAGGAATATATCACGACACAAATGGAGCTAAACTATTTCGGGTGTATTTTACTATCCCACTTTCCTCGACACGATCAAAGAAAGCTTTTGAACAAAAACTGCATCCCAGCTTGTTGATCCTGCCCCTGACCTCGTTTCTTGACATCCTCACGACTCTTAAGCAACTTCCTCGTCACCTCTCCCCAAGCTACTGACTCGACTGCCTGTCCGTCGGGACTCTCCAAGGTCTTCACATCGGCAAGTTGCCTCCTTTCCTTCCGAATCTCATCCACAATCACCATCTCGATATCTCCCACGTTAGCGTGCAGCAGAAGAGCAGCAAGAGGATTTTCCTCAGCTGCACATATCATCCCCGGCGAGGTCGAGTCAAAAATCACTAAGTCGGCCAGCTTTCCTACAGCTATACTGCCAATTTGATCTTCCATGTTCACAGCTTTGGCGCCCTGGATAGTTCCCAGGTTAAAGACCTCTTCTAGCTTGACCTGCACGCTAGGATGTTGTCCTGCCTGTAATGCTTTTATGTTATCGGTGGCTCGCGAATGCTGCAATCCAATTCGAAGCTGTGTTAGGAGATCGCCGGAGTTGTTCGCGTGACAGTCGACGCCAATTGAGGCGTTGCATTTAACGTCAGGACGGAAAGCAACGATCCCGCCTAGGCCCATCTGGAGCTCTGTGTCCGGAGTAGTGGAGAAGAATGCTCCATGCTTGACGAGTGTTTGGGCATCCGATTCAGCGATCCCATTCACGTGGGAAAAAAGAATATTCTTATCGAGAAGACCGTACTCAGAGAGCAGGTTCATCGAATCTATTATGTCAGACTAATTCTCGTTCTTAAAAGAAACACAGGAGGATGCAACATAGTGTAGTTATGAGTTGCACACCTAGCGAACGGCATTTCTCCCAAAGGTCAACAACCACCTGTTTTGGTTGCTCAAAATGATCAAAGCCCAGACAGAGGTAAACACAGCCATTTCCGAAGGGGGCAGAATTGGCCAGTGACTCAAGCGTTTTATACCACCAATCTGGAAGAAGCGTCTCGTCATATTCAACTTCAAGAGACCAGCTTTTCATCCGCCAGATCGGGGCGCAACAGGAAAACGTGCGGAGTCCGGATGAGGCCGTGGCCCGGACAGCTTCATGTACCGGATGGTGTGAGAACTTTTCTTCGGTTGAATGTTGAACGCGATTTGAAGAAACTCACCATGTTCGGGGGAGTAAGTCATATGTGCGTGGTCAGCATCATCTCAAAACCCATAGGCAAGCTAGGTCTCGTTATCGGAGGCGGCGGGGCGTGTCGAGTAGCCATTTACGCTTGCCACCCAGCTGATCTCTATTTATACGATAGCAACTACCTTAACGACAGACGGCATTGTCGTGAATAAGAAGTAAAAGTACAACTAGAAGGGAGACGACTTCTTTAGAGTAGTCTCCTTAATATAGCAGACTGTTCATTAAAATCCATAGCCAGGCTGACCAAAGATCTTATTATTTGCTCTTTAAGTGTATGAAAGTTGGAGCTTTTATACTTCTAAGGATAAGTGTGGAGCATGAGACGCATTACTTGGTGGACCTCGATATTCTGCCCTGCACTATTCTGAGCTGAAAATATGACTTGACCAGATTCTTTACCGGATAGAATCCCCGAAAAACGTAAGAGTAAGTGCTATGCTATATTACTATGCACTTGCTAGAAAAGTGGTGTACAATCCGTCAAAAGGTACGATTGTACTTTCGTAGGGGTTAAAACCCAAGAGGTAAGACCTACAGACCAAGCATATCCTCTAGTAAAGAAAAGCACGTATATATGACGATTCATGTCGGCTGTCATGAATAGAATCTAGAAGGGTCCGAGGTGCGACTCCACCAAGCCCGAGTCAATGTGGAGGAGCCGCATGTCTCCGCTCAAAGAGAACATAGTGGGGCGTTCACTGGTAATGTGTTGTTAGCCATATAGCACGGGGAGCGCTCTAGAGCTCAAAATTGCAAGATATGTTTCGCAACGCCATGAACTGATCCTCCTACTCGAACAATTATGGTGGCGACTACAAGCCTGGAATGTGATGCCTGGACATTTCATCCGCCTATCACTCGTGGCCAAACATAAGGCCAGCAAGCAACTAGGTTCAACTGAACACGAGGATCTCTCTTAAAACCAATTTCCAGGACGTTAAGGTTTGTTTGGGTTGCTGCACCGGGTCTGTAGTGGATCCAGGAATTGATGCCATAGCCGCTTGCAGCTTTTGACCCCAAGCCAAGAAATAGTTTCGACTCGGCAACCTCGCTTTTGCAGGCCTAGATACCTTCGAGGAGCCGGCGGGGGAATTAATCACCTGTTAGTAGATCTTACCTCTTGTCACATAAAACCTTGTTATGTTGCTTGTCGCCTATCAATCGGCTATATGATTTTCAGTTGTTTACTAGAATTAGAAGGCGCTCAAAGGAATACTTCAACCCATTGTAAATATGCAGCTTGATTAGTACTAGCCATCTACTAAAATGAGCCATGATAGTCTGACACTCGTGTTCCGGCAAGGATCACAATCGGCAGGAGCCAAGAGTACGTCCGATCTATAGCACCTAATGGGATCCTTAGCATGCAGGTAGTCTGTGGAGAAATCTAGACTTGGGACGCCTATTTCCGTCATAAAATAGCGTGCTTCGGTTCATCCCGATCATGAAAAGAGATCAAAAACAAGATAAAAACAATAATGATGGTGATGCGGTCGATTTCGGGATTGATGACCAGATCTAGTATGCCGACCGCACTGGGATATCCTAATCCACGTTTCCTTTCTAGAACCCCTCCAGTAAATTTGCAAAACCGACCGTTGAACATCAATTGAGCTTCGTATTCTTGCTCATGACTCCTATCAACTGCCAAATGCGGCAGGTATTGAGAATCCATAGCTAGGTTTCCCTTGGTAATGCTGCTGCTTTATTTATCACCGGAAAAGATCAATCCGCAAGATCAATCTGCAAATGGAGTAATTCTCGCAGACTTGAATTCTGAATGACAAGCTCTATTGACCACCGGATCGTTGACAAAAGTATTTAATGCCCCTCGATGCTTCGCCTATCCGAACCGTTTCAATATCTATACTCATCCTCCACGCGATCTCTCAGACGTCAACCTCTAGCAAGACCCGAGATAAACATACAAAATGAAGATTCCAGGACTTGCTGTATTTGTTCTCTCCTACCTCTCTACTACGGCCCTCGCCGATGCCAACAAAGTCACCATCCAACTTGCGAACGACCAGTCCGGCGCAAATGCCAATGTTGCTGTCCCCGCCGATGGCCACAAGCGTTCCATCAAGTCCCTCTGGGGCCATACAGCCGTCGCAAAAGGTGGCGATGTGTATGCGTCCAGCGCACAGCTCGTCGCGTTCCAACAGGACACCGTGTGTGAGATCTTGGGCGATAATCTTCACGCTGAATTGAATGCCCGACAAACTTGGGTGTCGCTGGCGGGCGGTAAAGTGATCAACCTGGACCATGCATACGTGGTTTGCGATGATGTCTAAGCTTAGTTTACCGGGACATGATGAATTGGCTAGTTTTTGTTGATTGTTCTACGCTCTCCGGGGCCGTGGACCAGTGGCAACGATATATCTGAATTCTCACGACGTTTTGGTTGTCAATATAATGTTTTAGTAAAAACAAGAAATATAATAATTCGCTTCATACGTTAGTACTTGACATACACAAGTAGATGTCCTTACTGGCGCGGGTTCAATTCTGATTTCTGCCCATGGGATTGGTTCACCCTCCGATACCGATGGCAATTGATTACTCACAGAATGTGGCATTCAATCTTTATACCGGAATTGAGTTTCATTTCATCTGTAAGGGAACCGGGACTAGAAAAGCCTGTTGTCTTAGACAGGGTGTCTACTCCTTGTTATTAAATCAATTTCCGGTCTCTAGACGACGTCGTTCCTTCACAACCTCTCACAGACTTTCATTCGTCCATCGGAACGAACGAAATTTCTATTTTTGATAAAGACATTTGTTAGACTATATATTGGCTTTGATTGTCATTGTCTTTTGTACTGCATGTCATATTTCTCTCGGCGACCTCGAGTATATAAAGTGGACGCGCTCTCGAATTAAATCGTCAAGACACAAAATAACGACCAAATTTGACTCAGCACAATGGCACAAGATTTTACTTCATGGGAAGAAAAGGGAAGAACCCTCCAGAACTAGATTGAAGACGGCCTAAATCAGAATGTCCCTACACCAAGTCTACCCTTAGTCTGACATGTCATGTCATAGTAACCAGCAAGTCTTCCTCGTCAAACAGAAACAGGAATTTTTTAAAATGGCATTTCGTAATGCTCTCAAGAGTAATCAGCCAAGCCGACTCCACCTTTAAACACACCGAGATTGCAAAGCGCCTTATTTGCGACGAAACAGTTCAGCGTGAGGGTTGAAAACAATTCCTTCGCGAAAGCACGAATAAGAGTGGGATTTTTGGCAGTCATCACGTCATTACCTTGCACCGGCTCTACAGAGGTCGCAGATTTGGGTTTTCACGCAGACTAGCACAATAGCCTTGATGTAAAGGCTAAAAGGGCTGTTGTAACTGAATATCAGGTGTAGGCACGTTGCATGAATTGCTAATCTGGCTTCAGGGCTTGGTGCGTTTCTCGGTCAATGGCGCCCGTGCGGTTTTGTCCTCCCCGGTCTCGCCTCCAGCCATCGTCCTCTTGTCTCGTTCGGATATCAAAATATCATTTTTGTTTGGCGACTGGGCGCGAAACACGAGCCAGCTTCCTGCTATAACAGCAAGGACGCTCAGAATAGCTTTGTTACGGGTACTAAAAGCATTTCGCCCACGTGTAAGTCTCATATACAGACCTCTTTTACCACCTCAGTTTGAGTGTGGTTTGCAAGCTACCAGATGACATACCGAGCCGGTGTCGCACCCCCGTTGCTGATGGAAGCAGGCATCTGAATGAGCGGAGCTTCGGCAGATATTTAAAAATTGAAATCGAGAAACTGGCTATCAGAGCCACAAGATAGTGAGTAGAAAAATATATGAATATGATGAGTTTTGTCGGACGGTCGCCAGAGGAGTCAGTATGCAACGGGCCGCCACATATCCGTGGATGACCTCATTCTGACTATGCACGCGCTGTGCTTATTGACGCCACGCTAGTTGACTGATCCGTCGGAAGAATGTTTGCCTCTCCAATTACCATACAGTAATACTTTCCTCTGGACAGTCTCAAGTCTGTTGTCGTGGCTGAGACTAACGAACAGGACACTCTTCGAGGTGTTAAGCATGTGTATAAGTCCCGAGGCCTTCCTTGCCCACCTAACACACAGCATACTTGGTATCCATCTTCGCGTAAATATTGGTCTCATCTTAGGTGTGGATCGTTTTGGAGCTTGTGCTGATTAGAGATATTGGGATTTCCTGGGAGGAAATAACACAAATCGGAAAAAAAATGTGATTTATTTATTCTTGTGATTGATTGTTTTAATAAGGAGCATCATCATAGTTGTGTGGTAGACAAAAGAAAAATATGTGATGTGAGATCGTGACATTAGGCTTAGCAAAACACTCCCCCAACGCCATAACCAACTAGATTAAATGTAGACTCAAAAGGGTCCGAAGATTCATCGTGTTAGTGTGATCATCCAATTGCGATCAGTCTTACAGTAGCTTTTATCGATTCCTCATAAACCCTTCGATAGACGATGACTATAAGCTAGCCTGTAGAGACTTGCAGGAGATCTCTGATAACATTTCAGAATAACAGCATTGAAGACAGCACTTGGCTATACGAGGCTATGACCGGTTAGGTGCTGTTGAATAATCGTACCGCGCCGAAGAAGGTCATGAATTGCTACAACCATCGCGAAATTAGAGACGATGAAATCATCGTTAAGAAGAGTAAACGTACCTTCTGGAGGAGGCGCAGCGGGCTCCCCCACGGGGACTTTGGAGTATTTTATAGACTCTGGCGGAATAGGAATCTTTCTCAAGACTGAGTGTAAATTCATGACATCAGTGGGGAGAACTGCTTTACATTGTGAGAATTAAGGTCTGCATGAACCAAATCCGCCGTCTTCTCGATATGCTGCAACTGGCTCTGCAAGTCCGCCGTTTGTGATGAAATTGAGAAAAGTGGTAGGCGATATTTCGAGAAGAATTGCTTCCAGCTGTACCACTTTATCGACGTTGATAGAACGGTGTAGTTATTTTTCGATAGCCATGATATAAACTCCATATGTGTGTAGGCCAGAAATAAGCCACGGTTAAAGCATTGAGGATTTTGTCTCGAGGCGTTCATCAGTCGACCATCTGACTCGGCTCGATAGGAGTAATCGACAAGAATTTTCTGGAGCTTACTTCTATCAAGTCGATTAACTCGTAGATTGTTTGCGATGGTTTGGACAGTCTTTCCTATGTCTGTTAAAAATTCAACTGCCGTGATATCCTCATGAGACATGATGAATGGTTTTGAAAACTCGCACAGGAAGGGTTTCTGGGGGGTGATTGGGATATCTGAATGGAAAGGAATTACTTCTTTTAAAGATTTGATCAGAGCGACACGGATGAGTCTTTATAGGCGAACCGATAAAGTAAATTGATAGGGCACATGACCGGTTAGAACAAATTATTGGAACCAGGGAAATCAGGCGATCATAGAAAATAGACAGCATTCTCAACCGTGGTACGGTTTGGCCACCGAAAAGCCCGGCGTGCTGGAATCTGACGAGAAGGGTTAATAGGAGGATCATGTTGTTATCTCTCAACGACACAAATTTCTAATACTGGCTTCCGGCAACATTTCAACCTGTTATTGCATGGAAATACCATGCATGTATGCCAAATAGTGATCTTTCAGGTCCATAATATCACTTCATAGAAGCGCTGAGGGAATCTATAGGAGTTCTGGCTCGCAATAAGCCATCATCCTTTATTTGCTAGCGCTCAAGACATCTCTTTCAAGTCAAGCACAAATTGCACATAAGATTCGACTGGACTATATGGCCTCGTATGATTAATATGTGCGAAATTATTTCCCGAGAAGAGGAATCACCCTTGGATAAACTTAAACGACTTCTTCGGCTAGGCCCCCGCGCGAGCGATCCACGGCGCAAGGGACGAAATAAAGCCATGACTATCTTGCTTTTAGCTGAAGACCCATTGTCAACCTTTTTCTAGATTGGGAAAAATAGATGAGTTTCCAAGTGTACGAGACTGATAAACTTATATTGTCGGCCCTTGTTTGCTAGACATGTTTGCTAGACATGCTTGCTAGCCCTAGTTAGCTATGAGCTATAAAGCTCAGCCCCCTAGTAGAATCCATTATCATCCTTCTTCTTTATTCCATTCTGGACCCCTAAATCTGCTAGACCAGCCGCTTATGGGTATTCCAAGCAGGATGTTGCGCGATCATCATAGCGTGTTACTCAGCAGCAGGCTTCACCTAGGGTGCTACTATGGGTGCAAGCGAACCTGCCTCCATCATTGCTTGCAATTCAGCTTACAGGACATGTCAAGCGGCCTGTGCGACCTTTGTATTGGCACCGATACCCTGAGGCCTGAGGTGATCACGCAACTCCGTCTATGCTAAGACGATTTGAATTTGAACTACGTCTAAAAATTGGTTTGTTGCATTGGCCTTGCGCCTTACTCTGCTAAGGACTAGTACGTTTTCAATACCCCAGGATCCATTAAGTTGTGACATGATAAAGCTCTTCACTCCCTGCTCTAGGAAAAAGACGGCCCCATATACCGGTTCAGGTGGTTTCAGAAACCTTTGCATGGAACTCTTAACGCGATCAAAAGCTGCCGAGCAACTAAGCTCGTCTGCCTTTTGTTCTTGTTCCTTTGTAGGTTCGAACTGCCTCTGATACAATGATGCGAATGACAAAAGCGGTCGACTTATGGCGGTTTCTCGGCTTGTAGACAAGCTACCTCCCTTCTATCACGAGCCATTAGATAAATGTTAGTGGCAATTGAATGCCTCTCATGAAAGATCACCTTACCACATGCTTGCAATTACTGCTTGCATTGTGGCCACATGAAACACAAGTCGGTTGAATATTGTAAACTTTTGGGCCATCATTGCACTGGCACCACATATACATATAGTGCATGATTCTAACCTGTTGTTTTCACGGAGCTCTCAACATGTCTGTATATGTTCTTGGGACGGAATCGCGATTTCAACATCACGACACGGCGAAGTTGAGTAAGTTTTATGGAATGAGGGAGTCTTGGAATATTTGAAGAGCCTCATGGTTGGGCATAACATCATGTAGCGGTGGTTTGTTTGGGCGGAAGGACGTCCACGTCAGAGAGATCATGCATGCAGGAGTTTTCGGTTTTTACGCCCGCTCAAGCTGGGCTCGAAAAGCTGAAGCATGGCCTCTTCTCTCATAAATTCGCCATCTGGGCCATTTGTGATATAGCCACTGTACCGTTGATCGCGGTGAAATCTGGAAATTTGGAACGTGGCAGTGCCTAGTTGAGATCAGCCTGCTCGCCTGAGGCTAATACGTTTTTCACAGAGAGACTCATCGATATACAGCTAATGATAGGACTGAAAATTGGATAGGTTGCGTAGCTAAGCGTTCGTTCCCTCGCTTTCCGTCGGGCGATCTTCTGACCATCTGGCAGCCACGCGCATAGATCAATCAGACCTGCGTTCTTTGTGCTGTTCCTCGCATACTGACTAATCCAATCTTTAAAAGAACAGTACAGGTAATGTATTGCCTTAAGCCGTAGATCCATGGGCTATAAGCCCATGCCCCTCAGTAGATAATTCATCATCCTTCTTCATTCCCTCTCTTTTGGCTTGTCAAAGAGTACAGGCTCTTTGTCCAACGGATAAGCCAACAAGACACTAACTGGCACCCAGGTGTACTTTTGTGGTGCACACTTGAAGAATCCAAACTTAATAGCCTGTTCCAAGCTTACAGGCTGCTTCAACTTCCATAACTTGAGAATTTCATATCCGTAGTTGGAGTTTTTCATGCCCGCGTTGAAATCCGCATTTCCGATACCGCCGTCCTCTGCGACTTGCCCGGGCACTTTACCCCGGGATATATAGGCGACATGCTCAATTCGTCTGATAGGTGTTGTAGTGTAAAACCAGATTCGGCTCACGTCTGATGGTAGGGGGTAACTGCGAAATTCATGGTTCTTTGTACCAGAGACGATGTTGCTCATGTGTTCGGGCTTGATGCTCATGAAGACGTCTCTACATGATTTTTCCATTTTTATCACTTGCGCAGGATGTTTGATGAGGTTTTCAAGAAGGAGAAATGAAGAGCGAAGCTGAATTCCCGAAGGTAAAATTTCACCGATGGATGAGCGGTGAAAGCAATGATCTAATCTTACGATGATCCCCCACCTGTCTCCAATATCTCCTTATCCCACTTACAACTGAGCGAGCCGGCTGGACCATACAGTGTGCAGCAGTGAGTATAAAGATATAAAATTTACCAAGGGTCGTCAGCCCTAAATTGTATTAACTCTCGATATTTCCGTGGTAAATTAATCATCCACTGACCCGCAATTCCAGGTTCTGGACATTGAGGTAACCTAGATCTGAATCGACTCGGAAATTTTCACGCAAAGTCCCCCGAGTGCCAAAGTAGCTTAACGGTTGTTTCCAAGGATGCCACAGCTCGAGCCCAAGTTTCTCTCACGAGGGCCTTTGGTAAGCAAAGCTATACCAACATCAGCGTCAACTGCGCTTATCTCCCCGAACTTCAGGATTCCAAAGAAGCCCGATGGAAACGCTTAGTCAAAACAAATTACATCGACCCCAATGGAGTACAGCGAGACTGGGAGTCAGCTGAACGCCAGGTAAAAACATATCATTGACACACC